CAGTCCAAACATTTTTTTTTCTTATTTGAGATTGTCTGTGGCCTTAAATAAGACACGGGTAATATCCAGGAAAGCACAGAATAGGTTATCACAATAACACAAAGGCTTAAGTTGAGAACGAAATGTGGCAAAATTGCCCGTTGTAAAATGAGACATTATTTACAGGGCGTTCAAAATCAAACAAGGGCTCGTTCTTCAAAGGTCCCTTCCATTTAAGCATTGTATTTGGTTGTTATGTACTCACAAGACACACCTTTCTCGCACGGGGAATGCGTTAAAGTGGGAAATACTTGTACAAAGCGATCTGGATGGGTGCTCTTTTAATTACCTTCTGGGTACTAGAACCGTCTCATTTGTATCCTGCTTAAGATGATACACAGTGTTTTGACGAAAGTTGTGCTGGGCCAATATTGATACAAAAAAAATAGTTTTCACGCCTTACTGGTTCGACACAATGGCGGAGCCCAAGGGAGGGGGCAAAGTGGCCAAAGTCCCTTTCCTAGAGGATACGAATGATTTTGAGAAATAATTGAAGAAGATTTTTTTTGGTAACATCTCACTTTCATTCCTTACAAGAGTATGCAAAATGCCGAAAATATTTTCACCCCTCTGAAAGGCCATAATAAGGGGTCAGGTTAGTAACAACATTCCAGTTCGACAGTTCCTTTCGGGAGAAGCTCAATGACCATGCATGCTTGAAATTCCATGCCAACCTTTCAAAATGTGTAACAAAGTCTTCTTTTGCTATTAAAGTACAGAGCCCTTATTTAGAATATTATTGAAATTCAACCGGACAAATTTGCAAAGTCTGCAAACACGGGAGTATCAACGTCAAGCCAATTTCACTTTAAACCATACACGAAACGATGAGATGAGGGGATTTATTTTCCATCGACATGCATCGAGTGAAATGGTGGTTAAATATTCAAGAAATGGCAAAGACGTAATATGGTCAAATCATACGTGGGATTTCGTCTCGGGCCCCACTTTAATTTTGACAATTTGGTTTCCACCAAATTCAATTAAAAATGACCAGTGCAGCCTATTTCACAAAATGTGTCGTGACTTTGAACAATGAGTATTCCTTACGCCACAATTGTGTGCCGTACTGGGCTATGTACTTGCTTAGCTGTGGCATGTTTTAATTATATCAATTCCTTGGATTGGGAGGATAATGGCTATTTCCATGGCTTCCCCTTGTAATATCAAACAATCGTTAAACTCCTTTCTCCCGCCATTTTAAAAAAAAAGTCTTCGTCTTTTATTCGTAGGAATAGGAAATCTTTCAATTCTCTCACAGCCAAACAAGGTTTTCATTACTTTCATTAAAATTTAAGTTTTTAAACGATTTCTTGTTTAAGTCTTGCTAAGTTCAGCAATGATGAGCCTTAATCGAACACAGCCAGTTAGTAAATTCATTCGAGTTCGCATTGTTTGTCACAACCAGCCTAAAATGAGTGCGTAAATTAGGTCATAATTTGGTGCGCAAGTTGCGGACTTACGCAGTGCAAACGTTTCTTGAAATCGCTTTTAATTTGTTGCGCAGCAAACGCAATCAAATGTGGCGTTAGTGGTATTGCGCTGTTGCATAAAGTTTTTTGGAAATTGGCTGCAGAGACAGGATTGATGACAGCGGCTCGTCGTTATTTTAAAGATGACCACTCTTCTTTTTACGTCGGACCGGTGGTCGTAGTTTTGCTTGGTATCCCTACCCACGAGGCTTTGAAAACTTCTGAGAGGTCTTTAACAACAGATACGTAAAACAATGATCATGCTTGATTGTTTATGTAATTGCTCGAGCTACCCGTCAGCGGTTTCTCTGCCCACTCATCTCCTGTCTCGGATGATGATAATGCTCGCTATCCCTTCCCACGATGCTGTGCAAACCTTGAGAAGATTGACAAACAACAGAGGAGTAAGAGGATGGCTGGTCACGCTTGTTGGCACATGCATCATTTGCCGTTTACTGTAGCCTAATGCTTCATTGTTGGGGGGGTGCATCAGCATGCTAAGGGCAGCGCCTCTTACTTCCGTTCATAATTAACAGTGTTCTGTGCGTCACCATGCGCAGTGATATGTAAGCGGTCTTATAATAGACACAGTATAAATTCCCGGGCTCTTAATCATTCTTCAGAATATATATCTCGACAACAGTCGATTTTTCCTCTCTTTTCTTATATAGGTTGCATATTTGCTGGCTTATTTATAAGATAGATCTGGAGTGTGCAGTGAAATATAAATACTAATCAGTGCGTGTACGAAACGTGCAGTAGTGGATCGACACCCAGTGGACAGAAGGACAAGTTTTGCCCTGTGTTAAGTAAACACATCGCATGATTTAAATTAGTCTTAAGTGCTCGTTACGGCAGGGATGTAGCAGTGTTTGATTGTTAGGAGACCTTTTCTTTGAACGAACACTAGATATGAACATCCTTCGCTGCAGTTGATGATGCAAACTCCATGACCACTCTGCCACGCTGCTAATGGTTGCAGTTGCCCCTGAAGTTAGTTGGGGGGGGGGGCTGGTGAAAATATATTTGTTACCCTTGAGCGATAAACTAGTTAATCTTCATTGTTCACCATTTAGTCTTTGCGCGTATTGTGCCGTGGAATTTCCCTAAAATTTGTAATACTAGAGGTTAGGATTTGGCGATTTTTCTGGAATTTCTCAAACACCCGACCGTAGCACTTTTCAATCTTATAATTCCGAATGCCTAAAAACACACAGATTCCAACACACAGACTCACAAGCCATTACTGTAGTCAAACTGCGTGGACCGGAATGGCTAGTTAAACCACAGCGCATCCCCTCCCCCTGGGAACGACTCAGTAGGTCAATTTATTACCAATAAATTTTAAATGAAGCGAAGTGTGAGAGGGTGCGCGCCTTATTTCGAGGTTGACGTGGAAACGAAAGCACAACCGCGCGGCTGCGGGGGTTTACGGACTTTTGAAGCGGGAAAGTGAGGTTCAGAATTACACGTTCGAGGGGCGTTTAGACCAACTGTGCGCACTAGATGTTGTTTTAAGATCAGCAAAGAAAAATATCGTTTCATTTGATAACCTTCATCTTGCTATCTCCAACGACAGTGTTATGATCTATATAAAAAATATATGCAGATGATATACGTCCTGCTAAGAGGCATTTTAATTCCCCAGTGTGCCGTTGCTTTGTTTGGTGTATTACTCGAACAGAAACAGATACAGAACCAAACACACTTAACAGTAAAATGTACTCTTAAAATATTTTGATGAATCACTTCAGATTTCTGGACGCTTGGTAGCAAAGCTAAATTAACAAGTACATGTACTTTTTATTTATTTACAAACTGAGCATGGCATGAGGCCTATCTTGCATAGATGTTAATTCTCTTCAGCTTTGATAATGTCTGATAAATATCACAAAAATAGCCAACTTTGTGATTCAGTCGTCCTGTGCACACTGTAAAGGTAAGTCCCAGACGATTATTATTTTTTTGGTACATCATTATTTCCTCCTAAACAGAGCAAGTTGTGGTTTACGGTAACAAACAAGACCTTGGCTCTGTCAAAATATATGCGCCTCCAAAATAAATTCCAGTTCAAATGTTACCAGAGTTGACTATAATTTTTTTATACTCTTACACCTGGAGAATTACCAGTAGTCTATGGTTTATGTCTTTCACTTTCAACGTTTTCTGAAGAGCTGTGTTATATCTACTTTTTCATATCATATGTATTTCTTTTGAAATCCAACACCTTGACGCTTTTGCACTCCCATAGAAGACAAACCCAGACAACCTGTAATTGTCTTGGGGCCCACAACCATCATAGAAACGGAGCAGTCGCAGCCCTGCGTCAAAATAAACCTCAGACACTATAAACTGTGCATGGAAACGAGTACCACCACCGCCACAAAGGGAGGTAGGACATTTCAGCCCACTGGAAGCGGAATGGCCGAAACAGTGACGCTTTGTCTTTGATGTGACGTCATGTCGATGTGCCCTCCGGAGCATTGCATTACACACCAGCATGGCCGGGATCGTGAACCAACTAACCCGAGTGTGGTTTTTCTTGTTCAGACAGGCTAACCAAACTAACGTGAAGGCATGAGGGGCAAAATGAAGACTTAGACAGTGGATGCACTGCATGGTTATGATTCCTCTAATAACATGGCGTCCTTCTGCTTTGCACGTGCCCTCGTCAGGCGATTTTTTTTGTACTGGTGACTCAACAAACATTCAAAACACAAATGCAGAAATGAACACCATCTTTTCAACAGTGGTCTGAAATATTAACTCTCAACGGCCCTACGTTAACTAAATTAAAGACGGGCCGTTGTGTTACCTACTATGATGATTTTTACAGAAAACGTAACTCTGCCCGAGTTATATTGTTTTACACAGTGGACGAATCCTGTAAGGGAGTGTACAATACATACTTGAGTTGAGAATAAGATAATGCACCTTGTTAGGTTAAATTAGAAATGTGGATATCTAGTAACCGAACGACACTTTGCACAAAACAAACAGGTTAAAAATGCTCCCGACTGCAATTGTCAAAAACTATTGGACCAAGCTAACGATGACGTGTTCCCGAGTTACGTGTGCTTTTAAGTTTGCAATCCTTGCACATTACAAAAATGTACTTACAAATGGCAATTTCAGGGTTTCTCTATCAAATCAACTTGTTAACAAAATGAATGCGAAATTGACAACAAAATGGACCTTCTGGATGAGAAGGTTCCGGAAGTATGTACGTGTACTATTTGTGGATGTAACATTGTTTACAATACGGTTTTATCTTCGGTAGAAGTGATATGCCCTGGGATTTATTTTATTTACCAGAGGAGGTTAAGGTCAGTCTCCTGTGTATTCAGTTGCTGCTATTGTTCAGCTGTTTCAAGTCCTCACGCTGTGAGGGTATGAAAATATAAAATACATATCTCATAAGCGCCATCTAGATTGCAGTGGTCGATGTAGTGTTATAAAAGAACGCTTTGACGCTTTCGCCCTCCGTAGACCATCAGCAGCCCAGGCACGATATGTTCGTCGTTGGATCTACCGCCATCATAGAAACGGAACAGTCACAGGCCTGCGCCAAACGAACACAGAACAGCCCTCTTTTCGTCAGGGACTTTAAGCGGTGTCTGTTGTCGACTGCCGCGTCACAGGGAGGTAGGAATACACCCTCTGGAACGAAACTGAGTCTGAAACAGTGATAAGCCATCTTGGCGTGACGTCATCTCGCTGCGTCATCTTCGAGTACTAATGTTTTGCTCTCTGGTTTTTGTTTGTTTTTTGTTTGTTTGTTTGTTTGTTCGTTTTTTTCTAACCAACTAACATGAGTTTTGTTTTTCCTTCACAGCTGGCTAACTCTGGTTCTTGATCGTTGCATTAACAATTTTAACCAAGGCGACTTTGGCCCGTGCTTCCTAATGCTTTATTAATGTCCCACTAACCCAATGGTTAGTGTGGGCACGAGCAAGAATGACAGCGTGGTATTTTGCAGTGCATGGTCCCATCAAGGCTCTGCCTACAATCTTGTGCTCACGACTGTAGGAGCACCCTTATTCTAGGAATCACTGGCCCCCTTTCCACGTCACTGCCTGAGAGGCATGACCCTAAGTGGCCGCACCTCGTAGGCCGGCTTCAGTGGGATATTTTCTGGAACATCATACACTTGCTCAGACCCTTTGCACGCGTCCCGCGAATTTGCAGTTAGCCCCCCCCCAATACTCGGTCTCTGATCAGACCAAAGTTCTAGAATTGATGCAGCGATGCATTTTGGGGGAGTTGGGGTGAAGTTGTCCTTTGAAGACTGGCAACGGACACGGAAATGAGTTGCATAAGAGCAAAGGCTAGTAGTGGCACGTCGCACGTCATGCCGCCATTGTTGTTGATCAGCTGGCTGCAACTACCTACCCATGGTCTACTGTTTGTGTTCGACATCAACATTACGCAGTCGTAACAGATCTAAAGCTACCCACAAATTAGTCTGGTTCGGTGAACAAAGTGCCCTTCTCACTTGTGGACTTGTTGCCGGGAATCAGTGTACTCGCGAACATTCAGGCAGTGCAGAGATAGAGGGCGCTGTTTTGAAAGTTTTAAGAAAAAATGGGAAAACAATCGACGCGCGCGCTGACCAGAGACCAACTTTTTTTTGGGGGGGGGGCTTACAGGCAGCCCCTGTTGGGTGTTCACCGAATGCATAGTACGCCGTTTGGCAGCCAGTCATGAGGATTACATTCTGACACTTTTCTGCGCCTACTCCGTGCCGAAACAAGTTACCCGGTTTGCAGTCATTGCGTGTTGATCCAACAAGACAGGGTGAAATCCACCTTTCGTGTCCATGTAGGAAGTAGCCCTGCACAGGGTTTAAAAATAAATGATTTGCTGGGTTGAAAACAAATATGAAAAAGATACTAAAATCTAGACCTTTAGACAGTGGTAGCTAATCGGTTAAGCACTCAATAGCAATAAAGAATTAATGATTCGGAAATCAGCCTCATAAAAATAAGAACCTTCTTGGTGTTGTCATGTTTGTGCTTACACGCTACCTCCCGGCCACGCAGCCGAAAGAATAGCCAGAAGTGTGATCGGGGTTGGGTCGACGACTGTTCCAGAAACCAAGAATTCTCTGCACTGCCTTGGAATCTCGGAAGTACCCGAGAAGTTTTGGAAATGCATGAGAAAGATCAGAAAGTCGACGACCACAATAGGTATGACGCCTCACTCCATCCCTCCCCCTGGAATGGGAACAACTACGGAGGCAGTTCCTTCCACCTTTGTGTGTGTGCTACTAACATCCACCATTGCTGTGTGCTCGTGTTTACTAACAATAATTAACATCAATTTGTTTTCCCCTGCTTGCTTCCCAGCTGGTTAAAAGCCGACGAGCCCGCTTGCCTCATATAACATACTAACCCGAGCATTTTGACAGGCATTTGTCAGTAGCAATCACGCATGTTGTCTTTCATGGGCAAAATTTAATTTCTTCTTCTTCGTTTTGGATTATGACTTGAGTGAGAAGAGATCAATGTCTGTAGTGCCGCGGTAATGGATGTCTCTGGACTGCTGCATTTGGAGATCCAACCTCCTCCCCCGATGAGCGTCGACTGGTACCCACTTTGTGCTGATTACTCCGCTATTTTGCTCATGATTACCAAGTACGCTAAAAGAAGAGGAGGCTGAACACCGAGAGCAAATGACAATAGACCTTTCTATTTATTGCTCTGTAAAAAGACTTGACAATCGTGATTTTTCCTGTGCACACGGGATTAAGCAGGAAAAATCCCGCTTATATTAGAAACTAATAGCAAGAACGCTTTAATAGGATTTTCTGAAGAAGAAAATAAACAAAGCAAATTGACCTGAGAGAAAATGATACATTTTCAATGGCTCTGGCAACCAAAGCCATTTCTGCTCATGCGTGCATAATTGTGATTTTGTTTTTTAGTGGAAAGGTTTATAGCTGCGTTATCCTGTCGCTGTTGAGCCAGCAAAGTTTTTATTATTGTGTGCGTGGGTTTTTTTCCAAACACAATGGCTGAATCTCAGACCACTGAAACCCAAAGTCACAAACTCTTTGCTCTTAGTGCTGCTAAATGCAACGGTCCAGATTCTCACATTGCCCCAAATGCGGCCCAGTGTACGTTTTTGTTTTCAAACATACATGTAATTATGTGAATGTGCAAGCTCTAAGTCGTGCTCTAATATGTAGCGAGGGTAGAACGATTTTTTTCTTTGAGCGTAGGGTCAAGAGTCAATTAGAAGATGACGTCATTCTAGTTAGCATCATTCATATTAAACGGACAACTGTTTGCCTGATAGCACAGACTCACGCCACAAAGTAAAAGTTTGTGTGGGAGATATGTACACATTTGCACATTAAGTCCCAAATCCACTGCCAACCAATTACACTTTTATGCATTCCCTGGTAAAACTATAGACCTTTTTTCTAATGATTAAATCGTTTGTGTTAATGTAGAGTCCGTTATGCGATCTTCCCACTAACCTTAATATGTAGCTTATCTACTCAAATCCGGAAGACGAGCTTGTTGGTGGTGCAGATTAATTAATGGTTTTTAGGGGTAACGTCGTTTACAGCTGCCTGAGGCAAGCTGGCCAGATTAGTCAAACATTTGCTTAATTTATGGGAGTGAGAAATATTAGGTCCGTCACCCCTGGGCATGTTTAGTCTGGATGCACTGGCACTGTTTGCATGGGAACGATGTTGAAGGAAAGCTAACATTAACACACTTCGGAAATGCTGCTGACTTTGGAAATGCTGGCGTCGTCAATAATGGCATTTGCGCAGAGCTGTTATCGCTATAAGGTCGTGTACAAAATGCACTCACAATTGGCGTCGAAGACTAGACCTAGACTAGACTAGCACTCCCTGTTTGGACTTAATCCTTTATTTTTAGCACATAGAAATCTTGACGTATGAGGCGCCATCACGGGCAAAATTAATATTCTACTAAACGAATGTTCCAAAAGAAAAACACAGCTCAAAGGTTAAAAAGAAACAAAATAAAAACCGCATAAATAAAGGACATCGAGAAAATAAAAGGAAAATTAAAAACGAAGCACAGAAAAATAAAGTCGAGCTCTAAATCCGGCTTTGAGAACTGCATTTGCGAAACAAACGATGAAACCTCAATCGGTCAGAAAAAAAAAGAAAAAGATTAAAGGGCAAAAGTCAACGATAAAAGGACAGAAAAAATAATAAAAGCACAAAACCAAACGATCAAAGAACAAAGCAAAGGATCTCCAGGTAAAACTTAACGATCAAAGGACGAAGCCAAATGATCAAAGGATTAAACAAAACGATCAAAGGACGGAGCCAATAATCGAAGGACAAAGCCAAACGATAAAAGGACAAAAAGAAACGAACTAAGTGAAAGTGAACATTGATGGCAGCAATTGCTGACGGTATGACAGCGCGCGTAAATCCGATCTCAAATCCAGTTTGTCAGAGAAGTCAAAGGTCGTTACTTTTGGTGGGCTTAGTTATCTATAGCAACAAAAAAATTTTTGTCATGATAACCGAGGAGACGGCGAACCGAATACTCATTGCTCTTGACGGAGTGATGGATGCGTTACCGCCTCAGACGTCACTGACGGTAGGCTTCGGCTTACCAGTAGGCCTCCCACTAGGCCAGTTTAGATGCCAGGACCACGAAGCGTGGGCCCAGTTCCGTTAAGCCAAATGTCACTACCTGTTACATCAGTATGACTGGCAGCACTGGAACAACCATAAGAACGATGCCTAATGTAGGCCTAGGACATGCCAGTGTACGTGCAACTGGAAGTAGTCGAAGCCCTGCATGGCAACAATGACCTATGATTTCTTTGCCTCACTGGATTTGAGATCGGATTTAATATGTCATTTGTCGCATTCGGGTGGCCTGTTCTTGACACGGCTTTCTTGTTCTTGCGCTCAAACGGCGACGACACGGCGACTCAAGAACACTGTTCTCGTAACAGGATCACACACAAGGGTTTTACACAGACACACGGGAAAACTCGTGAGATTTTTATTGTTGAACAGACGGGAAAAAATAGCGAGACGGTTTACAAAGCCGGAGACAACGGGACGTTTGGCAAAGTTAACATTAGTAATTTTCCTTACCACATAAAAGAATGTTTCTTTATAAACAGAATACAAGTCAGCCCAGTTATCCAAACATTAACCCCTGAAGGACACGGCGTTCGAGTGGTCAACCCACGAACAATAAATCGAGCTGTTCGTGAACATACAAGAACAAGCAATTGCTGCCCTCAACGTTCGCTTTTACTTAGTTCGTTTCTTTTGTCCTTTGATCGTTTGGCTCCGTTCTTTGATCGTTTTGTTTTTTCTGAAGATGCTTTGTTTCTTTTGATAGAAAGTACCGTATCCGTCGGTAAGGCAACTATTGTAGTTACATCAGTTGCAGTTAATCTTCAAAATAGTCAGATATGTATATCGGACAATACCAGTTTTTTATATCGCGCAAGGCACTCGGTGGGAACCAACACGATGCAGCATTATCGTACTCATGGGTACGAGGTTGATCTACACTAATTACACCATTGATTTCCCTAATTATGAAAGTCAAGGAACTAGACTCAGTTGGTTATCACGTTCGCGTGCAAGCCTTACACTTGGTTGCAAAGACGTGAAGCATCTTCCCTGAGACCATCACACTTACTCCGATTGTCCACTCGTTCCAATCATCCTGTTAGGGTACTGGGGGCAGTTGATACCTTTCACGAAATTGTGCAGAAGGAGAAACGCCAGGGTTAAAGATATGTAAAATTTCGTGAGTAGTTTGTTGTTGTGATGTTTGCATATTCAACGCACACGTGTCGACCGTAGACAGACGTATTGCCCCGTGCTACTGTAAAGACAATTTTATACAGGGTGTCCACATAAAAATATACCGAGATAAAAATTACTATAATGGCAAAACTACTTCAAATATGGGAAAGAGTAATATTTCTCTAGAAAGGGCAGAAGCCCTCTCTGCAATGGTATTAAGCTTTTGATGTTATTGAGACAGATGAGTGAACAAACTAGACCGGTGTTTAGGGTACTGAAATTAGTACCCTGACTAGTTGCATATTTCGAATAACAAAAGTTAGCAGTAAGCAGTTATCAGTACGAGCAGGAAGGACATGTTACGAAGATGTCAGATGTGTATCGCCAATAATGGTAGCCATGTGAAAGGCACATCACAGTAAACGTATGAGGTAAGAAGTGAAACCAAGGCAGGTTAGATTGATTTAGGTACATTTCATGTTTTCAAGAATGTGTTCCTAAGCAAAGACATTGGGTATTCCGCACACTTGCATGGTTGAGCCTTGTTAATTAATCAAAATAATATGCAAACTTGTCACAGTGCCGATTTCAGTACCCTTTTGCCATTATAGTACTTTTTATCTCTTTTTTTGGGACACCCAGTACATTAAGATTGGAGAAGTTACCTCGTTAAGAAACCACGAGAGAAGGCAAGCAAACAATTGCCTACGTCGAATTTGTGAGCAGACATCTGTCCATGTGATGCCTTGTCTTTTTGAACTGTTTGTGTTGTCCAATGCAAAGAGTGCATTAGTGGAGTATACCCAGATGGCGAATTTCAGCTTTTAGTTACTAACCTGTGGGTGTTCTAGATTATGGTTGAACAAACCCGTTACACCACACTGCATTTGTTTTACAATTTGATTGCAGCATGATCTGAATGTGATGACTGTTTTTAATCCACGTGTTTCTCCTCCCGCATGCCTTACTGACGTTATGTGCATGAAACCTTTTGTCAGGCCGGAGTAATCCTCCTCTCACCTTGTATGCCAGAGATTATTTGTTGCCCTTTTGGAAATATACCCGTCCAAGCGGTAAGTTTTTAACCATTTTCCTAACTATTTTTGGGGAGGTCTGAGCAAAGCAGGGCGCTTTAAATCACACATGCTCTTCTCATCATTGACACAACAAAATAGTATTTGCAAACTTCTCTCCTCGTCTCATACCATATGCTCTTGCCTTCACTGCAGTCGTTTAACAAAACCAAGTCCAAGATGAAATTAATGAAGCATTGATGGAGTACAAAAACAGGAGCCAGAGAAAATACTTATTTCGATGTCATCTTTTCCGGTCCTCTTTTTTAGTCCATAATTCGGTCTCTAGTGCACGTTTATACCCTCTCGGGCCCGTGAGAGACCAGAAGGGGTTCCTATTTCTCTTCGTCAAAAGGGCATAAACGGGCAGTAGTGACCCAATGGCCAGTCCATAGCCGTATGGGTATCACACACTATTTGTTGACATGGATCAAGTAATCCAATTTTAGGATTCGTGTTTACCGGAAGGTAAAATGTCGTGTAGGTTAAAGTGTAGCTGCATTGATTTTTTTAAAGACACTGTTTTTGCAACTCTGTACTCTTTTTCAATGTATGAATGCTCTTTTATGTTCCTATTTGGCTAAATGCATTGAAAAGTTAGTGCGCTTTCTGAACACTTCAAATTATCCATGCTGTCATTGGCAACTGAAGGCGCTGTTGCTGTGGTGTCATCCAGAGAAGATATGGTTCAGTGTATAGGTTTTCCATTCAAAATTGGGAACCCCGCCTTTGCTTCATGAAAACACTTCCAAAGATTTAGTCCAGCATATTCTACCGAAATGCAGGTTTTTTGTGTACAAAATAAAGTAATATTGAGGGGTTCTTCCTGGCATAACACCTCCGTTTTGCTCATGAATATGGAAATACTCATCTTTAAAAAAAAACAAAAAGGGAGTAAACTACCCTTTGAAATAGCGAAACGAAAGTTAACACTGTGGTTAACTGGGATACACCGGTGCATTTGAAGTTGTGTTAAAACAAATTGATTACAGCTACCCTTTAACGTTTAGATTTAATCGGTCATACAGTGGATCCTTTGGGCACACAACGCCGCAACCTCGTTCCCAAGGTGTTGAGTTGTGCTCCCCAACGCTATTGCTCTCCAGCCTAATAACAGATCAGTTGCATTTTCAAAACATTACCCACTTGTGTTATTGAGGAATAGTCTGGTGCTTATAGCTGCGCAATACAAGTAACGTTCTATTCGGTATGCGGGATGCGCGATTTTACTAAAAACGTGATTTTTCAGACTAGTTCGTGTTAGGGCTTATGTGCCATTTGGCAATCTGGTGGTATCAATATGAAAAACATGTGATAAATAAAGGATTGCTGGGTAAGTGGAGAGGACGTAGGCATTCACAACGTGCGTTAAACACAAAACAAACAACAACGAACAAGAACAAGATATGAATTTATTGGTTTGCTAACACAGTGTCGATTTAAAACGAAGGAATATTTATGAACTGTAGGCGCTTACAACTGGAAACTATGCAAAGAACAAAGTAACACCTGGGGACGAGGTTGGCCTCACGTACCCAACAAAATGCTCCCACGCAGGGTCCATTTAAGATTCATTTCTCTCAATCTTTACGTCCGTCGGCTTCCTAGTCTGCAACTCTGAGCAACCCTTTTTTAACGTACTCAGACGCCCTCTTTTTGTCATCTCTCATCAATCCTGGTAATAGAATGATACATGTCATTTCTATGGTGCCTTCATTTATGTATTTATCCTTGAATAAGCCTACACATCCAAGGAGGCACCCTTACTAGAGAAACAAAACGTATATTTGCATGGATGCCTCTGTAAGGTTACACATGCTGTAAATTGCATGGAAACCATTGAGCATGGCATTTCGTCAAAGTCACCGGCAACACAAGTTCAGAGTATAACTACTTGTACTTATTCGATGACGCTTGCACACCAATTGAAACGATTCCCAGCTTACCCAAGAAGCTTAACATCTTAATTAACCACGTGTTTCAGCTTACTGCCATGTTACTCACAGCACGTACTTCCAACTAATCATGTGCATGAACTCGCCAACGATTAACCGTCACGGTCACATTCTTTTTCTGCATGACGTGAACAAATGTACTTTTCACCCACCTTCACTTGGTATTTCCCGCTTATTGTTTGTTGTATCTCACAATTGATATCACAAAATCAACCCTTAGAATTATACATCAACGCCATAATGCAATGCATGTCTCCTGGTACATTACTAATAATGATAAACGAAAAACCAAATCTCGTGGAAAATGCATTTCACTCGGTAAATTACTTCAGCTGTCCTTAATTGAACACGTTTTGGTAAACACTAGGATTTCTCTTCAAAATGACACCCTTGCCATAATATTTAATTTTCATTTTAGTTAGTCAAACAAGTTATAACTTCACCATGTTGTGAAATTCACTGATTCTGCCCGCACTTTTGTGAGTTTCAATCTTATTCTTACATAACACCTCGCCACATTCATTCATCGACAGCTCCCGGCATGCCTTGGTTCAACAGCATCGATGCGCATACTCTTCTGTCCAAATTCGTCGGTGACACAGCGGTTCTGAGGTGCACGGTAGAGAACAAGGGAGATAGAGATGTGTCTTGGATGAGGACGGGACCGCATGCGGGTGAGGGCCCACGTATAGACACTGTCGTTGCAACTTCATGAGGCTGATCCAAAAGCCCCGCCCCATGTCAATCGCACTTATCACAAATGACGTGATTGAGGTCAAACGTGCGCGCACTGTTTAAAGATCAGACCAGCATACAAAAGCACGCACGAATAACGCACGGGATGAAGGTTACAGCATGGTTAATGGAGGGGACCACGCGTTAACCAGTCAGCTTTGCATTTCAGCACGACATGTGCAAAAATTGTAAAAAAAAAAATAAATAAAAGCTGTTGCAGTCGCTGATGTTTGTTATCATTGGCGCAGACTTCGTTAATAGCAGTTGGTGGTCAAACCATAGAGATCGTAAGTAGAAGTAGAGTCGACGTGGGACACGTACAATTGCACCATTAAGCTCGAACAACTTGGAACTTTGCAGACGCCCACGCACGTGTGATCCCGAAAAGTGTGCGCGTTTATGTGGAACATCATGTGGCCCTGTTCTTGCGCAAACTTGGTGTAGCGTTCAAGAACAGGCCCAACACCTCTAGCTTTACTCTGGTTACTTTGTGTAAAGCCTTGAGTTGTAAATAGCGCCAACGTCAGACCTTGGGACCAAAATGGCTTCTCGTTGTGTGCGCAGTACAGCAGTACAATGGCATTGAGCCATTGTGCGCTAATTTGTCCACGTGAAGTGCTGCAAAGTCCACGGTTCGAGCAAGTGACACACCCATGTCGGAACTCTGTCCCTAAATAGCTCTGGCCAAGCCCTCATTAGTTATTTTACTTGGCAGTGATCGCGGTGCTGCCGGCAAGAGTGACAATGGAAGGGGAAAGGAAGGAAGGAGGGCAAGTTAGCGCCCCATTCAAAACGATAGGCCCACAGCGACGTAGCTAGAATTGCTTGGTGTTGGGGGGTTGTCCTTTGGGATCGCCTTAAAAAGGTTCACATGTACATGTAAATTAAGCTGTTTATATTTGTATCACTCACTAGACGTCATCTTCGTGGGAGATGCGATGTTCCATTCTGATAGCAAATACAAAATTGAAACGGACAACAATCGCACGTTCCACCTGCGCATCGAGCGACTGACCCGAGCTGATAACGGGACGTACGCCTGTATTGTCAACACGAAGCCTCCCATATCGTGGAATGTCAGTCTCCAGATTGTTTGTAAGTCCTTTTTTAACCGTCAATGTTTGATGCAGTAGAAACCATCACAAAGCCTGGCACAAGACAATGTGCGTATAACACGTTGGACATAGACAGAGGAATGCATTCGTAGCAAGTAAATGAAATGCCCTAGGCCACGAATTCAAACTAAAGGTCAGTTGATGTCTGGTGCTGTTGATGTCAGTTGATGTCTGGTGCTGTTGATGTCAGTTGATGTCTGGTGCTGTTGATGTCAGTTGATGTCTGGTGCTGTTGATGTCAGTTGATGTCTGGTGCTGTCCATGTGGTATCTTGTGATGGCCTTAAAGGTCTCGAATATAAAGCCCCGTGGCCCTAGCCCTAGGATATCATACGTCCATCCAACATAACACTGATACCCTAATAACACCCTATCCACTAAAGGAGTCCATCAATACTGACCGCATGGAGAGCTGGCACGCCTACACTCCACACGGCTTTCTACTCACCCTCAGCAAACCAAAGTACTCTTCGCCCCCTTTCCTTTAATCGTACCGAGATTTACTGCGCCACGGCACACAGATCAACCCCCTACCGACCAAATCCACTGATCGCCATTCATAGATGTATTCTCTCTCTAAGCAAAACGTACACGCATGCAACTCGCAGAGACATTCGGTAACTAAAATTACATGCAGTTTACTAGTCTGACTGAAAGTTCTGATACGTGATCAGGCAGGCAGCCTAATTCCTATACTGACGTAATAAGACGTAGACAACCAGTCTCAAATTAATGGAGACACTTTAGTGCGACTGACCCCCCCCCATAAAACCAGACCCGGATATTCGCCAAAGGTATGTCACGTACACATTCTTTCAGAGTAGGAACACCCAAGCGTACACGCTGTCATATTTCGATATTTGTTTTTTCCTGATGACTGATGTAGAACCCAAATTATCAACAAAAGAGGTGACCCTGAATAAATAGAGCACACTGAACTGAAATACCAGTGCAGCAATTAAAAAAATCTACATCTTTCCAAAGCATTTCTTTATTTTGTCAAATAACTTCAGACACTGTTTTAATCTGCGCGCTGACGTTTTAAGAGCTTCGATGCAGACCTTGCAAAGAAGCTCAAGCTGTGAGGTTCTTTACCACGTTAAGGTGTTTCCCTCAATGGGGGCTTTGAGAAGCTTAAATTTGTGGCGGCAGTCAACTCGACCAGTTCCGCGCGTGCGCACGCAGTTCAGGGCATTCGCGGTAGTTCTGAGCACGTGCACAATTGTGGAAAAGGATTGGTCTGTTTGCCGCCACCAACGGTCTCAAAGTCTTCCATTACGTCTTCTTTTTGAAACTTTTTTTTTATTCATCTCTACCCGCAAAGCCGTTGCAACTGTAAAGGACGTCCAGCAGGTGTCGCCCACAGTCGCGGAAAACAAGAAGCGTATGTTCGTTTTTAACGAGTCCGACATCGTGGAGCTGAAATGCATTGGCGAGGGCATCCCGGCAGCGGGGTAAGTTACCTCGAGGGGGGAGGGTTGTGGAAATGGCCCCTGGTAGATCACTGATTATGCGTTTAAAAATCTCGGGTGGTGTTGAATGAGCAACCATCCCAGTCGGCTGTCGTATTCAGGGAAAAAAATAGTAGTCGGGCTGCGCAGATGATTGCTTGATCGGATGTAATTTGATTTGTTATCGAACATTAGATCATTCATTAGCGAAATCTAATATTCAGTGGTGAAAATATAGGAAATAAAAAGGGAAAAACTTCTTAATGTTTTGCGAAATTATGAAATTCTATTTGAGTACATGTACCCAACATCAAGGCCATGGATTCTACTTGTCTTTTTCCTTTTTGTTTTTCCTCATTTCTATTGTTTAGTTTTTGGAAAACATAAACCCAGTTACAGAAACTTTGTTTTATAATAAAAAGTAATTCGTAGATAAAACTTTTGTTTACTTCATAAAAACAGCACCACCGGCAAATCTTTGTTTTCTTATAACATTGTAAAACTGCTAGTCACTTCGGGAAGACATATAAACGCGTATTAAAAATTGTTACGTTATATTGTATTTAAAGACCTCATATTCGAATATTCATTTACATAATTTCATATTGAGTCATTTGTTTTTTTAGACATGGAAATGTATCATTTCGTGAATAACTTGATGGAAGTTCCTCTCCTTTGGAGAAAACCTACAACATGCAGAGAGAGTGAGCTTTATCATACATCTCTGAAATCGATATTATAATAAAGGAATCTGAACAGTTTCTCTGGGCGGGAGAAAAAAGTCTCTTGGACGATAAACAGCTGCGTACCATCCAGAAACAAATGCCTGACTCGTGGGAGAGAATACATGCATGGCAGGCACCGAAAAGTGCTATATTCATCAGATACGTGTTGACATCTTGTAAATAGATGCCCGGAATTTGAAGTGCTTTATTCATCGCTCGAGTTAATTTTGACGTCAGATAGATGTCAATGTCAGGTACTCGAAGTGTTGTATGAATTAGATACGTTTTGACGTCAGGTATACCATATGCTTTACGACATGTATTAACGGGATAAATTTGGACGTCAGATACACGTATATAAGGTACTACAAATATACTTTATTCATCAGATAAGTTTTGACCTCATATAAATGTGTGTCAGGCACTTAAAGTACTTTAAAACCTGAACAAGTGTTGACGTCGGACACAGGTACATGTATATGTCATGCACATAAAGTGCTTTATAAACTACATACGTTTTGACATCAAAGGCATGTACGGCAGGCGATTCGCGTGTTCTATACACAGAAGTCAGGCACTAAAGTACTTTCTTCTTCGGATAATTCTCGACAACATCAATGTATGAACGATATTTGAAGTGCTTTATTTATCAAATACGGGTGTGGTAGGCCCGTAGCACTTTAATGCATCAGCCAAGTGTTGACACCACGTACATGCATGTAACGCACTTGCAAGGCATCATGCATGCGTGTTAAGATATGAGCGCAAAATGACGTCGCAGAAAAAAAGGACAATTAGCGGACAGGTATTAATCGTCAGTGTTTTCGCAAGGTCACAAAAACCCCATGTCAGGCAAAACAGACATTCTAGCATGATAAATGCGTTTCAAAATATTCCCCTATTTCACGACACATTTTCGGGTACTTTGTTGTTAGGGATTCGGGAATGTTGTGCACATTCATGACATCTGCGAGTATTAAAATGCCAATACACACTCAGTTGCAGAAAACTGGTTCTGATAGTTACTCGTTAATATATTTTTTTTGATTCGTGAAAACAGCACCACCTGGGGGTCTTTTTTTATAACATATCACACTGTTTTTGTCACTTTGCAAAAACATACAAGCAACAAATCTGGTAGAACTGTGGCCGATAAGGTGTTCAACGACTCTGTCTGGAGGTTCGGACTCCCTTATGAACTTCACCATACATTATGTAATATTTAGATACTTACGCAGGTGTTTATGTTCAACATCGTTCTCATGCATGCATAAACTCGCATCCTGTTTCGTACAGAACATTGCGCTGCCTATTTGCCCCACTCACGAGGTGACTTGCGTCACTTCCTGTAAGCGGGGAAACACAGTTATCAAACGTTTTGTCAAATATTTTTGTGCCATTGGTATGAAAATAAACGAAAATATGCTTTAAAACGATGCTTTTTAAATCAAACGTATGAAATGGCAGGAAAAAATCTACAGAGTGCCCTAGAAAAAAAAAACCCTGAGGAAAGGGGTTGATATGCCTAAACCATGAAGACAACCTCATTCACTGGTTTATCAAAAGTGTTACAACTGAGTTCGGATGCCCCATTTTCAAGACAACAGTGTTCAGTCATGCATGACGGGAGGGATACCATCAAGATATCATTAGAAAGAATACTTCTTTTACTTATACATTATAATCATATCTCATGGTTTGGGCATATTAACCCCATTCCGCAGGGTTCGGTTCTTTCTGGGACGCCCTGTATATCGAAAAATTGTCCATTTTTCAGGTTATTTCTTACTTTGTGACAATAAGGAAAACAATTTGCAACTGAATGGGGCCGTTCAGTCCTGCGTTTGCATCAACGTTTGCCGCATGCTAGTAAAAAAAAAAAAGGCTCACGTGCCTTCCCAATATTCTCAAGGGTTTTGTGCCTATTTTAATGTCTGTATTCGTCTAGATGTCGGTGATAGTTACTAGTGTCCTTCGGTGGCACGTATTTGTAGGCAGTAAAATTAGTAGGCCCTGGGGTTTAAGTGTAACTCTGTATTACATGCCTAGGCTGACGTGGATTGGTCCAACGGGCGAGCGAATGGGTTACACAACGTTGCGCATCGACGGTATCAACCGCACCCAGGATGGCGATTACAGATGCGAAGCTGACAACGGCCTCAATGACGTCCCAGATGTCCGTTTCGTTACCATCAAAGTCAACTGTGAGTTGAAGTTCCTGAAAACCACTTTCTTAGATTGGATGTGTCTCCCCTGTGTCTGTCTCTGTGTGTACTTGCGTAACACGTTTGCGCACGGAGGACAAGACACGGTCGTGCTTTGCTATACCACGGAGGAAGGACACAGAAGTAACAACTCTGGCACATCAAAGTGCTCGATGATGCCCTTCCTCCATGGCTCGGCCATCGGGGAAGGGGCATTGTGTTTGTTACAGTGTAACATTGTTCAACAGAATAACCACAGGCTCTTACCATCGAGGGCAATAGGTTTACCACCAAGGACAGTAAATTACCGTTTGTTCTGTTTCCGTCCATTTAAGAAAACTACTCATTGTTTTTCTTGATCTGTGCAAGCTGTTTTAAGCTATAATGGATTTTTGTAATGATTTCCTTGACTATCCTCAATTTTGCGACTGATAACCCTAACCTACAATGCCTCGCAACTTCTTTTTCAGAGAGGGAAAAACGTGCTGTGGGCGCAGCTAAGTCCACAAAATATCCTCCCTTCCTGCATTGTTTGGACATCTTAGGTTTATGAATCCAATGTCCCAGGGTGCGCAGAACAAACACAGCTGAGAATGTCAGATTAACCTAAAGCCTTCGAATATATGTGCTTGAAGTTTTTGGCGGGCCTGAATGATTCTGTTTTTGTCCAACATGAAACCAGGCCATATTCGCAGTCTAACGGCCAACAAATGAATTTCGTTTTCCGTTTGCATCTTCAGACATGCCAGAGATCCGTTTGTATCAGACAGACGTCGAAATCCGCAAGGCTGTGGGCGGATATGTGAAAATGATTTGCAGGGCTGATGCCTCGCCGCGGGTCACATTCACATGGAGGAAAGACGGCGTGCTGGTACCGCCGTCCTCAAGGATTACCAACCGGCAGCAGCAGACAATGTAGGGATTGCGAATTCTTCCTGATTGGGGATGGTTTGTAATTTAGGAAGGGCAAACGTAGCTCATGTCCGGCTCTTACCATCCAGGGACGTTGTAACCCGATGATTTTTACGGCACCCTCGTGAGACACTTTCACCCTAAAAGAGGCGTTCGTTATCTCTTTAACGTGCTCATTGTACGTTGGCCGACGTGTGTAAGGGGGTGAAATATAAATGACAACACTAAAGCCTCGCCATGATGGATTTCATGTAAACTTCACTTATGTACCCCCCCCCCAAAAAAAGTCTTTTCGAACCAAGTTTCAACAAGGGCACGAAACAGCTAGTATCCCGGGTTGGATCCTGCCACCTCACCGCCGCTGGCTGTAAGATTGTCAGGGGAAAAATACAACGCTCTTTAGAGTGAAGTGTATTGAAGTGAACACAATACATCGAAATCTCAATGCCGGCACAGTGCATAACAGTCCCCTATTGCGCTTGCGTTGTTCCGGGTTTGCGGGTCCCCGGTATTTTTGGTTTCCATTGACGATTCTGATACTAGACCGTCTAATATGTTTACCAGACCAGTGGATCTACCCTTTTGTAACCCTAATTGACTAAAACTTCTCCCGGTGGTTTTTTTTTCGTTGTTGAGTACCAAATGTGACTAAAGGTTGCCAAAACTTGTACTCTAATCAGTTACATTTAACTAGAAGTCAGTAATAGGGACAGCTGGGTGCAACTGGAAATTAGTCTACCTGACTAGATTTTTTCAGTCAGTTCATTGATATTTCAAAAGGCATCAAATAAGAATCTTGTCAGAAAGCATGATTTGCCAATTTAAGCCTGGGTGTTTGACTGAATCTGTATACTAGTCAATTTTGGATAACTAGGAAAATCAATCCACATGAACTAGGGTGTTTTAAGGGTGTGGTCTTATACCAATTTCTGACATAGTTGTCATAACAAAAAGCTTTAAAAAGTTGATGTTTTCACATAATGCATGTGTCAACCAAGGCCAAATTTCATGGCACTGCTAAGCACACAATTATACGCTAGCAGAGGCTCATCGTATGGAAACCGTAAGCAGTAAGCGCGGCAAAAGGCCTTTACTGAGAGGATAAAGTTACTTCACTTGGTGACAAATCTTTGTACTGTGGTTAGCGAAAATGCTTAACAGTAGGGCCTAAGCAACGCCGTGAAATCGGGTCCAGGTTGTTAAGTTGTCCGAATCAAGTTGGCTGCGGCTTGAAATTGCACACAACTTTATGGAAACTGGCTGCGGCCACAACCATAGACTTGTGTGTGATTTCTAGCTGCAGCCAGGCAATTCGGACACGGCTTCAAATTAACATCTGCCATAGGATAAAGTGTTGGTAAAATGTTTGCATCTTTGCCCCCTCACCAGCCGAATCTGCTGCTGCATTTTGGTTTCGCAGCCAAGAGTGGTTTCATGTTGGCTTTTGTTGTCCCAGAAATATCTTCGTATATTCGTATACTCACGGGCCCGTTGCCAGTGATAGCTGCAAAAGGATGTATGTTCAGTGCCAATCTCCATTTTAATCTCTTTGGCAAGGGCTTTAATTCCCTCTTCACAATTATATACGGGCAGGAATGAATGCTGCTGTTTGCATTACCGCCCAAATTCCGCTGCAATCGTTTGTGTTGGTGATTTCACGGCTACGTACACTACCAAAGTCCGATGTTCATTTCGGCTTTCATCCAGCCAGCAAAATGCAAAGACGGGGTTTTCGAAACGTCGTCTGTGACTACAGCCAGAACCCTCCGTGGCCTGTGCTGATATTGTGTGGATGTGTTAAATGGTCATTGTCTTACTAACAATGCAAGGAATTCTTTGAATTTGTTTTACTTTGATTTGCACTGTTTATGTAAACCTGCTAGCTGGAAGTATGAGGGTTAAATCAAGACATTCTGTCTGCACTAAAATTGATCCATTTTATGGACACCTGCACATTTATTTATTTATTTTTTTGGCAGTGGGATTGAACAAGCTAGAAAAGCTCCTTCTTAAGTCGCTTGTGAACCCAACTTTACTGATTTCGTCACAGGATAACATTTTGAAAAGCAAGATTCAAGCATTTTCAAAAGGGGGCATTTTGCAGTTTTCACATTTGAAGGGGGGTTAAAACAAATACACATGAAAACAATACTGCACAGTTGCATGACTCTATCTTGTGGAAGTTAGTGCATCACTTAGGTACACATCCAAGAGACTCAACGACAAGTTCCTGAGGTTGGCCACGAGCAGTTAGTACGTTGTTCAGCTTAATCTTCGTCTTATCAGAAACATTTTGTATATTTTCTCCTCTCCTACCGTGTCGTGTGCTTACTAACCAAGGATCCACATAAGTTGTGATGTTGATACGTCTAGGCAAGTAGTCTTTCAAAGTATGATTGTTGATGTGTCGTTCAAAATGACCCCACGTCTCCTAAAGCGCATGCTCGCACCAGCCAGTACGCCCGCATGAATGCATGAATGTCTACATATGCTAACTTCTACCTTAAAACGTACCACCGTCTATGTCGTAGTGTCATTGTTCCATCCTCCCAAAGACGCAGCAAACCACGAAACTATGGTACTGAATTGACCCACTAGGCACATTCATGACTGGTGTTGTGGATACACCGTAGTTATTGTAGTGTACGAACATACGACGCCTCATTTACCTCATTTGTTTTTGACACACGTGTTTGTGAAGGGAAGGTAATTGATGTTGCCAAGTCGTCACAACTCGTGGAGGGGTCAATGGGGACAATAAAGTTATTATCTTACAGTAATAACTAGTATCTGTTTCGACACCAGATCCATATTCGTGGAAAAGGTCAGAGCAAATATGTGAAGTTTTGGATTTAGTAAACAACAACAACAACACCAGAGTGTCCCTATTTCACCATTGTATGAGAACAATGGTCAGGTCTGTTTTTGGATTGGACTGGGCGAATGGGCATAAATGACACATTTTCTAGCATTAAAACAATACTTTTCTTTGCTACCAACCAAGCATTTCCCTACCCACGTATCCCTTACCCCCTTTCAGATTCCTGATATACGATTTGTTTGGTCTGTATTTCTCCTGTGAATAAATGTAGAAAGAACCGTCTGCATCAAACAATGGCGATTGCAAAGTGCACTCCTCCCTTACCTGTCTATGTCCGTACACTGCCATTACGGACCTCTGCAGTGTCCCGCCCCCTCCCTGCATATTTGCAGCAACCATTACAGACAGAGTGTTAATTTCGTTCAGGTTGATTTTTTTTTCTCCTATCCGTAAGGGGATACGTTTTAGATGCTAGGTGACGGCAAACAAAGTGGTCCCACGTGATCTTTCCACGATTGTTTGCGCTATTTTGAGGATTTGCATATCAACTAAAACGTGAGGCTAACAATAAGTGAGCTGGTCACGTTGGACCGTTGTCACTGTGCTTGTCGCAATCAAGCATCTCAAAATCTCCTGTCTCTGAGATGTTGTAGAGCCGGTGGCGGCGCTGTATTTTTTTTCTTCTTTTCGGGGTAGTGGGATATACCAATACAACAGGATTTCTTGGTGGATCTTAAGGTAGTTACAGTTGCGCATTCGAAAAATTAACTATTAGATTCGTAAAGGCAAATTTGCATCGTTTTCACATTCACTTAAGTATGAACAAATATATGTGTTTTGGCAACCGGTTCGTAAGTGTAAAGTCACTTCAGTTTAATCACGCCCACTGCACACGTGCACCGCACATAGAATCACATGCATCGATCGCCGTTTACGTGGAACCATGGAACCGGAAGTTAACGCGCAAGTTCAGCGATTGTCCAATGAGAGCCTGCAAATCGTGGCCCGACCGCCTTTGTGACGAAGTCACTTACGAACCGGATAGGAACGAGAATCGGCAGTCCGTGGCCACTTCCCCACAAAAAAGATCCTGCAATAACCCCCGAGCAAGCAAAGAAAAAAATCTTCCAATCATTGTCACTGGCTCTTTTTCAAGTAACTTTGCCGGTAAACAAAGTTTGTAGCCCATCTCTAGTCAAACAGGTGCACAGTCACGTCGCCAAAACAGACACTGGATTTCATTCGTTGGCAATATAAATATGCTTTCTCGATCTATCAAGATCTGCTTAGGTTCACCTGCAAAACCTACACTCTCATAATAGCTCGCTCAAAAGGAGCGCAGAGATGGCGCAGTCACGTATTTAATCACACGTTCCAGTTCTTTCGGCGTACGGGGTCGGCTGGTCCGGCGACGCACCTGGGGCTCAAGGCTCGTGAGATGAGCAAGATTTGAAATTTTTATGAGTTAGGATGATAGGTCTTTCAGCCAATTAATTAATCTTGCAACCAGTTGTAAATAACGAGTACAAGAACGCTACCCTTTAGAAATTGACACCCACACTTCGAAACAATCTTTTAATAGTGGTGCACCATCCCCGCCTCCTTTGGCTAATGTTAACCTGCTGTTTGCTCCATTGTTTCCATAGAGTGATTGTACATATTCAGAACTAATGTCCAAGTACATAATCAAAATAAAGTCTGAAATTGTCTTTGTTGATTTTAACAGCATCTTCTTATTTAGATAAAACAAATTTAGTCAGAGGACTAAATAGGGTACATTAGCAACAATAGCTAATGTTTTCGTTCGAAATATTTTTTCTTTTGCAAGCCGGAGAAGGAGATGCGTGTCAAAATTCGTCGTAGGGTAAACCAGGCTGATTTCGGCTCATTGTGCTGAAACGCTGTTGCCAATTGAGATGACAATAGATTACGAAGACTTAAACCCTACGCATCCTCGATATAAGGCAGTCCAGCTCCTGTCCAACCTGGGCCTTGCTGCTTTGATACAGAGATTTTCATACAGAAGTTGTAATGGACCGCCAATTTGGCAGAAAAAAAAAGGTAGACTGGCTTACGCAGTTGCCAGTGCCCGGCGGAACTGAAGGTCCTCACACTTAACTTTCTTGAGTTCACCTGTTTTGTTTTTGTTTGGTTTTAATTTCATTTTTTGCTCCACATCGGTTTGTAAGGGTACCTCTGTGCCACAATTATTCACCCTGTCTACTTTCACCAAGTGGAGCGGGAGCAGGGGAATGTTTGCCCAATTACGTATTCTGAGGGACTTCTACAGAGCAGTCTAAAGGTTGTGAAATAATCAAAGTTCAAAAACTCATGAGTCAAAAGATACCATTCTTACTCAAGACAAAAAAATTTCCTGTCCGCAACTGGATTGTTAGGTTTTATCATTGAAAGACTTTACGCTTGTTAATTTGAACGTTAGCCGGGCTGTTGCAATTTTGCGCGGTTTAACAGCGCGAACCCGGGCTCTGTTTTTCCTATCACACAGATTAGTTGTGTCGGTTGCGTGACGGCAACATTAAACCAGGATGATTCATCTAATGACCACTTTAATCCGACGTCTCCGGAGAATGTCCTTCCTCTGGACCGCAAAGGGAGCACGGGGGAGGCAAAAGATGATTTCTCCATCGGTGTAGGACTGAGAAGCCCGCTCGTTAACCCAACTACACTAGTTGGAAGAAACAAAATGCAGTTTCCGGGGTCTGAGTAGATATTCCAAACAAGCCCTTCAGTGCTAGACCTGCACGTAATTTTAAAAATATTTACCAACTTTTTTATCCCTTCAATAATTCAACCCTATTCGAGTTTAGATCTCCTGGAAAAGATATAGGCCTACCCCCTTTTACGTTCGGTTGTAAATTGGCACTGTTAAATCAAACGCTTTTCAAGTTCATCACGATTATACTTGACATCGTGCTACTTACGTAATTACACGTGCAGATCCAATGAGGAGATGTTTGTGAATAACACATTAACAAAATATTCATTATTGTTGGCAGCTTGGTTATTGTGAGTATCGAGCCGCACCACTACGGCGTGTACACGTGTGAAGCAACCAACCTGTTGGGTACAGCACAGGCGAACATCACTCTGAATGGTAAGTCTCACAATTACATATTTTGTCCGATTCATCAAGTCGGGAACCAGACTATAGCCTGCTCGGGAAGTGCACAGTGTACAGCATAATTTGGCGATAACATACAGTAGATTCGTATTGACAACCTGATGGTCACATCGGTCTATGCTTGAAGACCAAATTCCTTTAAGGTTAAGTTATTGACCTTCATACAGAGTACGTGTCATTGGAACGTTAGCTACACAGTACTATTTTCTGGACTGGAAGCAACTGAAATAAGCATCTTCCACCGTTGGTTGGTTCCGCAGTTATCCTGGGTATCTATGTAACTAAGCACAAGCTTGCCCGAGTCACGAGGTATAAACAACAATGGTTTTAGTATGGAGAATTAAGGTTGTTATGTTCACGTGAATTTAAAGAACGCAGTGTACCAGATTTGGGTCAAAGTTAACTCGCAAAAGGCTAATTGTGACCTTTGCCACACAGGGAAGCCGTTATCCCCAACCATCATTAGTGATTCCGTGGGCACACGAAAGCACACCTTCAAGTTGACATGGCTACAACCGAGCAACCAACCTCCTAACCACCCAGGGACCATCCCGGTCAATTACTACAAAGTCATGTACCGAGGCTGGTGGAGGCAGGTAAGCATTAGCCTATTCGAGATATGGTGGACACAATACAAGGGTGCTGTTTGGTTCGGGAAACCAGAACTGTATAATAGAGAGTATAAGGCCCACCGTAGATCTTGTAGACAAAATTGCTAACTGTCCATGTGCCCAATCCACTATCTTGGTTCAGACAACTCACATACGTGTCGCAATACTCTCTATGAACAGCTCTGCAGATAAAATCATTTACGTTCACTCAAAATTTAACCAATTTAAATAGCGCAGCCCCTTTGTGTCTACAAAACTTCAAAAAGACGAAGAGTGACGAAGGTGCGATCAGGAAATCACGTGTGAAATAAAGCGCAAACTATACAGTTCATCCATCAGTTAGTTGCTTCCTTTTCATGCAGCAGAGGATTACGTCCTTAATGACAGTTCTAATTGCATCCCATCAACACTTTTATTTTCTTGTCGACTAGATCTGTTGCTGCGTTCACAGTCTCACCGGTCTCGCGCAATCATTTTCATGACAGAGGTTTCCTCTGTATCTAGTCGTGAAAACAGCTGTTAATAGCCAGCGGTGAATCCTTGCCCTAGGGTCTGATTCCCCAGTAATCCAACACTCCATCGCTCGGCACTGGTAGTTGTCTTTAGAGTATGCCTATTCCCAATAAAGATGTGCAGAGGTGCGACACGAGGTCCTGCATGACGAAGTGTATGACGCCATTCTGTTTCCATAACTGTGGGTTGAACTGCACCAGGAACCCGGGAAATAGCTGTAAATTATTGTGCTCCAAGGTGGCCATACAAACGACTGATCAAATTTGAACTAAAACGGCTTCTAACCTGAAGCTCGAACACCCCCGTCATCGATTGAAAAGATCCAGTTAACAAGGAGTATTCCTTATTTTTGTTTTGGCAGCGATGCGGTCATGATGCGTGCATTTCATAGTCGTTGTGAACCACCTAAGTGCAGTTCTGCGCAAAGATCTTGCGTTGCTAGGAAAATTGCGCCCTCTCTAGCCCTGCTTGGTACTTTGTCAGCATCCATTTCTAAGCATTGTTTCTTCTCTTCGCAATTTCCAGTCCACTAAGGATCGCAAAAAGGTGTTTTCCCTGGATGATGAGGCAAACATGTTGGAGGAAATCATCTATCCGGACCCCAATAAAGTCAGGCAGATTTGCAGTCTTCATGACCTTCGACCCAACGCAACCTACGCCCTGCAGCTGTACGCCGTCAACGACCAGGGTGAGAGTGACCCGGTCAATTTTACATTTTACACAGCCTTGGGTAAGTCTTCAGAATTGCCTGCAGTTGTTTTGCTTCGCCTCTTCAGTCTGGCTAAATGTTGATTGTGGTACATACAGGTGGGGCAAAAAGTTTACATACATTTGGAAGAAAAACTGTTTCCTCAATTTTCGCCGTTTGAAATAGTTTTGCCTATCTTCGCTTTATGAGGTCAGATAAATTGGACCTCAACGTAAAGTTCAGTGTGTGAATTTCAATTGAAAATACTAAGAAACGATTATTATTGTTCAAAATATTAATATTTCTGAAAAATTATTTTGTCAAAATTTACATTAGTCTCCTTATTGTCATTCAAAAACACTTCAGGAATTGGTCCACTGCGACTATGAAATGTGACAAGAAAATGCAGAAAGTGGCACTAAATTAGGGTTAGAGTACGTAAAATATTGATTTTTTGGTAAATACAAATGTGAATCATATGTAAATGTCTCTCGTGTTTTTTTGTGGGTTTGTTGTTTTTTTATTTGACGCATACACCATATACATTAAGCAAAGACCCATCTTGTCAGTCCTCATGAAAAATGTTGCTAGGAATGAGTGAAGTTATGAAATTTGAGGAAAACTGGTTTTGTTCTGCTAGGTATATTTAAACTTTTCGCCCCAAGTGCACACCAGTGACATATAAACCACTGGTGCCTCGTTGTAGAAGTGATCAACAGTTTTAACCTTTGTGCAAAATACACATTAGCTTTTGGGACAAATTACTGATAATTGTTTCTCAGCCTTTGAGTTATGTATGCTGAATTTTTGCAGTGTCGAATTAGTCAGTGGTCATATGTTTCCTTCTTTATTCCATCACCTGAAATAAGCGTGCTATATTCAGTTAATAATATTATGGGATTTGTTTCTTTCTTTGAAACAGCACATCTGAGTAAACTTGATTTCGATATTTCAATGAAATATTCTTTGCTAATAGCACAGAAATGGTTAGTGATCGCTATGATTCAATATTATCTGTTGTCCTTTTGTGTCAAGGTTGATTTTGTCTTCAGGTCAAGTGATGGAAATTCAGGGCACTGTAATTTTGAGCAATTGTGATATTTTAAAGATTTTTTCCCTGCCTACTTGAATGACGTTTACCTCTTGTTGTGTACATTGCTTTGCCCTGCACCTTATGCACACTTGCACAAACAACCCACGTAGCCAGAGCCGACTACAACGGTACAGGTAATGTCCGACGCAGTAGTTGCACTACGCTTTCACGCCGGAATGACACGCTTTTCATTCTCGAATGCTACATGTGCATGTCTCCGTTGCATGCCAGCCCACAAATGATTATACAGGGGTTGTTTCGTTTTGTTTGACCGTCACATTGCGTTGTCGGTAGGTTTAAATAGGTCCATATTATTTCCAAGCTGTCGTCATCATAGCATGATTCCAACAAGGACCAATCAAAACGTGAAAACTATGGCCAATATGTCAAAAAGGGAAAAGGCCATTTTATTTGTTTGATTCGTGTGCACCTCAAGTTGTCCTTTTAAGCAGTTGTCTATACCTGTGTACCCGTAGCGGAAAAAAATTATTAGTGATGGACAGTACATTGAATTACTCCAGTACAGAAGATTAAAAAGAAATGTCAGAAAAGACTGAAGAGAAGCATGCCATCGCTGGTAAAATTACATTGTCACTTTGGTGTGACAAATGCTTATCACGTGCATCATACATGTAGACTAACCCCGCACTACCGATGACATTCAAAAGCTGTGAACATCCAAGCCTGTCGGCAGATGCGTATCCCGTTTTATGAGCCCCTTTTTTCCTCTCATTGTATGTGGATTACACGAATGTGCCATTTTTAAAACAAGTTGGCTAACCTATACTTTGTATGGGTAGGCCTGCCAAAACTATTTTTCTTTTCGGGGGAGGGGACAAATCCTCGTTTTCCATCCAGTTTTACGTTTTAAAATCTTGACAAGATTTGTTATAATCAAACTGTTAAGATATGGATTTGTTATATTGTTATAATTCTTTTCTATTTAAATCTATTTTATGTCCCGTCTTGTAACCCTAAAGGAGCTGGGCGGAATATTCCTAGACTTTTTACTGATGTATTTACGTCTTCTCTCCCGCTTATGGAGACTTCAGGAGATTATCCGTTGTTTCACGAATGTCTGACATTCTGTTTTGCGAAACAATTATTTTCCTCCAGACAAGTCTCCTTGAAAAAGTGTTAAGCATTCCCACTGACATCCTAAATTCTTATGCGCAACTGACAAGGTTAAGGGCGCAAACAGACAGGGCAACTAACAGACCGTGTTGGAGACAGTGAGATCTTGGGGCTGGTTGTCTCTCCGCTGGTTGTGAGATGTTCCGAATGAACCCAGCTCCTTGTTTGGTTCAAGACATTTACCACTTAAATGAGTTGGAGGCTGAGGATGTTTATGGCTTAGATGGACATTGCACGATTTTGAACTGCCTACTAACATTTTTTTCAGTAGTTCTCAGTGTAGCATTTTCATCAGTGGCTTAGCTAAGCGGGGGAGGGGCGTAAGGGGGTCAAATATCCCTTCCCCTAGAGAGCCTGACTACGAAACCATGGCAACGAATGCCCCCAGCGGAAACTCTTGCCCCTCCCCCCTCTCCCCAAAAGCCTGGCTACGCCACTGATTCGCATCATGAAAGATTTTCATTCGGTGTACATCGTGAAATAATAATGTTAACACAGAAAGGGATGTCCTGTGTTGCTTGGGTGAGAATCTCTCGTGTGGGGCCTTGGACCGGGATACCCCCCCTCCGAAAAAAAGCTCATGATATCTCCTCCCCTATGGCGGGGTGTTTAGGATACACAGCGTCACCAAAGCTAGTACACCGTAAGACGGAATTATTTCCGACCTCAGAGGGTTCTCAAGGCCTGCTGGGACGCCCTCTCGGTGCATCTTTTCATAGAAACACCCGGGTTATTTTAGCGAAGCTAAAGTGTCCTTTTTCGCCTTCGATAACCACGGGCGGAACAAATGGCCAACTCAGTTTATATAAACGATATAAACACATCTGCACGATAATCTCAACAATTCATGCACGTTCCTTGTGCTTTTCAAAATAATGTTATTTTTCATTGTATGGTAAATTGGTCCCATTGTTGACATATTGCATGTAAATAAGGTAAATTAGCAATTACGAAAACTATTGAGGTCAACAGGTTATTTATGGTGTTTTTCTTGCTCGTCGCTGCTGGTCAGTTTCAGAGTAAATGGTTACTGGATTTTTTGTTTGTTCTGTCTGATAGCGCTATACATCTAACTAGGCAATTCTGTATCTTGAATTATTTCTGCGCACACTGGATGATTATTTACTCGAGGAAAATAGCTGTGTTGCTGTATTTTGCTTAATACATTGAATACAGAAGATAACTGGAAATGAAATAAAACAAATTAGGCTCTTCCCAAAGCAGTTAATCGGGAAAGTCGAGGTTTTTCTTAACCCCTTAAATTTGACTGCCAAACTACCTACAGATCAATCTTCTTAACTACGAGGATGAGTCAGTTACACCCTCCATGTTTGTTTCTTCATCCTTAATTAACAGAATCCCACCAAATTAATTAAAGTACCTAGTCTAGACGTTTGGAGCTTTTTGAGTACAAAAAAATCAGGTGTACCAGAGGAAACGTTCCCCCCTTCTGCTGGATCGGCACTGCATAAAACCGTCAGAATCCAGAAATTTAATATGGAAATCCGTTCTAATAAAAAGGAAAATCTGTCCAGTGTAAGGCTGCCACTTTAGCAGAAGCTGCATAATTTTGGTGATTCGAATTCGCTAATGAGTTAAACATTATCATAATGCAAGCAACCGATTGGACATTAGATGGTGTTATTCTTCGAAGTTCTTACAGTTTTAAACTGTCTGTCCGTTTCGAAGTTGATAAACGCCGTGTGTCCATTTGGCAAAGAGGGGTTTGATTTCACAACAAGGATAACAACAACCAACACGATGTCCGTTTGAGTTCATGAAAACTCTCCTAGAATCCATAAAACTCCGCAAAGACAGAAAATGAAAACTCATTGAAAAATAAAATGACACCTCGGAAGTTTTTAAATTGGGAGATGATTTTGGCCTAATAACTTTAACTTGTAACATGACGTTCTTCTTCTCTGTTCTTTCTTTACAGAAGACGAAGTGACAACTTCTAACGAAGATGCTACAGGTCCGCTTCCAATGCAACCAAGTATATTATTTTAGTTCTTTCCATTTTTTAGGTTATTATGTGTCAGCGCATAGGTACAGTGTGCATACTTTTGACTTTCCTACAAAATGGTTTATTGAAAGCCGTACGAGAAAATTAAAAGTACAGAACATGCCTCAGAAACAGAGCTGTATGTTTCCAGCACGCCCATGCGTTGAAACAATCAAAAGAGCGGTTCCAACCATGTCTAGGTGTTCAAAGTTTGTAGAGTAGGTGAGTTGCTGGTACTTCGGCTTAATTAAGGGATTGTGCGACCTGTTTCACAAACACATTATTAATTTGTAAACACCGCTTTGAGCACCGCCCTCAATACCGATATAAAAATGTCTGCCGGTGCCATTACAGCTACCCGATGCCACGTCAAATACGATCAAAATTCAACAAGTACCAAAAATACACATGCAATAAAACAGTTGAACTTATACAACTAAAAGCTCCGGAGTCCCACATGAGTAAGTTTGTGATATTTTTGCAAGCTCTCGGACAAGCATTGAATGTACAATGTTTATAAATATTTATGCGTTGAGTGAGAGCAAAACCCGTAATTAAAATTGACATCTCTCTGACGTCAAGTACATCTTGGCAAAAGCTTCAGAATAAAAGGACGAACACCGTTCGATCCCAAGTGGGCGCTGTAACCTACCACAGCACAGAGTGACGTACGTGTTACAGCTGAGTTCCAGACACTGCAATAAATACAGGGATGGGAAATCTATCCAAAAGCTGTAAAACATTTCACGACAAGTATTTGGCCTGCAAGTCCAAATATATTGAGTAAGGTTCTGTTCATGTGCAAGACAGTGAGGAATAATGTTTACCAAAGTCCAGCTGAATCGTCCGAGTAACTGGTTCCGGCAGCGATAAACCCGTTCTGTGGCAAAACGCCGCCTAATTTAACGAATCTCTGACGCTTAAAAGTCATTTAACCCTAGCACCTAGGGTGTGCGTACAATCTTATTGAAATCAGAGGATTTCTGACTCTTGGGGCTACACAGCGTCCGTGAAAACTAACACACTCTTTGTTACTGTTCGGATTATGGGTCTAACAAACCTTTATAAGCTAATGATGTATTCCTAAAAAATGTTTTAATGTCCCTGTGATTTGGAATCAAGCGTAGCCTGTTCCTTTCGCTAAAACGATAAAATCTGACTTAGAGTCAACTAAAGACATAATTAGCATAACAGGTCTACAACGCCCGCCCCTTGCATCAACGTCAGAATACGATTGCTTGATCCTGTTTTACCCAGACAACTGCAGTTTTATGCTCAAATTCGCTTGCAAAAATTGAACAACATTCACTCACGCCATGCTCCTAGGGGAGCCAGTAATAGATTACAATTCTTGAGCGAGCTCGTGCAGTAGCTGCACATGACGCTCATCCTACAAACGCACTCTTTCAGATCAGTAGGGCGTGAACAAAAAGGAAGCAACTTTCCTCTTTTAACACAGTTGCAAGATATCTTAATGGAATTTTAAAGTCTGCGGCAATATTTATTTGACAGCAGTGATCCATCTTAATGGAATTTCTAAACGTTTATTGTTCCTTATTGTTTATTGTAATTTTACCCTTGCACATTTTCATATGTAATGGTGAGCGTATGCTATTAAGTTCGCAATCATATGGATATTCACTCTATGGTATATTTTATACTCTATTTTGTGAATACAAAAACTGCTACAAACTGCTTGCTGCCTAGAGTGACCTAAAATACACATCATAATATAAGGAGGGGCTAACGTTTCAATCCTAGTATAATTTTTCACTGAGACAAAATAACAAGCAGACAGGACAAACAAGCAAACGGGAAATCATCCAAGCATGGACGAATGCGGGAGAACAGAAGGAATGGTCAATCGGTCAATATGCAGAGCGTATAGGGTCATAAACCTCTCCCAAAAAGACCTTTTTATTTGACTCAAATACTTGTTCCCGTAATATAATGATTTATTACTGATTCCTCATTTGGTCTTTATCTTGACAGAAAATCAAAATCTAGAACCGATCCGTGGTGGTGAGTAAATAAAACAAATATTTGTTTCTTCTTTAAAAATGCATAATATTAACAAACTTTATCCAGATAACATCTTTCCAATTTTTAGCACTTTAGCCATCTGCACTAATAATGGTAAAATTTGTTACTGCCGCTTTGTTTGGTCTGTACTCAGGGTTTTGGCTCTTTTTACTCTTGCAACGTTGCCAATAATTGCAGTAACCACACAAAAGTATATTTTAAAAGACCACAAAAAGATTGATAAATGCCCCTTGCAGGTTGCGTCCCTGGGATAAACCATTTTTATTTCCACGCAGAACGCATTTGGACTCCACCCGATTCAGCTGCCCCCCAAAGCACGCCCTCAATGGCAATGGTACTGACCATGTCGATCTCTCTGGTGATGGGGCTACATTGCAGGGAAGTCTATAAATGAGACCAGCCCAGTTCCTGTCTCTGTTGCCATGACAGTTAAGATGGAGGAGGTGCGCCCTCTGGGGCGTAAAATAATAGGGTCATTAAATCCGGCACAAGAATATTGCGATGCCTGTGAAAAAAAGCGAGAGATGAAGTAATTAAACAGACAATTATTTGCACCGATCTAATTTGACTGCATGTTTTGTTCTTAGAATCTGTTCTCTCTTTTGCACAAAAAACTTGATGCACTGACATTGTTGGCGGGTTGACACGCATGAAATTTAAGAGGGCGCACTCATTAATCACTGGCTGTTTTAGATAATTATGCTGCTTACAGAATTTCCATCTTGAGATAATTCTCATTTTTGTACAGTTGCGTAAATCTCAGAGAATATTATGTAATAGCCATCTACATTGCTGTGTGTATAAACAGAGTTTAATCTACCTTAGATAATAGCCAATCTGAACGATTTTCTAAGTTTTGTAAATTGCAAACTTTATGTGTTTAATTATAAAATAGGCTATGCAAAGTTGAGTAGCAATTATCAGGGTAGTTTTGGAATTATAGGAATACATACCGACCAGAGAAATGCCGAATGTTAGTCATTTTCTCTCCCAGCTCCGACAAAGTGCTTACTTGATTTCAAACTCACTGGCAGGGTGAGTGTTGTAGTTCTAGCATTCGTACTTGGGCTCATACTCAGGTATATGTCTTTGGCAATCGTACCCACGAAAATGTATTAGGTGTCGTGCCAAAAGTACCCGTGCTTATGAAATTATGTGCTCAACTCTAGTGACTGTAATCGACAATAACTCCATGCACGGTTTCCGTAATTTCTTTCATTTGCTGAAAGTACCCATGAAGGCAAGGACACGCTCACAACTTACATTGTGTCACAGCCAGAAGAAAATAATCTAACTGCATGAGTCTTGGCTCCTATATGTGGCGTGTTTGTTTATAATCAAACATGCCTCAACTTCCCAGCTAATACCAAATTGGAAAAAGTGGTCAAGCGTGCAAGAGTTACCGTTTGACTCTAACATTTATCACACTTCACGTAATCTGTCCTGAACATAACTAACACTCGATACCGGTGTCAAACTTTTTCTGGTACGTACATTTCAGTCAAATGACAGTTCAATGAAACTTTACGGGGAAAACAAAGAGAAAGTAAGACTTGCATTTCAGAAAACTGTCATTTTCACTTTCAAGCACTTTCCAGAATTATTTTATCTTCACTAGTGTTTTAAATCAATTAATTAAATTAACAGAGTTGTGTTTGGACTTACAAAAGGTTGTAGCGGTGTAGTCATGTCACTAATCGTACTCGTACTCGAGCTCTTTTGGCTACTCGCACTCGCACTCAAGATAATGTACTTATACTCGCAAGAAACAAATCACACTTTAACGCAGGGTGCAGTACCTCATGAAAATGTACTCCAACACGGTTGCAAGTAATAAACCTTACCAGGTCCACAGCCAAAGGTAGCTCCTGATCGGAGGCCAGCAGCTATTGGAAATGCCCCTTTACACGAGGAACTGGGTACTTGCTTTCCTGTCTTGGAGTATAACACATCCATGTTCCCAGACCAGAGAAAATGGACCTTGGCCGGGGGCGCTATTCCAGTAATGGGAAAATATGCCGACCAAAATAAGATTCTTTCGACCAATGCACAGGCTGAGGCGTTGCTTTGTAACATATCTGTTTATAAGGGCCAGCCTTCAGCACCGTGTCCACATGTACAACCCGAAAAAAATCTACATTGAATTGTCTGAACATAATATTCTGGACATCGAGCACTCTCCTTTCTTGCCTGCAGTGTACTGAGGTGGACTCTGGAATAAGCGATTTTCTTGTTAATCTTGATGCTGTGATAAAGTTAGATGTCATGCCAACTCAAGGCGTCATGTGGCTGTTGGCGCCAAAGTGGCATTTAATAGGGAATGACTGTCAAACAATTCATTAAAGTATCCACGTTAGCACAATGCTTGTATAAATATGTATACTTCGTATAATAGGAACAAAGAAAATTTACAAAACAATGCATTCTGGGTAATTTTAATGATTCCTGTAAAATAACGTAATCTGTAAATTGGCTGTTCCTTGTTTCCTACATTTTATTTCGAGACATTTTTTGAAATGTGAGCATCTGATGTGCTACAAACAAAGCCGGTGGTATCAACTGAGATGCAACATCTAACAGTGTGCTTTAGTGCTGATTTAGGCCAGATTGCAGGGTTCAAACTCGCATAAGAATTAAAAAGCACTACGTGCAAGCTATCTTGTTTATCTGTACGTCATTCTTCTGTGTGTCTGATAAAGGCAGTACCAAAAAACGGTTTTCTTCAGGCCTATAGTAAATAATTGTGGTGAGCTAGAAGTCAAATGTCATATATCAGAAGTTAAGACAGTGCTAACTTTGAGCATGGAAAACAGTTCACCCTATCATCCCAAATGAGTACGGTATGACCTTAGACTCTTTAGATTGTTCTGGGCTTTCGGGCTTGGGTTATTTATTCATTTATTTTTATCATTTTGGACTTCTCCACGTGGTTGTTGAATGTTTCACTGCTTTACTCTGATTACCTTCTTCCCGTTTGTTTGTTCTTCCCCCTGAACCCTTAAACGTTGTTTACATTTTTCTGTTCTCTGCTTTAAGGGAATTACATTTTAGATATACATCAACAAGGTAGTGATCACATTCTATTTCTTCTGAGTTCAAGTGTCAAACTGGAAAAAAAAACCTTCAATTTGAGTCAGAATTTGTGTCTTTAGAGACAGCCCTTGTTTGACGTCATGGCACGATTTGTTATTGTCAAAGGCTGACCCAAGCATGGTCTGCGGGACTGTGCCGGTCACATAGATAGCGAGAGTTCAGTTGGTCCTCATTTTCTCCTGGACACAAGTATTGTTATTGGTTAACCAAGCAGAATACAGACGTCAGCTACCGGTATTCAGCGTGTAGTGTTTCAGTAATTATTAACCGGATGAACTGGGAGTAACACGCGTGAAATCAACAAAAAAGGAAACAGCTAAACAAAGTTTCAAAAAAGGAAAGTTATCAATGAGCACTAGCAATTTAGAAATGTCTAGAGTATTGGGGTGAAACCACTTCTATAGCGCAAACCACTGAACTATACACACTAATTAAGAACAGGTGTCAATGGATGCGATTATAAGTCAATGTAACGTAATACAGTGTCAAAAATGAAAATGGCTCAGTTGGTTTCTCTTCATAACCGGTGTAGCCGATCTTAACCCAGGCGAAGTCCACGTTGCGTCTTGGTAACTCCGGGGAGGCGGCAGTCCCACGGAAAACTGGGTGGTGAGAAGCGGGCCAGGCGGAGAGACGAACTGGGTCGGCTCCCCAAAGCGTGGCCTGCGGGGGAATCGTGCTCTATATCGACAGAGCATGTGGCAAGATGCTGCGAGAGGTTAGGAACGTGACAAAAAGTCGATTTAAGGAGGCTCTTTTCCAAACTGAACAATAAAAAGTGCAAGGGGCACTCTAAGACATGAGGTAGGGGTAGAGGGTTGAGTAGCCCTACTGCTAGAACAATGGGGTAATTACGGGATAATCAACCAGAAAGTGGATGGTGGACAACATTTCAAAGGAAAAGCTTGGACAACTGGGGACCAATCTGGTCCTAGTCTTGGTCCACGTTGTCCAGCGTGATGATACTTTTTCCCCAGTTATTTGCCGAAACCGCGAGCCTGACATTGCTTGGGTGGTATCTGGGGGACTTTTGCCCGGTGGGGGGGGGGAGTTTGACCGTGGGAAATTCAGACACAAGAAATCTTGCCGGACCATGAAAATGATACTTTTCCCCAAACTTACACAGGGTCTGACATAATACCTATGTGAAGAATCAAACGTGTTCTTTTGACGGCTTTATTTTATTATAAAGTTTTTTTGAAATCTCATCAAATAGGCGACTTTCAGAAATTATTAAAGATCGATCGTTAATGATCTATACTTTTTCTGATAGGCTTAGCACTGATGTCAGGTGACAACATCTGAATAACTTTTTTGTTTAGATAATCACCCTTTCCATCTGACTGCAATATTTGTTAAGGATGGAATGAACTTCGAGTAAAAAAGTAAAGATTATAGTTTTCAACAGGGTTCTTTAGAGGTCGACGCTACACCTTACCTCGGAAAACAGTTCACCTCTCAGAAAAAAATACCCCTCCGCCTCAATTAGCCCCAAGCTGGACCATGAGAGGGCGTGATTTTCTTAGCAAATGGGCCTCCTTCGGTGGAAACTGTATTTCGCTGGTTCGTGAACGGCTGTAAAATGCACACTTTACGGTTGCATCGTTACCATTAAAGTGAAGATTCACCATCGACATGGCGTTTTAGACCGATGGGGGGGGTGCTTCTGCTCAAGGCAGATCGCAAAATATAATAACACACAGGGGAACTGACTGCCTTGACAAGAGCAGGGACTTTTAATTGATGTTTGCCAGATGTCAGGTGGTTCGGCCACAGAAACCACATTGAAGCGANGGAGTGGAGCCACAATGTAAAGTGTTATTCGGCTGTTGCAGGAAATTTTGGTGGAGCATTTTGACTGGTACTACTGTACACCAACGCTGACCACAACATCTTGGGATGCTTTTCGGGTTAAGACAGATATATGACATTGGTCTTAGAGAGTCCAAAACACCCGCATTTATGAACCCTGTCCATCGTAGGCAAGTGAAAACGAATTGTCATTGACCATGAAATGGTCCTTATTGCAATAGGCCTTCCCAAGTAAACCTTAGAATATTCACTCTCCCTGATTCCAACAGAGTTTGCATGGCTTCGTTAGGTACGTTGTCAGTATACCTATTGTACTGTGATATGTGAGGAAGTTTGCAGCTGTGAAACCGAGCCTCTGCACCAAGCGAAATTAAGCGAGGTGACACGTATGTGTTGGTTCTGGGGTCACAAGGGTCTAAGCTCGCACGCAATGAAGCGTGATTCCTCCTGTAAGGAAGACGACTTGAAGTTAGACACCGACTTCAATTCATGGTTGGTCCATGCGTTGATTTAAACACAGTTTTCCAGTTAATTCCAGTTAATTTATGAACCTTGGCATTGTCCTAGGCATCCACGGATGAGTTTAAGTAGCCCAGCAGCATGACAGGTGGGGCCAGTGCTAGTGAAGGACCCTGCACACCAACATTTTGGACATGGTCATTCAAACATTCCAGTGCTCAGTCATCCGCCGAGGTAGCTATGATGTCTTGGTATCAAATGAAAGAAGAGATCAAAAGCGTGCATATTGTACCTACCATGTTTCAAAATATTGAGTAGTATCCAAGATATTTGAAGTTTAATCTCGGTTTCCTTTTTTAAGACACCCTGTATAACTACCGTCTCGAATTATAAGCCATGTGCAAAAAGGTCAAGCTGCATCGGAATCTGTTGTATGTGGGTCATTCCACGAGGTTGGAAAACAATTTCATGACGGTTTCCTTGTTACATGGGTAGCTTTTACCACATGACATTTAGAGTAGGTCATTTACTCTGTAAAAATAACACACGCTTCTGTATTCATCATTGCAAGATGTATCACAATGTCAATTTGGAATCCACCTGCAGGGAAGTAGCTGTTCATTTTAATGGAACCCACGTAACAATGGACACCGTCACAAATTGTGCCCCAACCTCATGGAATGACCCATAGAGGTAGGTCTGGGCCTTCAGTCCACTGGAAATATACACAGACGCGCGGACAATAGACCCAGTAGCTCTAGTGGTCCGTTTTGGACAGGGTCTGAGAAGTCTGGATCAAAGGCTGTGTATGCAATAAAAACCCAAGGCAGAAAGGGAGTTCTGCGCACATCCTGTTTGCAAACTCAGCATACATGCACAGTAGGCCTACATAGTACAGCACGCGGTGAAAGATATTTGACCAGACCACTGGAAGGTGGAAAAATTCACTCATTCTTGTTCCATGAAAAAGTACTAAAAACGAAAAAGGAATTAACATACCTTGCAATCCTGGTCAACAATGGCTTTGGCATTGCCCCGTGCAAAACCCATGGCACGTTTAGGTAACCAAGCGAAATTTCAGGAAGCATGAGACCAAAACAAAAACCAAAAAACGAGTCGAATGCAGCGAAGGAATAAAGGGTTGGGCTTGTAAAGTATCTCCAATATATGAATATGCATGAGCCCCCTCCCTCAAAAGAGAGCCATCCCACCTCAGCACAGTCTTTGCAGGATCTTGCCGAAGAGACATCCAAACACCCTACATTTAAGATCGGGTCCAAATGAGTTTTCCTCAGATACACCTTTCGTCAGTGGCGTATCGGGGGGGGGGCAACTCCCCACTGCTGCCTCTCGTGCAACTTTATATATTTATAAATTACCTGCTGTACGGCCAATAACGCCGTAATGTCTTTACAGTGAAGCGCTGAAAACAACGGAAACTTAGGATAGGCTAGATAACGTAAAAAAAGACTTACAAGTTTAAGATTTGAGCAAATAAAATAATATTCGTGGAGGCTTTTACCGGAAATAACATCACAATTTCGCCCGTAAAGATTTTACAGAGTTAAAACCAAAAGTACCAAAATATTCATTATAATGCTTAACTGAAATTAGAAATACGGTTACATTGCGTTTCGTTGAATGGGATCCTATTGAAAAAGCAGTTGTATACAACTAGTGCAGCTTTCATGTTTTATTAAACAATGAACGTCTACACTTACATAAAAAGGCTTCTCACTTAAATCGCTAGTTGCCGAAATTGCCTTGTCCTCCGTTGTAAGGAAAAATAGCCGACGTGAAGGCACTGGTTTGATACTTATTAATAAACTCTGGCATGCTTGGCCTCGGCTCACCTGCACATGAATGACTAGTTTCCCATTGGCCCTATACACAGGCAATGAGAAGGTCATAAATAAACGGGAGGCGTTGTATCTTCGAAAGATACCACGTTGGAATCGTCGAGCCCAGGTCTATTTTATCTTTTTGAGCGACCGTTTAATCTCCGTCAGTCTTAATTCCTTGCAAGGGTTAGTGGTTTTATTTTTTTTTGGTCACGTTTTAGTTGGATTTTACCCTAGCAGATTTGGATTGCACGAAACAGCCGTCGACTTCCCCGAAAAACGAAGACACGTCGCATAGCTACTTCTTCCAACCAAAACGCCCCATTAACAGGAGACACTACATGATTATATGGCATTATCCAACGTGCCGATGAGATCAAGAACTGTACATTGCTGGTGAGTTCCTGGGCTGCGATCCCCGAAACGTGTTTGGGAATCAGTGCGCTAGAAGGCTCTCAACTTTTTATTGGGCATCCATTCTCAACTGGCGTTTCGCCAAATGTATTACCGAGAGAGAGAGACACTGGAAATAACCATCCATGTGGCTCGTTCATAACAATGCAGTTAAGATTTTTCCAAATTGCTGGATTGAACAAGAACCCATCTGGGGGTTGAGACGTTACTAGGTTTCTGGGTTGCGTCGTCACTCGTCCGAATGGGTGTATTGTTTAACATCTGAAGAAGATACTTTCCTGTCAAAGGCATCACGTGACTGGGCATGGACATCCTCAGCTTCGATTTTGCCTACTTTAGGTGTTTCTTGATCAAAACTTATATACCCAAGGGGCATAAGATATAAACAATTTCTCAATAGACCGTACGGGGATTCCAGGGTCTGTTCCCTGAATGTATCATATTCAATTTAATCTGTTATGTCAAGAGGTTCTGGACGATAAAAATTGGCATTAATTTGTCAGATTTTTTTCATCACTGCTGTCTCTATTGACAGATGACCCCGCGGGATAGCATTACATTAATTTCAGTTTAATTTAAGATTCAGTTTAAGACTTAAGATGACACTTCAATGAAGTCTGCAGGATAGGAACGCGTATACAATGACACAAACCTAACAGTAATGTGGACTCTTCCAAGATATTTGGATGAACCGATATACGTTTGAGCGTTTGTAAGTATGTAGTAACTTTCAGTTTTGTGCTTTTAAAGTATCACATAGATTTGGATAATTCACAGCTAAGTAAAACAACTTTCGCTTACCTTTTCGCCTACCTTCCATTTGAAACACACGCAGTGTATAAATCCGAAGGAGGTCGGGTAAAAGGCATACTTCCGATGATAATAAAGCAATACAATTATATCAAGATTGAGTACAAAAAGAGGAAGTAACCAAACAACTAATCACACCAGACACACTTTATACATGCTTGTGATTGTAACTGTCAGAGCCCTTGGAGTAATATCTCGATCACGTGTTAATCACTTACGCGTGTATCTTGATAATTTCTTCCAGGGTTACCTGTAACGGTGTGTATGTTTGATCTTGATTCATTGTAAGGAACAGAGGATTCTAATTATTTGTTGAAAAAAAACATTACATTAGATTACATTACATTACATTACATTACATTACATTACATTACATTACATTACATTACATTACATTACATTACATTACATTACATTACATTACATTATCTCATTCTGTCAGGCATCTGCTCAGTCCACATCCAGGTGTCCGTAAATGAATGGGATGCTGTTCAGCAGCCGGTCATGACGATTATATTCTGGCTTTTTCGCCGTGAGTTCTCCACGCCATAGCAAGCTAAACAGCATGCACTCACGGTGTTGATACAAGAGGACATCGTCCCTGAATGAAATTCACCTTTTGAACCTATGAAGGAAGTAGCCCTGCACAGATATGAAATGCATGATTTCCAGAAAAGAGAGAAAAAAAAACCAAAGAAAAAACACCAGACTTGTAGGCAAGTGGCAGATAACCTCGATTAAAATATTATGGTGTTGTCATGTTTGTGCTTACACGCTACCTCCCAGCCACGCAGCCGAAAGAATAACCAGAAATGTGATCGGGGTTGGGTCGACGACTCTTCCAGAAACCAAGAACTCTCTGCACTGCCTGGGAATCTCAGCAGTACCCGAGACGTTTTGGAAGTGCATGAGAAGGATCAAAATGTCGACAACCACAACAGGTGGAATGGAAACGATTTGGGAGGCAGTCCCTCCATCTTCGTGCCTGTGCTACTAACATCCGCGATTACAAAGCTATGGGCCATAGCTTTGTACTCGCGGTGACTAACGATAATTAACATCAAGTTTATTTTTTCCTCCCGTTTGCTACCCAGATGTCTAAATGTCAGCGAATCTGCTTGCTCCATATAACATACTAACTCTTGATTTTTGACAGGCATTTCCCCGTGTCTACCATGCCTGCGGTCCTGGGTAACATTTATTTTCTTCTCTGTTTTGGATTTTTGACTTTTATGAAAAACGAGTCTAACGTCTTTGATACCCCAGCAATGGATCAGTCAGGACTGCTTCATTTTGGAAATCTACCCCTGGCTCATTAAGCGTCGACTGATACTCTGCCTTCAGTCAACACTGCTGGGCTATAGTTATGCTAAGCACATGAAAAACGAAATCTACCACATGACAAAGAAGGGGAGGGTAAAACTATAAAAGTCAAGTGCTAACGTTACCCTGCCATTTTGAGCCTAGAAATTTTTATTATTGTGGGTATGGGCTTGTCATACCAGGCGACAAAATATCAGATCAGTGAAGAACAAAGATAAAAACGGTTTGCTATCAGTGATACTAAATGGAATGGTCCAGATTCAAACAAAGCCCATTAGGCAAGTATGCAGTTTACACATTTCATTGTGCACTGCAAAACTGTGGTGTTAATTTTTAACACCAGTCTTTTTTATTCTTTTGGAATGAAACTTGGTGTTACGGAGGGGTTAAATATTTCCTTAGGCACTGAAATTGAAAAGAGCAACCGGTGTTACTTGATACTGGTGTTGCACTTGTCTCACAGCGCATGCGTCTTTGAAAACAAACCTTCTGATGGGTCGATATAAAATTATGGGATGGTAGCTTGACCATTATGCGCCTGACACCTTGCATTGATTGTTATCCAACTTTAATATTTCACAAATGTGTGACGAAATTTTGCTAAGATGCCCATTGCAGGAGTGGGAGAAATATCAGGACGTTCAAGGGCGACTTTGCAGGAGTTGTGGAACTTGGTAAGTATGAATGATTGATGTTGACTTGAACCGTCCTTCACAAAGTTCAATCCGTCGAACAACAGAAGGTCCTGCAGAAGGTACGCGTTGACATGTGCATGTGTATTGTTATACTGGGGATGAAAATCAAGCGAAACCTGAAATGGAATGAACAGAATACCGGTAGTAGAAGACGCCATAACGGTTGGGCAGGCTACGCATGCAGCAGGACAATAGTTACTCGAACGGGATATACCAAACAGGTGTGAGTTTGGGGCGCTCAGTATTCGACCAATCGACATCTACAGGGTGTCCCAGAAAACCCAAACCCTGAGGAAAGGGGTTAATATGCCCAAACCATGAGATATGATTGTTATGTATAAGGATCTCCGAAAAGTAGAAGCAGTATTCTTTCTAATGATACCTTGATGGTATCCCTCCTGTCATGCATGACTGAACACCATCGTCTTGAAAATGGGACATCAGAACTCAGTTGTAACACTTTGGATAAACTAGTGAATGAGGTTGTCCTCTGTCATGCTTGTCCTGGTTGAAAGTGACAGCAAAAGGTCATGGTAATGAGGAAAGATTGCCTTTTGTCACATTCAAGTTATGCAATAATCTGGTTTAAATGTGTTGACTTGCCTCGAGGTAGGCCAGTGCAGTGTTGAAAAGTGTTCGAAGCGGGACAAGAAGTCTGCCACATGGTGTAACTTACCAAAGAGCAAAGAGTGTTTGTCATGACGAAGTTTCTTGGAAACAAGAGCTTTCAAGCCACCCAAGTTGCATTTAGGGAAGCCTTTCCATTGGGCAATACCCATTTATACACGCCAATGCGCCTGGAGGTTGCGATAGGGGTTGGGGTGATTTTTACCAAGTCAAACCTATGTCAGAAGACAGGATTTTTTGGCGTAAAAACTCCTCCAAAGTACGCAAGCTCGTGTTAATAGCATTAAAAGAGACATGCTTAGGTCAGGAAACCGGATTAAACAAATTGAAATATCCCATGGAATAGTGACGTCATGATTCAGAAAAAATTGCTTTAACAGTAACCGGATTTCGGTGTTTTTCGTTTCATTAATCCTTCCGCCATAGCACTCTGGCACTCTAGTAAGAATGATTGCCCTGAAACTTTGCATATATTGTACTTTAGACCACCACCGAAGGATGGTCCTAAAAGATATTCGTCATGATGACGTCATCACTTGCCACGTGGCAAACCTACGAGGTTGAATTCTTTTCGGACAGGTTTCTCTGAAACCATTTGTCATAGTGATTTGAAATTTTGCACAAAAACAAATGCAAATGTGTTCGGGTTACATCATGATGATGTCACCACCTTATTTTTTGACGACTTTTAAATTTCTGTCATCTTGACATTCATTTTGACCTCTCTCCTGAACAAAACCATTTTCTTTTTCAAAATTCTTTTGGCTAGACCTCCAGCATGTCTGTTAAATATCCATTTGTTTGAAAATCTTGCTACGTCATGATGACGTCACCATAATATACGATCTTTAATTCTGCATATTAGGCAATGTCTGATTATTGCAAAATTCACTCAGTACATTAACAGTCGATCCCTGACTGCATTTTTAAAGTGACCTAATGACGACCTTATACATGGGTTTCTTATTAGTTATTCTCGATTTATATGTATGCAAATTTGCATGCATATTACTACTATCTTTCTGACATAATTTCTAGAGTTTAATCAAGTCCAATTCCTTCAGAATTCTGCAGAAAAACCGTAAATTTCAATTCACCAATTCCAGATGTTTGTGCAGATTAGCAAGTTTTGTATTTAAGAGCCAAGTAGCACCATTTACTAGTTAGATCGTCTGATATAATTTGTGTACACGGTGATCTTTTCCTTAGATTTGGTGCATACTACGCATTCATACACAGACCTATTTACCTTAATTACCTAGTGTGGACATTCCTTTCTTTTCATACAGTTCAGAAAACTCAGTGAAAATACTCATTTTTCTTGAACTGGGGACACGATTTTCAGCTTGATTTTTGTACAAGGTTTCCTTTACTATTCTTCTTCCTTTTACGACACATGACCCCTACCCCCAAATGCCTCTAAACTTGCTTTTCAGAGAAGGAGGAAACGTCCACAACACGTATTCCTTTCCTGCATCGTGTGGACATCTTTTGTTCACAAATCCACACCAGGAATGCACTTTTGGCTGCTACCGGGGCACAAGCGAGGATATGCTCTGTGCCGTGCAGTTCGTGCTCGTTCGAGAATCTGCGATCCAAGAAAAAAGCAAGGACTTTCTAAAAGATTTTTCTTCTCGGAATTAAAATAGCTCACAAAATAGACGAATTATGCTTAGAAAAGGCTCTGAATCCGAAGCAGCTCTGTTGTTTTTCACAACCACACTCCTCTACTTTAATAGATACTGCCTCTATGTAGTTTTCAATGAGTAGGCGGAGGAGGTCTCACAACCGCTAAACCACAAAGGTTACTGGACCATGCAGCTGTTTGACTATGCAGCGTGTGAGACAGCATTCCAGCCTCGACGACTCTGATCTGCCTGAGATTTTTACTTTCAATGGGTTCGTTGTCCCGAACATACTTTTACTTTTTTGTAAGTTCGGTAGTTTCGGTGGGTACTCAACGCTTCAGCTTTTGTGATGGTAATTTGGTCAAGGCTGATTGTCGCGAACTACGTTCATTGTAGTTTTTCTGTAGCACTGTTTTTATGCTGGTTCTCACATTCTGATGGACAAGTAGCTCGTGTGTGGTTCCCCAGTCAGCAGTGGTTTTTGCCCGTCTTCGCACTCACCGCGTACCTGTTTGACACAAGTCAGGTTTTCTGAACCACCTCAGCAAGATGCACTTCAAATTACTGATGTGGTTGGTTGCCATGTGTTTGCCGGGAGGAAACGCCATCATTTTTAAAGAATAGTAAGTACAAAACGACATTCAGTGTATCTGTCGGGGACTGTCACTAGTTAGCACAGGACTATGGCACATCACTGTAGTAATGTATGTCACCGAGAAAGTAGAGAGAATGACTCAACAATGGGCAATACTCCAGGTTGGGTGATGGTTAATGACTCAATTCAGTAGGAGCTCTGCTGACAACTTTGTCTTCTCCGAATTCAATTTATAACGTTACTTCCTGTTGTGCAAAGATCAATTAACGACAAGCCCCAGGGGCCTGAACACGGGCTCCATAAGATTGTTCATAGACCAGGCAAAGTGTCCCCTACCTGCAACTCATCAGCAATTCCAATATATTGTGTACAAAACTGAGAAAAAATTCTCAGAGTCGGTAATTCGATGGTTGATCATCCATTAGTAGGGGACGAGGCAACCAACATCCTCGTGTAAGGGTGTAACGTGTAAATTCCAGCAGTAAATCCGCCTTGAGCAGAAGTATCCCCTCATTTGGTTGACAGGGCCAAACTGGTTGGGAGTGTTCGTTTTGTTGGTAGTGACACACACGCAACACATGTATCTCGTGGTCGTTTGGGAACCAGCGACGTGAAATTCCCACCAAAGGAACTTCCGTTGCTAGGTTAAAGTGTGTCATGTCTTGGTCCAGCTCTGGGCCTGTATCATTGGGGGACCACTTTGTACCAAATCAGTTATCGACTTGGCGCCAAGTCTTATACAGAATAGTGCACTCAACAACCTCAGCATTGGCGAAGCAAATATAACAGTTTGCGACTTGACCTGACTAGGACAAAGAGACTTGTGACTTTCGTTGTTTCTGGACAAAAACGATTTTTTTTTACTTGACTCGTCTTGTGACCAAAATTCTGACTTGTGAAATGAATTGAGTTTAGATTAAATGAAGTGTGAGTTTCATAATCATATTATGTTTCTTTACATGCCAATTGATAAACCTTGTTTTGGCTCAAGAATACCATTTTGACGGCCTTCCTTTTTACATGTTTTACTGCGCTTGTGGAAATCCTGTCGTAGATTCGAACACCATCCACTCGTAGTAGAGATATGTGTCTGTGCTCTGTTCCGTTTCATCATTGGATGCTTTCAATTTTATTTTATTTTCAGTCGTATCCCGCTGCCCTTTTCGCGCGAAGAGGTATTTGTTTGAATTTCTGTATTTCTAATGAATCTTTGGTTTTGTTTTTCTTTGTTTTAGTTGGAACTGTTCGTCTTTTTGTGGCTTACTGATTTAATATAATTTCATTTCGTTACATTCCTTTTCCTTACTTTCAAATTTATTTTTACTTCATTTCATTCTTTTTCATTTCATTTACAGTTCACTTTTATTTCATTTCTTTCTGATTTTGTTTCATTTCATTTCGTTTTGTTTCGTTTTATTGTGTTTCGTTTTATTCCATTTTATTTCGTTTCGTTTCAGTTCTGATGAGTTCAGTTCAGGGGGAGGGAGATCATAGCCCCCAATGTTCCCCTCCACATTTGGCAACATGTGTTCGTCCGTGAAAAATTTGTCATTTCCAAAATTCAAATGAATTTGGAGAGGGCGGGTGAGACAGAAGTGAAATGGGAGGAGATGGGAAATGGAATACGCACATGTTATGTACGGGCACATAATAGAATTTTCGTCCAGGTGGATATTTTATTTTCCAATTGCTTGGTTTCACCCACACACACACACACAAATATTCCAAATTTCTTTTATTGGGATTAGGTTTGCTTAGCCTCGAATGACGTTTTGCATTCCAAAGCCCACTCCCTATTCAAGCATCTACTGAAATAAGGCAACTACGTGTTGCGGCGTGTTCCGCAGAAATTGGGTCAAATCTTCACCCCTTTTCATGACAAGTCACACGTGAATATTTAAGAAAAACTGGTTTTCGAGAAGTCGCCAGAGACAATATTTTTTCAAGTGAAAAAGTTTATTAATTACAAACCCTCATATGATTCTTTGAGAGGTAAAATTTTACCTAACCAAATAATTAAAACAAACACAGCTGTAATCAATAAGTAAAGATGCGCGTCCGTTAGTGAAATCGAAATATCATGTTTTCCTACTTAGGGACCCTTGTGTGCAATGTATTTTTTTTCCATAGGGAAGCTTAAAGGGCACACTTGCACACGCGCGCGTCACAATAAGTGTACAAAACCCATGGAACCCAGTCACTGCAGGCAACAATGGTTTTGTTATACCATGGTCGTAGGTTTCACTGTAACGCTCTCATATCTGTAATATGCATATTTTGTTGCAAGATAAATTAAAACACCGACAAGTAGATGGACGCACAAAACATTGTTCAATAGGTTTGTCTTGTGCAGAAATTGATCAGACTACATGCACAGGTCGGGTGAACCGTTTCTGTTAAGCTTTCACTGCTATTTTGTATTTCAAATCACTATAGTATCGGATTGCTCATCTGTGGTCCACGGCAGAATGGAGCCTTCTAAATACGGGAGGTGGAGACGGAGTTGAAATCATCGTAAATGAAGAGAGGGCGTTTGACAACGGCAAAACGGGTCAATACACGGACAAAATCTTCCATGTTACCAGGTAAACAAGACTGCGGATTATTTTTGGACGCGCAGGGGTGAAACTTTCAGGTGAACATTTGATTGAGGTGGGGTGGATAGGGCTACACCTTCGAGGTGCGGTCTAAAGTTTTGGAACGCCTTCTTAGTGGAGTTAAGAAAATTTGCAGTGATCTACTAACCTACCCACTGAGGTCTTCTTCCCCCGCTTTCTAAGAAATAATTTGGTTATCGCTGTTCTGAGTTAGTGGAACAAAATACTCTGACGGATCTAGCCATTACACAATGTGTTTGTGTGTGGGGGGGGGGAACTAGTGGAGGTGAGCCAAAAGGAGCAAACAATAGACGGTTTCGGCAAACACACGATGTTCGCCTATCCATACCTTTCTTTTGCTAACGACGTCATCACTTTATGCTATCTTGGTACGGAACAGTAGGTGTAACATTTTGGGCTCGTAAACCACATTAGTGTCAAATTGTATTCTGGAAAACATTCTTTCACTTGCAAGACACTTGGCGTATCGTTTGTTCGAATAGCAATGCCTTTGCGTTAAGTTGGGGGTGCGTAACTTTTCTTTTGAACAAATGAGCGCCACCAATGTTGCTAGGTTACTGCATCATACGCCAGGGTCAAGCCTAAACTATAAATGTTTTGCAACCTCTATATGTACATTTATACGTGTTGTGTCATGCGGGTACGCGTAGGAACCCAGACCAATAACTTGTACGATGAAACTGCCTCGTGAGAAACAAAAACAAAACAAAACAAAAACCAAACACAGTGGTTGTAAGTTATGCCAACTTCTGCATCGGCACTGGAATACTGTGCAAACTCTTTAGAAGCCCCTTTATACTTTTTTACACGGGTAAACGCATCTTTTACAAAGTTACATTTCATAATTTGCAGTTACCAAAAACGTAAATAATGAAATTATTCTTGAAAGTTACGCTTACCGGGGAATTGTTTGGTTTAAGAGATGATTATGGCGCTGAAGTGACTGTGAAATTTTTCCTTCTGGCAAGTTGCCATTTTGAAGAAAAAAAATGATACTAGATAATTCCCAATGATGCGTGTCAAGATGCATTTTGTTTGGTGGGAAAATGACATTAAAAGCACACGAGGGCGTCGACGCGACAAAGACACACGTACTGTTACTGCAATTCATCTGCGAGACATCGTGTTGCCGCTTTCCAATGAACGCTGATTCAGGCACAATTCAAGACATGACTCAGCAACGTTTGATCTGAAATAAAAATCCTATCATTGGGTCTGTTGTTTTTCTGAAGATTTATGTTCACTGAGTTGAAATTTCTGTGAAGTTCACATATGTATTCCTAAGAAACAATAGGCCTGGCCTAACTTTTTTAATTTGTCGAAGGCGTTGGAATGGAAAACCTGTGGTGTTAAAATCAGCACTTTTTTTCGTGTAATCAGATGACCACACCATAGGGTTTCCCCTAACACCGCTGGTGTTACTTTGCACACCTATAAGTGTTATAGTGCACTGGAGGGTTTTAAAAGTGACATCAAATAAAACCAAATTCTTAACACCAGTAAAAGGTGTTGGTGCAGTCCTCTGATAACACCAGGGGTGTTAAATTTAACACCCTTGTGCTTGCTGTGTATGAATTGCAAGAGACTGGCAAAGCCAGAGGAGTTGGAATATTTCAAGGAGTAAAAACTGTCAGGTAACATTTTGTGTATCACCTTTTCCAGTAAAGTCCCGCGCACTATTAGGGCTCTTTCACCGAGGGGAAGTTTGGAGGTTCAGGAAATATCAAAGAATGCGTTTACCGAAGTGGAGACGGTGTTAAGCGTGAGTATAGTCAACCCAGTCATCCCGCATGGGTCAAGAGTGGGGAGTTGTTTATTCTGTTTATTTAGTTATTTTTGGTATTATTTTATGGGGACATTCCTGGGTACTTTGTTTTAATTAAAAGCCGTTCTCCTTGTAATAATTTCCTCCCCTTTTGCTTTTTGTTTTTGTATTTTGTTTTAGTTTTGTTTCGGTTGGTTGGTTGGTTGGTTGGTCGGTCGGTCGGTCGCTTGCTTGCTTGCTTGCTTGCTTGCTTGCTTGCTTGCTTGCTTGCTTGCTTGCTTGCTTGCTTGCTTGCTTGCTTGCTTGCTTGCTTGCTTGCTTGCTTGCTTGCTCGCTTGCTTGCTTGCTTGCTTGCTTGCTTGTTGGGTTGTTTGGGTGTTTGCTTTTTCGTTGGGTTGTTTGGGTGTTTGCTTTTTCGTTGGGTTGTTTGAGTTGTTTGCTTTTTCGTTGGGTTGTTTGCTTGTTTGCTTGTTTGTATCTGTCCTTATTTTTGTGCTGCAATTTCTGTCAAAATTCTATACTACGAGTAACCTAAGAAAATTATTTTGAAAAACTTTGCATTCGATAGAGTTTCTTTTAGCGTTCTTAGCGTTCTATTCGCTGCTCATTGTCATGTTACATTTCGCAGATCAAGAGTGAATTACTTCGGTTTGTATGATCATAAGGTTAACAAGTAGGAACGTTTTACTTCTGAAATTCTGTAGTTGCCCTGACGTATAAAGGTGAATTTCATTCCGTTTGCTCTATGGTTTTGTTAAAAACGTCTAGTTAAAGGGGATCTGGGGATGTATTAGCGACCATAAAACAGTCGGACAGGTTCAGGCATGACCAGGAACTGACTGGAGATAAGAATCTCCAAGGGGTGACAACACCCTTCGTTTTGGGGGCATCCGGGCTGCCCCGAGGGTTCTTAATCATCTGTTGCTCCAACCAATGAACTAGACCTTTACACTTCCCTAATGCACTGCTTCCACAGGGGAGTTTAAAATACGCACTAATGGATAGAGTCCATTCTAGTTGGGAAAAAATAAATGCAAGTCAATTTTACTTGCACCATCAAAGTATGACGTCATTATGGTCGGGAAGGAATTTCTTCGCCAAATGAAAAACAAACAGTTTTCCGAGTGAACGTGATATTGACTTCAAACTGCACATAGTCCTTGAGCCTGTTTGTTTCACGATTACTGATCTGTCGTTGGTTTCCGGACACCAAACCTAGCCTAACGGACGGTGCGAACCAGCGATGGAATCACTGATCGAACTTGCACGAGATCCAGATCTGTGTAAAACAAACTGGCCTCTAGAAGTTATCTGCAGATGAAAAGCAAGACCCAAAATCGCACGAAGACTTCATCACAAACCTATAATGGCCGACACGTACTTGATGAATAGACCGTAAATTAGGAAAGTTCCACGTTATAATTCCAACCTTAACATTGCCGAAAAGTTCAATCAGACTAAAAAGATATATATCCAAAAATCCATCGTTCAGAAGTTATTTTCGTGACGTCAACAATATCAGAGGAATTAACGTTTGATCTTGTTCAGTAAGGTCCAGTTTCGCATTGTTAATGATGTCATGATGAATCTCCAAAAAATATGCGATAGTGTTTGTGATAAACCATAATTGACCACAACCATCAGAATAACAGGTTTGCTTCTACAAGCTTTCGCACGGTGGAAATACTGTAGGGAATAACGACGGCGGGGGGGGGAGTCATGCAATCATAAAAGAAAATAATGAGTCATGATGACGTCACCTAAATCACTATATCAAGTTCTGTCTTTATGGGTACAACATTTGAACATAATCGAACCTGGATTTCAGTTTAGCATATGACCTTGGAAATTGTTTATTCGAGAGGGTGTAACACGGACCTCGATGACATCATTGTTTCTTCATCATCTGACATACATCTTTCTGCACTGTAATGTCCTTGGTATAGTGACGAAAAGCTATGTACAACGTTCGAGGGCTCAAGGGATAAAAACTCAAACACGTATACACCAAAACATACAAACACCAACAGACAAACAATAAAAAAATAATAATGTTAACAAGCATGAACTCACCGTAAGACCAGTACAATGTATTGCCCACATATATGGAATAATGCCTCGAATGCAGCAAGACCTAGCATAACCCTAATGACTTAAGGAAAGAACAATAATTGGCCTCGAGCGGGAACAAGAGAGGGCGCTGTTTTCGTAGCGACAGCAGATCCTTTGGTTGCAATTGAACTTCGCTGGTTCACGAACGACTAGGACATGCACACGTCACGGTTGCACCGCTACCAACAAATTGAATACTTCCGACCAAGGCCGTCCTTTTAAACCGATGAGGGGGTGCTTCTCCTCGAGGCGGGTCAGATCAAACGTTACGACACCACGATTATTTTCTCTCTCTCCTAATGGACTCTCTTTGGGAGGTTCTCTCTTGTTTCCTTATGAGGTGTTATAAACTGGCTTATCCGAGTTAACTCTTCCATTATTTTCTTTTCGTCTAGAGTCCCCTCTACATGAAAAACAACTTTCACCTTACAACCTACACACGGCTTAAGGAGGCTGATAACTGCCAACAGGACGACGTAAGAACTTGAACTCTCTGCTTCACCACTTAAAAAGAAGACTAATTCCATGCATAAATTTATTGTCAAAGAGCTTGTGGTATAACCTATGTCATGTGGACACCAAAAGATGTAACTGGATGCCTCAATTGGACTCCAAAGAGCAAGAATGACCACGTGGACAAAATTTGAGTTTTTGCAAACAGCTGCCACATTGGGATTTAAAATGACAACTCATGTGAAACCTTTGTAAGTCATCTTAGTGCACGCGCCCCTAGAGCTCAAAGGGCGTGTATAGAATTTGCAAGATCTCAAAACGCAACTGTCAAATTATCTTGAAATGCCTTACTGTAAAGTAACTACATGATAGTGTCAATCTGTAAAATCTTACTGCTAGAAATGCAGTCATTTTCGAGAGAACACAGATTTTATGTTATTTCCAAAGATCGTCCAGACAGTTGGCTCATATTTCACAACCGTTAAGTTAACAGGCGCAGCGAAAACGTGTCTAAAGCATTGAGTCTATATGAACGGGTAATATACAAACTGCCAATACGCCTCCGGTAAGCCTGAACTCATGATTAAGTGTACAAAAAGATACATAACCATAACTAACACGCAAAAGGAGAATTTGGAGTGGTTTAAAATTAAGTTTCTTTTTGAAGTGTGGTGGTTTACCTCATGTGAATATAATCATCTCGCTATCACCCCTCAGATAATGGTTTGGTCCAATATCGGAGCTCCCTACCAAAGCCTGGTTTTCTCGGACAAAATCTCCTATTTTGGAACATTTACCTTTCTGTTTTTCCAATAACAGTAACTCCCATGCCCAAAATGCAAGGATCGTTTCCAATATTTGTTTATTTATGAAGTCTTTATGATGGGCCGGGCACTGAGGTGTGTGGACGGTTGTTACCGACGTATACGTGTGGAGAGCAAACAATGATTGTGTGGTCGATCGTGCACATGTACATGTAGCCTACATGTGCAGTATGTGTGGTCGCGCAGTTACTGTGGTGGGTGTAATCACTTCACCCACAGGTGAAACGTTTTTTATTCGATAGATTCTCAGACTTGCGTTGTTATAGAGAAAACACAAACTTGAATGTAAATTTGCCAACAACTAATACTACGCAAAGCCAGGGGAAAATGCATTTTTGAGGGCCATAATCGGTCTGCAAATCGACCCGGCCTGTGCATTGAACACGCTCTCAGAAACGTCTCCCGTGGATTTTTGCGAGACAAGTTACACCAGCTGCGCTTCGAGAGTTAAAAATAAACTGCGTTTTGTTCGATTTTTTCAAAGTAGTGATCTCCAAAAATTGATTAAGCTGGGGAATAATAGACAAAGTAAATCACAAGCCCCAAATTGGCCAATGTTGACAAATTGCAGTAAATACAAATCCTATACGCTAAACGAGTGCGTTAATGTGAGTCCACTGCGGCAAGGGCATCTCTTCGTAAACTAGTCCAGTATCAAAGTAAAGGTTTGCGTAATACATGTTACAAATAATGTGTATCCTGGAATGCAGTGGTGAGGCAAGTTTCCTGAGGTGACAGATGAAATGTTCCATCCCTCGAGGCAAACCTGAGTGGAATGAAACTTTTCATATGTTCCCTCATGAATATATGCTAACCATTGCATGAATATGAAACATCCATTGTTGTTTATAAATGTAAATCTCCGTCGTCATTCCCACTTCTTGTCTGAAGTCCAAACGAGCCTACCGTAATAACATCCGCCATGTAGCGAAAAAGATTCGTGCCCGACGCATGGCCACCTCTCGCCAACTGAGAGTATTGTGCTATGTTAGACTGGTTCCTGTCCCTGCATTATTTTCCTCTTTCTTTACTGTGTATAATTATGGCATGTGGCAGGAATTAGTTCGGCAAAGTGAGGTTCTTTTCAATAGGTACCGTTGAATAGTACGAGCAGTTTAATAATATGTGACCAATGCTCCACCAATCAGATGACGGGGAATTCTTGCAGGTATTGTACGAAGTACATGTAGGTACTGGTTGTGTAGCAACGTGGAAGTGTGTGTGGTAGCAACCCCTTCCCCTTGACGACCAGTTAGAGCAGTTCCCGTAAATATCAAGCACACACGCCGAGTCACGCTTCTGATCATTTGTTATCTATCATTGACCACGCTCATGTTAAATTTCACAATCGATGTACCTGTTTTCTTCTCTCATCTGGTAGGTATTCAACGACATTTATTACGAAGCTAGTTACATGCACGGGGAGGTGATCAACATAGATATCACAAGGGACATAGACCCCAGGGTAAGCTGAAACTTTGTCTCCCACGGGGAGTCTTTGCCTAAGCTCCCCGTGGTGACAGTTGGCGTGTCCACATTATTGGAGAGGACGAGGGCTTTTCCTGGTCGATACAACGACGCATGGTTATTGACTACCCCCTCCAAAAAATAGACCACGCCTCTGTTGCCCTGATAATGGTACCCCAATGGTTTTGCATCATGGGGGACCTCTTGCTGGCACCAAGGATTAGACAAATTGCGTCTTTGCTCTACAGTGTACCATAAACTAACTTTATTTGGTTTTATTTATGTTATCTTTGATGAGGGTAAGCTCTGATCAGTGACAGTACTGTTGTCCAAAGAGGCCCTCAGATTTACAACGCGAGTCGAAGGCTTAGAAGGCGCCGCAGGTAGCCGCCAAACGGCCTACATCTGTATAAAGAGGGGATGATGAGAAGCAGTTACGGTGTTAGAGGTGGGAGGAAAACCCCAGAGGAATAGTCTGGGTAAAACCCACGGAATCGGGTAGGGACTGAAAATTCAATCCACAAACCACTACCCCAACCTGGCTCCCAAAACTGTATTTTTTGTGTGTGAATTGCTGTTAGCTAGTGCCTTGCTCGTGACATCTTGATGGATGGGCGAAGAACCAGCGTTAAGAGTTGAACGTTACTGTGTGGTTGAATGTCTTTCTTTAAAAGTATGACAGTTATGTTAAAATCACAGCTAGTGTAATGCTCACGGTGTCTTCAGTCACTGTATCTATTTTTTGGTTTTACTTTCCTTTTGCGTTGTTTATGTTACAGGACTACAAGGAGGACGAGGATCCTACAAAATGTTTCACTTCAGAGAGATTGAATCTCACTCCTGACTGGCAGGTAACGCAATTACGGCCTTTGCACGCTCTGATTTCTTTTGATTAGCCTCATGATTTGAAAGTTCCAGCTACGGTCGGCAGCGAACTAAACTTTGTTTTTAAACTGATCTTTTTTTTTTCTTTTCCTTTTTTGAGGGAATCATTGATAGAATAATATAGAGTAAAGGATAAAAACTTCTGTGTATCACCCGAGGTTTCTGTTGTGGTCAAGCCCCTAGGCCCTACATGGTCTACCACGTTATATAGTTTAAACCATCAGCTCTTTGAACTCTGACAAAATACATTATTTCTTATGGAAGAGCACTGACGAATGAAAATGACGACTACACGAGACAAGACTTCCATTTTTTTCTTGATTGGATACCCATGGACCCCAAAGGTAGTTCTTAAATTCGTACCTTGCAGTTCTAATGAACCAGTTCGATTATGCAATAGCCCATTCGCCCGTAAATGAAGCGTGCCCGTACGCGAGGTCATGAGACGTGCGTGTAGGGTTTGCCACACGTGTGTTCGTGCCCCTCATTTAGTTTGTGTGCATGCGTACTAAACTCCTACCACAGCTACATGCCAGTAAAATGGCTCTTGACTCGGATCGGAGAGGTGGACCCCAAAAGAAATCGATCGACATCAAGCTAAGATGAAGCTGTTTGCCCCTCATTTCCATACTGATTAAAATTTAAACACTCAAAGTCCCTATTGCTAACTTGCGCACTAATAAATAACCATTTTCTCACGTAAACAGAGTCAGAAGTTGGAAGTGAAGTCAACATTTTAGAGGGGATTTTTTTTTCGTTTTACCGGGTTTCCTGGACATTTTTGTACTTGTGAATGGTGAGGAATATCATGCACGCTCCATTGAGAAAGCATCATGCAAGAAGAAAACCGTATGAACGAGAACGGAAAGGTTTTGTTTGTGCCTTTTAGTTGGGCAATTTGAAGTCGTTGTACGTATTAGTGCAATGCAGTAAAAGTTGACTCGTACCGAAACGTACTCGTATCCAGGGGGTGTGCGTGTACGTGTATGCCTTGCCCAAAATCTGGACATCTCATTTTTGACCGCTGTCGGACTAGCTGCGCAAATTTGAATCCGCATGAAAAACGTACCGCATGTCAGACAAACGGCTCCTGATGTTGATGAAATAAACTGATGGATACAAACGATTTATTGGTCTTCCAGAGAGTAACACTGGCGATCTGAGGATAATTTGACAAAAGTGTGAAATTGGGCACTACGTAAGGTGCAAAACACAAAAAATGACGAAAAATAAACGGTCCCAATGAAATACGAAGTGAATTTCCAAAAAGGTTTTCTTCCTAGAGGTAATGAACTTTTTTAATAAGAGTTACTATTCTTCGATGTGGCATAATTGCAATTAGACACAAAATTAGGTTTAAAAAATGATGTTTTTTCATAATTATCCTTAGCCGGAGATCTTTCTTACCAGAAGCATTTGAATATCACCCTTCGATAGACTCTTGTCAATTTATTCACACACGAGGTCTTTAAGGGAAATGGCCGCGCAAATCCCTCACATGGGTCACCACCGATATGCGTCGTCTGCTGGAAAAATCATCAGGCAGACGACCATAATACATATTATGTCACGGTTGCGCATGCGCGGATGCCCAAACTAAATGCACGTGCAGTCTATGGGAACCGAACATACGTGCCCCTATCACTGAGCACGGCCCCTACATGGACTCCAGTGTGAGCTTTGTTTCCAAACGGTTGTGCTTTTTTGAAATACCAAGTTGGCTCATTAGCTGTTGCATCGTCGACCGCTTTCGCAACCTAGTGGTCACCATCAATGGAGTAAATTTGTACTGGGAATTGGGGGTGGGGATGGCGAAAGGTGGGGGGATGACTTGCCCGGTGATGAAATTTGAAAAGCGGGGAACGGGACACCATTTTGACTCTATATAGGTCGATGTCTACGATATTAATGTATATCTGTAATCATGGTTTCAGAGGGGCATATTTATGGATTTGTTTTTGTTTTTCCTTTTGAGTAGTATTAATTACATGCATTTTTCGTTGGAAGTCAGAAAAATTCTTCAAATCCTCTTTAATGTTTTGCTCCCCGTAAAAGAACAAATAAAGGGGGTGAACCAAAAGCCCTTCCCAACTCAAAAGGTTGGGGTGATTTATGTATCCCCCCCCCTGGATTTACGCCCATGGTCACAACATCAAATGCTGTATGTTTCAGATTTCAGGGAAATCCAGAAATCCTTCACAATCCGCTTTAAATTTGTTTGCTCATCATAACACAGTGGGTGGGTGGGGGAAATGATTCAATAGGTGTGGGTATATGCCCCCTCCCCTGGGATTGATGCCCATGATTATAGCTCTAACTACGGCTGAACTAATCCTGGTAATACATTTTGGTCACTGATCGTCGTGTTGTGGTTTCATACAGACCCAAGCTACTCCAATGTGTGTCTACAAGCTGGTGGTGACGGAGTTCAAATGGTGGGGTTTGTCTGAGAAAGTAGAGAAAATGCTGGTCAAGGTGATCAATTTCACTCTAAATCTTTTAAGATAAAGCCTGCGAAATATTTCGGTCCTACGTTGTCTCCGTTCACGATATCAGAAAGGATCTCGTGTAGTGTTCGGGTTACCCCAGCTGGCAAACACTTTAGCTTAATATTATTCCCTGTATCCTTTTGGGTTTGCTCTGCAACGATATTATCAATTTTATTACAGTCTCAAAATAATTTCACAATTTTTATAAAATTATTAGGTCCAACGCCATTTTGCTCCTTGAAAAACCTTAGGCCGTGTCCAAAACGGGCTTCAAGAGCTACGGCTAGGTCTATTGTCTACGCGTCTCCACGCATTTCCAATGGGACGAAAACTTAGACCTAGCTCCAGACAAGATATTCGGATGCAGCCTTAGTTACATTACCTTTAACAACACTGTATCAAAAATAATGCTGTAAATGTGTTCATTGTGGACGTAAAAATAATGAAATTGATATGGGTTACCTCGAAAAGCGTACCCCACATTTATGACTGGGTCTTAAGTTTTAATTAAAAAAAAAACCATAATTATGCACGAAGGTAATTAATTGGCCATGACAGCGAAAAGCTAGGGCGGCCCAGTAAGGCAGGTGTACAATTTCAATCCGCTTCTCTAGGTTTTCACTAAAGACACATCTCTGGACAATTTCGTAAGATATTCTGGTCCTAAAGTGTTTTGGAGTACAAAAGATAGACTTCCATATTTTGTTTCATCCGAAGCGCGTAAAGTCTACAGAAATTAACAGGGCTCCCTGTTCCCATGGGCTTAAAATAAACGGTGAGATAAGGGGAACGATGCATCATCCTCTAGCCAGCCCACTCTCGGACTCATAGCGTTCGTTGCTCTCGCTGGTTTTTACTCTATCGCCTAAAATGGTTACGCCCAGTAAAGAGTACCATTAGGCCTATATTTTCGTCCCATAAGAAAGCTTATTTTCATTAACCTTCAACGGCATATGTCTACAAGCAGTTTGCATGTCTGAGATGAATTCTGCTACGGCGGTGAGGCTGCCCTGACGTTGGTCTTTCGCGCATGCACAAAAAGTTAACTATGTGTGGTCCATGAAAACCTGAATAACAAATATCACTTACTGGACACGCTCGAAAAAGAGCAGGTTTAACTTCTTTCACACTCGGGGGAGCAAATTTTTATTTTGTGCATCACAATACCATCTTATACACCACACAATTGTCGTGTAGAGGATGGTGATAATTTAGGGTTTCTTGAAGACAAAAACAAATAAACAATCTCAAAAATCCGAGGATTCTCAGAGAAAATGACCATCAAGTTTGCACTGCTATACATCTGCAATGGATAGGTTATGTTCAAAATTGTTCATGTTCAAAACGTATTAGTAAAACGTCTATTGAATATGTCTCTTTCCAGGCTGCTAGGAGATATTTCATGCAGCTACATCGTCAGATGTATTGCTGGGCTGACCAGTGGTTTGACTTCACAATTGAGGATATCCGCGAGATGGAAGAAGAAATGGAGGTTCGCCTGGATAAGGTAAATCACACGACGGCGCATTTGGCTGGATGCATGTGTTGGCCATCTCGAAAGTTAGGTAGAACTTTTTTCATTATTGAAACGAAATAATTGATATAAATTCAATTTCTGAAGAATTTAGTATCTGCAATATATTTGTATTCTCAAAATGTTTTGGCCACATTAAAAATGTGAGGTTTTGAAGTCAAATTAGCCTTGCATCATCCCATTTAATAGATTACATTAGGGAACACAAATTAAATATGGCTTCCCCGTGAATTAGGTCGACTAGAGTGGGAATCCTTGGATAATTATAGTGATTACAGGAGGAGGCCTGAGGTGTACCGAAAGCGGGCGCACTATTCCTAGAAAGGGAAACTGGAAAGCGCATTTCGCTGGTTCACAAACGACTATGAAATGCATCCGTTAAGGTCGCGTCACTGCCAAAGAAATGAACACTCCCTACCAGCATGGCTCTCTTCAGCCGATGAGGGGGGTGCTTCTGCTCGAGGCAGACAGCCCTGTTTAGGCTATTGAAATATTGGGAATTTTGTCCAAATGCTAGTGATGCGTTTGTTATGCCAAAACGTGCTCGGTAAAGTTGCGGGGGAAAATCAAGCGCTTATCTTGTGTCAGAGTTCTACACTTGAAGAGCCAAAGTGGCTAGCTTAGTCCACGCGGGCTGTTGTCAGAGTGTACATAATTATGATCCGAAATGGAATAGAGGCCCTGTCGGTCAATTGCTTCCTACGGCTAACTGTTTAGTATCGCTGATCCCGTTGACAGAAAAGACACCAAGGGCAGGTAACTGGAATGAGTGAGAATTAGTGAGAATAAAGACGTGTAAATACTCAGCAGTCGGCAGCGGATGCAACAGGATGGTCAGAATTGGCAGACACCAGCACTACCCCTGACTGTGCTTCGACTCTACGCATGACACAATCTTGGTTGGAGAAACCCATCTGATGGCGATGGTAAAGACATGATTTGCTTATATCACAATTTTTGTTTAATTAGCTCGAGATTGCCTTCGGGATTATGATGATTAGTTCGTTGTTTCTTTCTTTGAGGTTCATGTTTATAATTACACTTTGGGTCTAGTATAAGTAGTTCTAGGTAAAGGGATATTCCCAACATATATTTCTTATACTCATATAAAGCTTTTGCATTTATAACTATTGAGGAATGATGCGTAATTAATTACAAGATGAAGTTGGGTACATCATTTAGATTTTTAGTTAATGCCAAAAGTGTACTTTAAAGAAGCCTGTTGTAACTTTAAAGGGTCCGTGTAATGCATATTGCACAACAGCTCTTGACACATACCCATACGTGTCTCAGTCAACATCATATTTCTTGTTTTCGCTGTCGCTGTGGTGCCACTTAAGCTCTTATGCTAATCGGATTTCCTTATCCATGAAAACACTGTGACGTCATCCCGAAAAAAGCAAACTTCAACGTTTCATTGATTTGTGCGTGCAAATGCAAGAATTCTTCGCATTTTGCTGGCTTAAAGTGCCTTTGTTTCCCGGATTTTTTGTGTAGGTACATGTACCCTGCAAATAAGCAAATGAGCAGGCTCTCCTCACACATGTTTGATTACCAAATTCGGTTTAGTTATTTCAAAAGAAAGCACAAACCCTATAAACAAACAGTGACTAACCTGACTGACACCACAGTCCAAAAAGCATGGTCAAGTAGCATTCTTTAAAATTTCACTTTTGAACACACGGTTGCCAAATAGTGTTCTTTGAAAAGTATAGACGAGTTATGTAGTTTCATTTGTAGCTTTGCATTTGTTAGAAAGTTGTACAATTTCATTTTGCGCGTGTATTCCAGAGGACGTTTCTGCACAGTAGAAGAAGATGTTGAGTTTTTTTCGTCAGCGTACACCTGTTACATCTACCCAACAACCAGCCTAATATCCAAATCTGGGTCCAAACCGTTGCAAAACGTTTAGCACTGCAGGAAATTATTTAGAGATTGCTGTTGAAATAAATGGTGAATGTGCGTCGTTAACCGCACTACTTTAAGCATCATGTTGTCCTCGTTTTTCAATACTATCGTCAACCGGAGTAACTTTGGCAGGTTACAAGCCTGATCGTTTATGCTTCTCAAAAAATCATTGTATATTGCTTTTTTGTTACATGAAGCCTTACGTCTTATCTGGTAGCAGCAAACATCCATCCACTTCTTTTACTTACCATATGGTTTGGGGCAACGTTGGCAGGTTCCTGGAATTTAATTGTTTGAAAAGCATTAAAAAGGATTATAACAAAGTTTTACACATGAAAAACCTTTCAGACCAAGCCTTCAACAGTATATTTTATGATAAAAATACTTTCATGGAATCAATTGAGAGAATCTTCTCTCATTCATGTAACGCGTTGCCAATAGGTATGACGACTACAACCAAGGGGTGTGATTTGTGTAATACCAAAACTTTCCTCCCTACTCAGGTATTATGCGACAAAAAAGCCGTCGGGGGGATGCTCCAATTCCCACCACCACCCCGCTCGAAACCCCGCTGGTCTCCTTGTATGTGCATTTCTTACGAGAGTGGAAGCCTGCATGCAAACCCTTAACCTTTCTTCAAATCTGATGTTTTGTCAGGGAATTTGGTGTTTGTTGTGTGGATTTCATTAGCTGGCGGTAAAGTAACTGTATTTAACCAGGTGCTTTCCAGTCGGGTTGAAAGCAGCGAAGCATCTGTCCCCAGTCACGGCCAGTCTTGTGTACGTGTGGCGCGTCTGAAACTCCTTCACGACCGAAACCCCGTCGCTCTGGGGAGTGAACGCCAGGACCAGGAGCCTTCCCTCTACGCTGACGATGAGGACGCCCTCTGGTGCTGACACTGCGGCCAGTTGAGCGGTTGTGGCGGGAGAGTCAATCTTGCTGACCAGAGCCCCGTTGATGGTGTACCTTAGGATGTGATACGGCTCAGAATGCATGACCACAATGATGCTGCTCTCCTCGTGAGAGCGGTCGAGGCAGACGTTGTGCGCTCCGACGGCCAATGATCCTTTCGGCAGCTCAATGCGAGCAAAGATTTCCCCCTTGTTTTGATGGACGTAGAGCCTCTGTGAATGGCTATCTCCGATGATCACGTGGTCTGTTGGAGTGAGGATGATGCTGACAGGTTTGATGTTGTCCTCAGTACAAGACCACCTGTTTGGATTACATAATAATACAATAATAACTGGTTTTATTTATACAGGGTAACCTTATTAGGAAACTGCTTTGCATAAATGGCACTGATCCAATTTGAAACATACATTGATTAATATACGGTAATCTAATATTATAAAAATAGTAAAATAAATAAAACGGGTAAAGTTTAAAATAAGAGGAATAAACACTGTAAAGCACAGGGCACAACTAAATCTAGCAAGTAAAATGTTAAAGGCAATACATTAAAATGAAGTAAAATGGAATAAAAGTGGGTTAACAATATGGAGTAAGACCTGGAAATCAAAAACGAAAGTTTCTCACTGAAGAAAAAAACAGTAAATATCTTCAAATACCACGTGACGAAAATAACTCAGAAGAAACTGTTAAATATGTCAGAACTCAATGAAATAACGGCCAGATCACGTCACAACTTGACATTTTACGTTGAAGTGGGAAGGTGCAGGATTTCGAAGAACACCGCAAAACCCCGTTTTCATAGACATTTTCTGGGTAGTATCTTCAACGTGATTAGACCAAGGCATAAATAAATATTCCTCAAGAGTAACTCCAAGATATTTATACAAATAAAATCGTTCAATGGGCGTGTTACCTAAGACAACCTGCACGTGGGAAAGTGTTGGTAATCTTGGACGAGAAACAAAAGTCATAAATTTAGCAAACTTGTTACTTGTAGCACATTCATAAGACATTGACTATTGACATTTTACATGTATGATGTTAAAAGGGCTCAAATTTGTACTGTGGTTGCTTCATTGCGTACGCGGCAGCATTCGAAAAGCAGTAAATAAACCAACCAACTGTGGCGAGTGAAAAGCAAGGTCCCTAGATACACAGGGGGCGCTGCACGGAATCTTGTCCCACCCTGTGGTTTCACCACGAAGTGACGTGTCGTGGAATGCTGCCGCACCACGGGCTGACGTATCGTGGGTACAAACTCCATGGACGGTACGTCACTTCGTGGTGAACCCGACACTTTGAGCGATGTGCGCTTACCTGTCTTCCAACTTCCCGTGGGCGTCGCAGGTTACCACACGTTTGTAGTACGGCACCAGCACCGCCAGCTTTCCTTCCTTCGTCACCGCCATCTCCAGAACCATCTTCTTGCGCAGTTGAAGGTCCAGATCGAGCGATCTTACTGACTCAAAGTTACCGTCGGGCTCCAGCCGATAAACTTGGCATCCTAGCCGTCCACAGTCGGCAACCAAGATGGAGTTGCTGTATTCGAAAGAGGGCCTGCAAAATCAGTTCGGAGCTGAGACTTTCCAGAAATATATATGAAAGTCGTTGAAAGTGAATGCAAGAAGTGGGTTTCTTGATGTGGGTGGTAGAGGTGGTGGTTGTTGTTGTGGTAGTGGAAAATTAACAGTTTCGATCCACGGTGCTGGTTTTTTGTTGTTGTTATTATTATTATTAATTTATTTGTTCTGGGGGAGTACAATTTTTTTTTTAAAAAATCAGGAAATTGCTGAGTACTCCTCCCACCCAAAACGTTACTGATGAAGAGATTAGACATGTACGTACCGGTGCGATATGTCTACGGCCATTCCAGAAGGGGCCTTGTACCCACCCGGTGGATCTTCAAATGGTAGGCTCTCCTGGACTGATATCACCAGCGGCATAGCAGCCTTCATCGGGATGCCGCAGATTTTGATCCTGACGTGGTGGCACTTGGCTACACGGGGTTTAATCGTTACCGTGTAACTGGGAAAAAATGTGATGATTTGGATTTGTTTAACAAATTTAAAAGCGAACACAAATTTGAAGGCATGGCAAAGAAGGGTATCGCCTTCATTTTAAATTCCTTCAAAGTCCGAGGACAAAATTCAGTACTTAGTCACTGAGTGGGGAGTGTATGTGCTTGCCACGTGTTTGTTGGTGTTGAAAGATTCATGTAGATTTTCAAACGACAAAATTGGGCTTTTGACAGTTCAGCAATTGGTGTCAATCATAATCACGAGTGACGTAAATCTGTGTCTAAGGTTATGGGTGGATGACGTCGAAAATGCCGAGATTGAATGTCTAAAAGCAGCCGAGTGGTGCTCTCTAAGTCCCAGAGATTAAAACTAGGGACAAAGACGTTTTAAAATGAAAATCGTTCTCAATTTAGATTGAAATACTCTGTCAAAATAATCTCTTCAGTCGGAGTTCGAGTGAAAACTGGATCTCATCGATTGAAGAAATACGTCTGGTCCCCAGTTCCCGACTGAATTTTCGATCAAAAAGTTTTAGTTTTCACTCTTTTGAATACGAACGATTCACAATAGTGCGCCACCAAGAGTTTGCAACGCACTGGCCAATCAGAACGCGCGAAATTTGTCGACCCTTTCCAAACGCGCAATGGGTCGACAAATTCCGCGCATTGTGATTAGCCAACGCGTTGCAAACTCTTGGTGGCGCACTAGTGTGAAACGGCCGTATTAAGAGAGTGGCTGTGGGACAACATACATGTATAACATTTTGCAAGGCTTATTATGCTATGTATTGTATGCTTTCATGCTTCATGGAAGACACAATACGTGAAATTTATGTCCAAACGGTGCATTTACAGTTCATAGTTTTCATTTTTTTTCAAAGTGTGCCCAGAATGACCTACCCAGTCAAAAGGGTGGGGGTTATAATATTAAGCCCCTTGCTTGGGAGTTTACGCTCCTGAATCACAGTGTTAAGCGGGGTATTGAATTAGCCTGAGTAAGCCCACTTGTACAAGAGGGAACGATTGCAGAAATACCGGTGAGACTTATGCTTCCTTTAAATGACCAACTCTCACCTGCCGTCCTGGTTATCTTCGACGTCGTATGTTCTCAGTAATTCGCTGGAGCTCGATAATTGAACTTCAGCTGTAACACTATAGCCTCCGGAAGTCAGTGGTTTCCCAAGATGATCATGGGTTTTTAGGTTAAGCGCATACGGCATGTCCAGGACTGCGGTGTTTAGAGGGCACTTCCCCAAGCTACGCGTTGAAACAACCGTGGAGTCTGGATGTAAGGGGTCGACCTTGATGACGAAGGGGCTGTTGGGGATGGGAACCCCGTCCGTGAAGACCGACATATTCAGCTTCCCTGCAAATGGGGGAGTGTAGACGATCCGAAAGGACCCATTCTCGTCAATTGGCGTCACCTGTGCTTCCGTGGACGGGAGTTGTTTTGCCTCGTCTGTGGAGGTCCTAGGGTCATGGGTTGCTCGGGAACTATCGCCCATGGAAAACAGCGCAGTCACAACAGGCGGGGCTGGAAGACTCCCAAGGCCAGATAGTTTGACGACGACGTCGTGTTCACATTTGGCAAATGCGTCCTTCCACGTCACGTCGGTAACCAGTTTGGTATCACTCTGAGGAGGGTCATCACGGGTGACGGTCGACATCAAGGGTGGACTTTCTTCGATATTGACTGGAAAGGGACTACCTTTAATGGGCACTCCAGAGATGCTGATGTTCAGCTGATGAAGTCCCGCCTTCAAAGTTCGGAACTCGAACTCGTAAGAGCCACCACACTTCTGGCCACCCGTGCACTCGGTGGTACTTCCGTCTGGTAATCGAAGGTATGCAAGCAGACAGTCAAATGAGCACGCAGGATCGCCTGACGAAAGACGGACTTTATGTGTGGCATTGGCGGGCAAGGGTGATGACCCCACTCTCCCGGGGAAATCCAGCTTAAATGGCAACGCAGCGTCATCAGAGCGTTCCTTGAGCCACCTAAGGCGCAACAGGAGATCATTGAAGTCGGACACGATCTGATGACGGTCTTCGCCGAAGGACAGAAAGGTGTCGCTCGCCGACTGGAAAGGCAGGTAACTGTTGACATCTATAGCGTCGAGCTCGCGGAGCCGTGCAACAGTCTGTCCGCTGGCCTTCACGAGGTTGACAGGGTGGCCAATTTTGCAGGCTGTCTCAGCTAACTTGCAGGCCGAGTCGAATTGGGCGGCTAGTGACTCAGCACGGTCGGCAAGATGCTTCAGATAGCCCATCCTGCCGACACACATGACCTTCATTTCTGCAATGACCGCGCTCTGTCTATTCTGAAGCAGTTTGTTGAGGCTGCCGAAGAGTGCCAACGCCTCGGCGGATCTCTCTTCAAACAGATCATTCGTTCGGCCGATCTCGGTTTGGATTTGTCCGGAGATAAGACACACAGGAGCTCGTTTACCCCGGACAGCAGAAGCAAGACTCTGCAACTCGGCTTTCAAATCAGATAAGGTCTTCTCCAGATCGACGACATTATGAGAGGAGTGGTTAGGACCTAAGCAAGACGAGCAGACCTCCTGGCACTTTTCTCCCTCCAGGGACAGACTTTCCTGCCCGTGTTTCTCCGTCCGCTTCTGCAGGTCTTCCATGGACCAAACGATATGGTCCTTGAATTTACGCATCTTGCGATGTGCCTCATCGCACACCTGGCAAAGGAAGCAAAGGCAGTCGGCATCTGAGCAGAAACTGATGGCGGGGCCTTCGTCTGCGATGCACGAACCGCAGTAAAGGTCACTAGACCCGGTCAGATCCACATTCGGACAATTTTCCGTCAGCGTCTTCGCGGTGAAGTTGTCTGGCAGACCATGCACGCCACCCGCCGGGAGATGAGTCGTCAGCCGACAGACAGGGCATTTCAACTCAGGCGAGTTCCGCACCAACTCGGCCAGACACCCAAGGCAGAACCCGTGCAGGCACGTGAGCAATTTTGCTCTCCTCTCAGACTCGCCATATCTCTTCAAGCAACGCGGACACGTCAGTTGGTCAACCAGCGGTTGTCTTGTCACTTCTGACAACAAACGGTTCTCGGCAGCCATGCTAAACGAAAATTAGCTACCCCAGTAGGCTGGCTCACACAATATTATGCTCGAATAGTCGCGACTACGAACCTATAAATAAACAACTGAGATTTTGAGCAGTGCACTTAAATGGGTACATGTTCTTTCCCTGATAAAAACGACCTTCAAAGTATCGTACACATTCCAAAACTCAATGTTCATTTAAAAACCATTCAACAGCTTGTTGACAAAATAAGCAAGCTGACCTCAGGTCAGCGATGAATACCCAACACCGGGTGCAGTCGTCACTTCTTCTGGACTTTATAACAATAGGTTTAAAAATAGCAATGTACTTTCCTCGGGCACGTAGGTCTACCAATGCTATATAATGCAGCCTTTGCGGAACTACTGTGAATTAAGGCTAGCCAAAACTTCAACTGCGACTGGAAAAGAGCTGGCCCTCACCTATCACATCTTTGTTCACGTCATCTATACCTTGCAACTTCTCCACGCACCGAATCAAAATTAGCATGGTAATCCAGCACAAACTATGGTGTTTCTAATGTATAGTTTGGAAAGACCAGCGTATTCAAGACAGCACGCAAGTGTGACATTATAACTTATAACATTTACATTAAAGCACCGGCTCCTGGCCTTGTCAGTTGTTTGCGGGAGTAATGGTTGGACCAAAATAAATCTAGGCCCTTTTCCAATACTTGACTTGGGCTCCGTCTCAGGCTTCGTTCCCAAAACCAATCCCCGATTGTGGGCCTGAAGCGTTTGAATTAAATTGGATTACTGTAATTTCTGAATTTCTTACATCTTATTTGATGTTTTGTGGCACTATTAGACTAATTACTGCGCTTACAGCTTCAACGTCAGCTAGTTAAACAACAGTTGAAGCCTGACACGGAGCCGAAGTTGAGTATTAGAAAACGGCCCTTATTTCCCCAAGGCAGAAAGTGAGAAGATGCAAATGCTTGAAAAACGCCTATCCGTACAGTATCTACTCCGAGAGTGAACAAGAGAGGGCGTCACCTGCATTGAAACGACTGTCCTTTGATTGGGGTGGGAACTCACTGCGTTTGCGAAAGTTTATGTACGGTTTGCTAAACCATGGATATTGGAATTAAAAATAAAGTACACTCGATCGCTGGCTTGTGCCGACGCACGGGTTTTGCCTTCATGAAAGCTCCCATAGATCATGTGCTGGGAGAAAAAATTGAAATAATGCACGTCGTGACTTCACGAACAGAACGCATAGCTTGCACATACATTTTTTTTCACTGCATGAGCTAATGTGAACGATATCGCATTGCACCCTTTAGACATCATCCGATATTTAATTCGAGAAGAGATGCAAAATGATTCGTAGTTGCCTGCTGCGAAAGTAACACCTCGAAGCAAGAGTTTTTGGGACCAACTTCCCTTTTAATATGCAATTATGCATCTGGAGAGTGATTCTTTAATATCAATTTAAAAAAATTAGGAAAGTGAGTTGTTATGCAAGATATTCTTGAGATATGATAATCATATGCTTACAGGCCGGCAGGTGAAGCATCTGGTCAGGCATCGCTCTGTAAAAATGCAGCACTTAAAATGATTTATAACGCGTACACTCGATACAAGTGCACTGAATGCTTATTTCATTTTCCCTGCTGCGTGGATTCTCACGGCCTTAAGAGGTCAGAAAAATGGCTCAAATTCACGGTACTGTGGTACTGTGAAGTGGAACGTCCGAACGCGCTGACAATCTAGTCTTTTCTTTCCAATGGGCACAACCCAGAACCAACGGCTTCCGCGTGAGCGCACGTGTGCACCAAGCCAATTTTAAGAAACCTGCCAGCCCTTTGCCGGTGAAGGCACACTTCAACTCTGGCCGTTAAAAAGAATAGCAAACAGCACGCCAATAGGCTCTTAATAAAACACTATAATTCTAGAATAACATATTCTGAGACAATTGGCCTTATTTGACAAGAGTAAAAAGTGTATTTATTTGACTTTTTCCGTACTTTCAAAATTAATATTAAAAAATACCCCGTCTAAAACTGTTGCCCCACTGGTGGATTACAAATGATTTCATTCAGATATATAAATCTGAAAAGAATAATTTGAACAAAGAACATGTTCTACACGATAGCAAACCTTGGCAGGGGTACTGCAATAAATCTTCAGAAGTCTCCTCGTGTCTATTCAGTTTATCGCACCTTTCCTCCAGCCATTAGGGCAAAACCAACTCGACACGACATTATTAGTACATTTAAACTGGGGGAAACACTTGTCGGGAATCGTGTCATGTTTGTTATTACACAGCAACATCTGAACGCATTGGTGGTTCTAACAGAATACAGGTCATACGGTGCAACATTTTAAGATTACCAATGAGAAATTTTAGTATGAGAGAATAAGACAAAGCTTGGATATTTATCCTCTTTTCTTTTGGTGTTTCATCGTAAAATCGGGAATTTTAAAGGAATGATGTGTGCACATCAAAAGTAGTCGATTTCGACTTTCGAATGAACGCACGAGGGTGAATGTACCCGACGTCTACGGAGAAACAGTGGTTACCAAAATTAATCAACAATTTTTCCCATGAACCACTAACAAGATAAAAATAAGTTTTCCGAAAGTAAACTTCTGCATGTTGTACTCAGGAACTTCGGTATATAGACGCAGACATATAAACACATAGACGGGCAGCTCCTATCCAAAGCAACGGTGGGGTAATGTAGCCAAGACGACACCCGACCAAATCCAAAAGCGTGGGCAAATTTACACCTCGGTATATAGGGAATTTACAGATGAAGAATTCCAGCCCCAAAATTCTACGAAACCATTTTCCGATTGTGAAAAAATCCTCTGTTTACTTCATCTGGTCCATGCAGATTCGAAACAGTGCGGCTGTAACATCTGAACAGAAGAGATAGCAGTACAAACGAGCAAAAAAGAGATTGTCTCTTTAGAGCCAATTTAAACAAAATATGCATTTCTAGCACGTCATGTGCAAATCGCAATGAACGCACTGCCATTCGTCGTTTCGCCCATTGTTTGTTCACGCTTTTTTAAATCACGGTTATACGCACAAGACTAGTGGTCTATGTGTTTATGTCTGTGGATATCCGGTTCGTAAGTGACTTCGTCACAATGGCGGACGCGCCACAGTTTGCAGGCTCTCATTGGACAATCGCTGAAGTTGCGCGTTAACTTCCGGTTCCATGGCTCCACGTAAGCGGTGATCAATGCATGTAACCCTATGTGCTGTGCACGTGTGCGGTGAATTTGGTTTAAACTGGACTGACGTCACTTACGAACCGGATAGATTACCGAAGTGAATACGTCACGCCCAGTTATATGTGTAAAATGTATTACAGTGAGAACCAGCGCGTGAACCAACACGCGCCCGTTCTCCATTCGTTCGCACTACACTTTCCGGTTCACGGTGACGTTACACCTCGGTACTCTATAGAGAACCGAAGTGAATACGTCACTCGCACAATTAGTGTGTAAAAGGCATGACCGCGTGAACCAACACGCGCGCGTACTCCATTCGTTTGCATTGCACTTTCTGGTTCACAGTGACGTCACACTTCGGTACTCTATACTGTATGATCGAGGTTATCAAGTTTTAGATGCGCGTGTGCAAATAGGATACTGTCGGTGATAGTAAACTGCAAGTAGTCGAAATACTCCAGCGTTTAATACCAGTTTATACTTCACGCAATTCAACATTTGCCAGAAAGAGTAGGATTTGTTCAACTTGGGCGCAAGTAGACACGCAGAACGAGCAAAATCTGGAGTGCCTTCATTTTCCTCTTCGTTAAATTCTAAACTTCCCTTTTCCCACAATATTATTTCTGGATGAATATTTAAAGTCTGTTAAATGAGTTTTGGACTTTTTAAACATGTAAAAATAAAAAATACATTCGTTTTTTCCAAATTAAAAAAAAAATAAAATCTGTACAGCAGATTACAGTAATCAACCTTTGGAAACTGATCATGTTGTGGTAACAATGTATGCTATGGCTCCAAATTCAATAGGGAAATACATATAAATGTACATAGACATCGTACTGTTGCATCCCAACTAAAGCGCTGGTCCCTACTGTAGATGGGGTGCCCCAATAACAGTGCTGTGGTTGGCCTGGCCCGTGTCAGCAAAGTATCTACAGAAAATCCATTAAGCTTCTCCACGTTTTTGCAGCTTGCACCAGAGGGAATTCCTGAAATCGTTATCCATTTTATGAACCAATAAAAACTAAAACTCTCCAGGCATTTGTTATAGAAATGAACATGTATACATATTAACAGGGACACTTGTTACGGACCATGTAATTATTAACACACTGGTCAGCAAGCAGTGTTGTATTTGAGTCCATCACAAGGTGTCCTTTCACAAAGCCAGTCATAAGTAACAGGGTGAACAATGACAAAAGAATGCTTTTGTCACTGCTCATTTGAATAGCTTGTGAACTGGGGTAAGGCTGAATGACTTGTGAAATGGACTTACAGGGACATTTTATGCGCGGTATGTAGTAAAGGGGAGCTATTGTGTCGTCTTTTGTGTTCATGGAATCTTTGGAAACCCTTTCAGATTTTCAGGGGGGGTTGTAGGCACAATAGCTTGAGCGTCACATGGGGGGGTCCCCCTTTGCCACATGTCGCGGACTCTGTGCTGGACTCTTAATACAAACACTGCTAGGCAGGCCCGACTACTGCACAAAGAATCATCGTTGAGATGGTCCAAACTGTACATGTAGTTGGCACAGATCCTATAGCTTAGGTGCAACAGTACAAATTTCAGGCAACCAACGAAAACGAGCATTCCCTAAGGGTGTCACAGAAAAATAATGAATTGAACACAAGAGAACAAAACAAGAGGAGAACACCAAAATAGAAAACAATTTTTGGCAGATATGTATTACAAAGAGGCAGCATGACATGATATGCTAAACGTCCTTTCACGTTTTAGCTAAAACCAGAGTTAAAATCTAGTCACTTGATGAGCCAGTATTCGGTCAAATCAAAGGGCAGGTCACACGAAAACTGAAATGTTACACAGTTGGTGACACCTCCAAGAGATATGCCTTTTCCCTCCCATTTTGTGTTCGACTGAACAACCAAAGGGCTATACGATATCATTTTGAGATGAAATCCTTCACTTTCTTCAGTGTGCAATTTTGTGTTCCGGTCGACCTAATATAATTTCAAAGCTTTGTTTGCCAAAGTATGCCTTGCCGCTTTTTAGGCTGAGCAAATTTCTGCATATTCATGAGCAAAACTGTGATGTCATTCCAGGAAGAAAAACCGAAGTTCACACTGATTCCTTTACAGGAGACTACTGCATTTTTGGATACTGCCCTGTTCTAAATTTTCTTTCATTTCAATGTCAACAACTGGTCGCATCGCCCGTGGCTCAGGGTCAGCCTTGAATGACTTGATTGCAACTCTGTCCAAACTGCTTCCGTTTCAGCCTGGCAGACTCGGCTGGGTTTTTGTCCTGCATCGATGGCAGGCTCCCACTCAGCTGGCATCATGAGAGGTTTAAACAAAAGTCAGTTTGAGCCGCCGCACAGCAGCGTCTCTCCAAGGAGGCATTTCAGAGGTCAACGTGACATGTCCGTAGCTGACAACCTCCGACTGAGATGGATGGCTTCCTGTCTATTTCCTGGAAAGAAAAGGCGGCAGATTAATCATGGACATAAGCTCCAGACACGAGGCAAAATGCAGCCTGGTTGCCTTCATCAGTGGTGAACAGAGCTCTGCTCTTTCTCATTTTTTTCTCAGTCTTTCCTTGAAGTTGGAAGGCACGTTTTGTGACAACTGGACAAATCTGTGGACGGACATATAAACCGAACTGTTATCTAGAATGCTGGTTGCAACTTCTCCAGCTACCCGGGGGTATATTGGAGCATTTTGAAGTTACATGGCCTTAGCAGGCAATCTTTCGGACAAACTGGTATCATCAATAAATGTTGCTGAAACCTTGTGTTTTGGGCACCGGTGTCCCACCAATGAACAAAAGACTGTTCACAGATTGTGGCTGGTAAATTTGATTTGATGTCTTCGGACAATTCCATAAAAACTTAAAATGATTATTTCTTGACATACCACAAAGAGCTTTCCATCAAATTGCCCCAAAAATACATGTAGTTCGGTAATGTTGCGTTGTGATCTTTGCTTTTTATTAATTCACATGTTGCAAGAAAAAAACCCCTTTCTGCAAGACATCATACTGAACAAATTCTAAAAAGTCTGAAACAGTCTAGAACAACCAAGATTAAAATTGCAGTTTGGCAACTCTGACTAGTCTGAGGGACCCTTATGAATATGCAAAATTATTGCACTTTAGTTATGCATCCAACTTCAAGGAAGGGCCAATACACACGGTTCAACTTTTGAACGCAATCAAAATTTCAAATTCTTGAGACTCGACGGATAGTTTTGTGGTTAAAGAATGATTCACCAAAGCAGGGAAATAGCCCATCCCACTTCTGACACTAAATTCTGGATCCTGTGGGAACATGACCTCACTCTTGTCCCCACAAGGCAATCTTTGCTTGACACGTTCCTGGGTGCCATTTAAATCATGTCCGACATGATGATTAATAATAAAACCCCATTCAGCAAAACTTTCAAAGTCGGCCATAACATGTAGGAAGCCAGCTAATAACAAAATCAAAGCGTGCACAGAGAAGGAAAGCACATGAGCAAGGTAGCTTGCGAATGGGCATGTAACCATGCTGGTGGACCGGGCAGGCAACCATGCAATAAAAAATGCATGCAGCTATGTGTTTTCACAAGTGATGCATGGAAATGACCTGTGACCTAGACTCGCTACTGAAATCGTCTAAATGAAAGGCGTGCATGGCCCTGTAACTTTTGTGTAATCTACATGTAGCATGCATATATTAATGTAGTTTTTTGCCACAAGCCAGTGTGGTCCATCAGAGAGTGGAAATGACAGTGACCTAGACTCGCTACTGAAATTTTCTGAATGAAAGGCGTGCATGACCCCGTAACTATTGTGTAATCTACATGTAGCATGCATATATTAATGTAGTTTTTGCCACAAGCCAGGGTGGTCCATCAGAGTTGCATTTATGCCATGCGTAAGTGGCAAGAAATGACAGCCAAAAAAAGGTCTGGTTCCATGCCGATTTGAATGCCTTCCACCACCAAAGGTTTTGATCACAAGTCCCCTTTTTATACCGTGTCTCTCTAACTGCTTTACCTAGTGCAGTGGAGTTCATATGAAGGATAGTGGCAGATGGTCTCTGTTAATATGGCAGAACGAACACAAAATAAAGTGGGATTTAAAAAAGCAATAACGCCTGTTAGGCTGGTTACTTCGTTTCATGAATCCAAGATAAAATGACCAACTTGTCAAAGCAGGGCATTGTACATGTGTCATGAACCTATGGGGTTGCATGTTTGTCCGATGTCAGAAACATTTATCTATGCCAGATGTACCATGAGTGAGTCTGATTGTGCATGACAATCAAATAATGACTACATAAAGTAAAAGACGTGCCTCTGGCCCGCAGTCACTGTCACGACTGTGGCACTAGGGAGCGCACTGGTTTTTTTCTGTTGGAATTTCCTTGGCTTACCATTCAACATCTCTCACTCACGGAATGGTACTTCGGTAGGGTATGTGTGTACACTGTGAAGCAAGTCCAAATGACAGGAAAAAAATGGGTAAAATGTTGAGGGCCACAAAACAAAAAGCAAAAAAAAAAAACAAAAAAACACACACAGACACTTTCTGCAGCTTTTAAGAAGGACCATTTTTCAAGTTGTGGTCAAAAATGCACACATATGAGACTGAAGGTCCCAGGAATTTCATAGCACATTTAAGTTTGCGAGGAATGCTTACTTCGTGACTTTCAATTCATTCTCAGTCCTCTAAGTACAACGTTACATGTATTCTCCCTTCTGGTAGGACAGACTTTTCTGCACTCGTCAACATTCTGTGTATTGACAGACGTTCACCGTTTCTTTACGTATTCTTTACAGTTGGAATTTCACTTAATCGTTTCTGTGCATTCTGCTGCTGCAGGAAATTCTGGCATTTCAGGTCTATTTGAAATCGTAAATGTGTCAGGTTGGGGGGGGGTTGTCTAACACCCAACTCCATCCGTGTCTCACTCTTCATCTCTGAAATCAATACCCACTTTTAGGATAGCAGCGCTCAAGTCAAACAGAACACGTCAATACAGGTAAGTTGGGTCACTAACATACAAAGCTAGACATGCAGAGCTCTGATTTATTATTGAAATAACGACTGCAAAGCCTGGGGATTTAAGATCAGAAAAAGCCTGAGACAGAGACGAAGCCGAGTAGCCTACTGGAGAACTCTCATGTACATGAAAATACCAAAGGGCATACAAGCAACAAGTACAGTGTTAATGGAAGATCAGACAAGAGTCAAAGCTTCAGATAGGGAGTGTATCAAAATAAACGCAACAATATATCTGTTACATTTTTGGGAGATTGTGTTGGTTTTACACCAACATGTCTAGTAGCACCTTTCAAACCAGGGATCCCCTCTTTTCAATGATATGCTACTTATTCACACAGAGTCTTGGCTAAACAATCATTCTTTATGGACAATGAGACAAAGATGGCTTGGGACCTAATTTCAGTTGAAACGCCATTTCTCCCTCTCTCCTGTGAAACGTTCGTAATGAACGGGCCAGGTGTGTTCACAACGCTAGTCAGGTGTATTATTTCATAATATCTAAAAGGCTGGCTGGAGGACCGTGGTCAGGTTTTCTTTCTTGTAATAATTCTTGCGCTATCTTAAATTGTATTGGGTATGAGCATACTCAGTCACCACGAAGACGCTCTTCTCTGTACTCAACCAAACCATCTTGGACAATGATGGTATTACACTACATGAGCTTTTCGTGGCCTAACAAACCTATGCACAGTGAAATAAATCATTGCAACCATTATAGATACATAATGTTTCACCTGACTGCATTGTGAACACATCTGGCCTATTCATTACAAACATTTTACAGGAGAGAGAAGGAGAACTGAATAGGCTTTAGGTTTCAAATGAAGCTTGGCCCCAAGCCCTCTTTGTCTCATTGTCCAAAATGAATGATTGTTCAGCCATCCATGGCCATGTACGAATAAATAACACATCACTGGAAAGAGGAAATCTGTGGCTTTCAGGTGCTTTCAGGTACCAGACACTTTAGTGTAAAACTAACAATTTCCAGAAAAAATCAAAAGACATTCCACTGTGTTTTTTCATACGACCTGTATAGAGCATAGTACTAGCTTCAGATTTTGGAAAGAAATGGCTGTTCAGCGCACATATCTGTACGGTAGGGTCTGCAGCTATTGTATACCAACTGTTGGCGTCAACTGGCACATACACCTGCCAGCTTGTTTCCAACAACAACGATGCTGCTCTCTCTATCTTTATAAAAGGCTCAGACACGAGTGAGTGAACTCCCATACACTTGCACACAGCTCACCCACCACCACAAGTGATGCCCGTACATGTTCAAATACCATTCCGCATGGCACACATGTTTGTGTTGAAGGCTACAGGCTTCGTGCAGACGTAATGCAGTGCACCGCCCATGTCCAAGCATGCTACTACCTGTGTGGGCTCGGGAACAGAAAATGTCCACACAAGGCAAGAAGCAAATATACTGTGAGGACTTGGCCACAAGTCTCCCCCCCCATAAAAAAAAAAGGTTTTACAGATAATTCAATGTCGGGACTGTCCGTCAAGAGAAAGATGAACAGTCAAGGAAGTCATCAACAAAAAATAAAACAGCTGAGAAAAGTTCACAGTTCAGACAGTTTTTGAGAAAAATGAGTATTTTCACTATAAACTTTTCTAGACTACATGCAACACGCAGGAATGTCCATACTACAATGTAGCTATCCAACCCAAACGTGTGTGATTTCGCCCCGGGCATGAAGTAAAGCGAGCTTTGTGTTAGTTTGCCAACCACTCTGGAGTTTGGTTATTGCAGACAGGTATTTTTCAGCACAGGACAATTATTGTACTGAACTCTACATTTATAATTCAATTACCCTAGGTAAATTGCATGCTGCATGGAAACCAAGGAGGGAAGACGTTTCTACATAACATATACTTCATAAAGATAAAGCGACAACATCTTGTTTTGTGGAAAATGTTCGCGTCCGTTATCTTGATCTTTAAGTCTTTGGTAAATCCGTCCCACGGTGCACTGCCAGACTGAAAAGAAGACTGTGCGTGTGTCTTCATGACAGATACACTCCTACCCTGACAAGTGTGATTTTTGCCAACCTTCTGTTATGTAAAAATAATTTTACAAAACTTTAAATTGTCTCCGGCTTTGTAAGCCATCTCTCTACTTTTTGCAACTGTTCAAAAATCAAAATCTCAAGAGTTTTTCCGTGTGTTCCTGTAAAACCCTGACGAGGAGGTGGTGTGTGATCCTGTTCGTAGACCAGTGTTCTTGAGTCGTGTTCCCGCCGTTCGAGCGCGAGAACACTAACCCCGTGTCAAGAGCAGGCCGCCTGAACTCGACCTACATCATGTATGTTTGCATGCAGCATGGCTTTCTTTATTGATCCAGGGTAATCAAAAATATTCAAATCAATTACAATAATTGCTCCCAAAAATTGTCACAAGCATGTTCGGCCCAAAACAAAATCAGATAGGACGTTTACAGCCTTTTCAAAAAACAGTAAGTATCACAGCCACTTCAGGATACCCTCTGCCCTGATGACCTTTCATCAAATGAAATAGGGATGCGCTGTTATGCCGCAATCTAAAGCTAACATGGCAGAATGTAAAATGTAGTGGTTTGGAAATTCAGACAAAACAAATCAAAACCAACAGAAAATGCAAAATTGCAGATTCAAAGACATGCTGGATTGGAGGCAACTTTTTGTTCACTTAGAATGACATACGGTGCACAGCTGCGGCAGTGGGTAATTATTCATAATGCGCTGGTTCAGGGGCCAACCCGACCATCCGATTAGCTAATGCTTCAGGGTACGGCACTTGTACATGTATCTCGGTGTGAATTTGTTAATAGCGCTCTCACCCAACTTCGCCTTCGGCTCTTGGGCCGGTACCCGAGATTAGCTGGTAATCGCTCTGACAGCAGGCTTTCTTCATCTCCTTAAACACCAGCCTAAGTAAACACTGCAAGTAAAAACAAAACAGTTTATGAATACATACTAGTATTTACAGAAAAAAAAACCTAAAAGAGATCTAAGTCTCAGCTAAACAGAAATCTCAACCTGTATAGGATCTGCTACTGTATGTCACTGTACGTCAGTGTCATAGTTCTCTCCATAAGTGGGTGGTAAAACTACTTCTGGCCATCAGTACAAAGTAAATGTTTAAAAAAAAATCACTTAGCAATAAAAATGCCAAACAATACAATACACCTGCACACGTACTACTGATTACTACACACATGTACATACATGCTTCTATAAAGGTAAAGGGACAAATCTACAGTTTTATGTAAAACCTTACATCAGCCAAGGGTGCTTCTTGTATTCTGTCAAGTTTGGCTGCCCACAGGAATGGTAGGCAATATGACAGTATTCTGGGTTTACTCTACTATTGTCACTGGCAGAGATCCAGTCTGCGCTTTCTCAAATCTGAATTTCTATGGAAGCTTTGGGAAAAAGTTAAAATTTTTTCAAACAGGTCAGTGAAATAATGCTCCAACGACAAAGGACGCAAGATGCAAATTTGTTTGAACACTGGGCTGGTAATTCTGTGGCTATTTTGAAGAAGGCACGGCACTTCGCATCATCTCCTCAACTAGCTGACTGTCGCAGGTTAGGCTTGTCAACCATGAGCTGCTTTGATCAAAATCAAACGGTCACACCCTGGTCATTTACGCCATAGCATCCCTGGACAGTCCATCACATCACACAAAGTGTTGCAAGGTAGAAACCGATAAATGATGTTTGTTTGTTTTTTTTTGCAAAAAAATGAACTTGAAACAGAAAAGCCACTTTTTTATGCACATGCTTTGTGCTCATTTATGGCAACTGTCCATTCCATCATGGGAGTACATGTACCGTGAGACCTGTTGAAAATTTTTAGTCTAATATCAACAGAAATTCTTCTCTCAAAATTTAACTCAAACAGGTTGTCCCTTTTCTTGTAAAACTGGGTACACGTGTAAACTCTTCGAATTTCCCTGAGTCTAACCCTTAACCATTAAAATGAAGAGGATTCAGGCCTGTTACTAGGGTCAACTTTCAAGGAAATGGAGATTCCTTTCAAATAAACGTGTCTAGAGTTTGGACTTCCTTCGCCCAATACAAAAACCTCCCAATTTTCTTGCAGAGTTTGAAGGAATACAGAGAGTTGGAGATTACGATGGCTTAGGCTTTATATTCTTTCATGAATTGCAGGGATGAGAGCGGGGGATGAAGCAGAACCTGCAAAATATCTGGCGGAGAGGTGGAAACAAATAAAAAACATCACGTGCACCTTCCACTCTTTTAATAGCCACTAAAGGCCTGAGTTCCCTCCCCATATAGTCATGGCGTGAATCTTGGGCCTACCTTTTAGTCCAGAAGACAAAAATGAGCAAACTTACCCTCTATAATTCCAGAATTTGGGGTAAAAATCCTGAAATCCGCAAGAAAAAAACCCCTGACAAACCGTGCCCCTTGAGCCCGGCGCATCATCCTTACCAAAGCAGAGGCAACCTCGGCCCCGGCCAGCATGAGGAAGACGTCACTCCAGCCGTGACTGTTTGTTGGACTGATGATACCTGTCAAGAGAGGGCCGATGGCAGCGCCAATGGTGCCCGTCCCGTCGATGATGGCGGACACCGTCGCCAAGGCTTTGGCATTACCGTGGAGGGTCGGGTGGGTGCCCTGTAGGAAAAGAGTGGGAAAATCCAGACACAAATATGAAAAGCACTGACAATACAAAGTCACGTTTAAATTACAGGGACAATTGTAGGTCCCAATTCTTCAATTTTCTTTGTTTTCTGTTATTGACAATAACAGGTACCCAAACTAGGTAATTTGGAAATTCCAAAGGACCTTGATATAACAGTCTTTACATGTACATGTACTCCTTGTAATATGTCAACCAACTCTCCCAATCAAAAATTTTGATGTCACACAATGCAGGAGTTGTCTGCAGTAGGAATATGGATCCAAGAACAGGTTCACTGATTAAGCTTTCACTGTTTCTGATCCCACACTTTTGGACGATATTTCACTCTTCACAAAAGCAGCCGAAAACGTTCAATTAAATTGTGGTTTATTCTCCTTTGACTCTGCTATCTATTGTTCTTAGGCGCCATAATCTGCATGATTTGTTGTTGTTGTTGATGGAATGGCACCATGAGAATCCCGCAAGCTTTACTTTTTATTTGGACAAAATCAGCAGAGACCACGTCGAAGGTGATGTATATCAAGTGGCAGTTCAGCCAAACGCCCTGTTTTTGCTGGGCATTTTTTTTTTCAGTGTTTAGAAGAATTCTGCCCTCAGCTGCTCTCCTGCTTACTGCTGCCCTTTCCTTTCACATTCTGAGAGAAGGTATTATTTCAGCCGGCTACATATAAAAACAGATTTGGGGAAGACATGATCACTTCATCTTGGAGTCGACACCCCCCCCCAAAAAAGCCTGCTAGTTCTCTGCCCATCTAACCAGTGGTTAACCAAACTTCAACCTTTGATTCTCGGTTGATCGGAACAGTGGCATTCCATAGGCGTAACGGACATCTGAAAAACGCCCAACCAATGACTGAAACGAGCAAACGCACTCCAGGTGATATTGTCAAGCTCTGAGGGATCTGACTGCCCCCCGCTTCTTCATTTCTCTTGGGGGGGGTTACTTTTACGCAAAAGCAGTTACATGCACATAGCGGTTTTTTGGGGCCATCAAGAAGTCCGAAGGTCGTCTGAAATGCCTACTCACCAAATCAGCAGACACGGCAGTGGTAATGAGAGCATAGGGGGCATTGGTGAAAAACGCTGTCAGCATCATCAGACCTGGGCAAGTTACAAAGACAGAGAGCGGGAATATCAGCACTGAAGTGTGTCGTCTTCACAGGTTAATAGAGCAACGGCAAGGGCAGCTGCAACTCTCGCATACCAAGAAACACAATTGATAAGTCACCGACACTGAGGCCTACTAACAAAATAACCCACTCAGGTCTTTGGTTTTAATACCACCTCAACACATCACCCACAGATTCTGATCTTGATAGGCAAAGAGCTGGTATGTATAGCTTTTCAAGGCCAAAAGAACCGTATCTACAGCAACCAAAATATCTGTAGCAACCAAAGGGACCATATGCTTGACCACCAGCATGGTATTTAAGAAAGAATGCTAATGTGCATGCTGTGCATATTTTGAAATGCTACTCTTACAGAGTTGGATTCAAGCATTTCATGACAAGGGTGAAATGAATATTGACAGCGGCAGTCAATATTTGTATATTATATGCCAAAATATGGATGGAATATATTTGTCTTAACCCTTTGACAGCATTACTCTCCACAATGCATACATATACCAGGGTGTAAATTCATCTTTGCATGTCTATTTTGTGAGGACAAGACATGGAATGTTGATGACTTGCCACAATAACAACTGGTACGGCCCATGGCAAGAATTGACGGCACAAAAAATGTCTGTGTACTCTTTCACCAGCAGTCACTCTCTTTAAATTGTTTTGCCGGCTTCTTGGTTAGGGAGCAGACCATAATTAGAGCTCGACTTCACCACTGAAAAGCCTGCCTGGCTCTCCAATTCATCTCTATTTCCACTTTGCCTTCAAGCTCAAGGGTATCAAATAAAACAAAGTTTGGACTCGCAATGCCCTTAATAATCCACCCATGTAGGTCATAAAAGCCACCGGTGCCATCAAGGCCAAAGGACTATGAGGAGCTGGTCATCATAGTTACCTAAATCACTCGTGACCAAAAAAGTTCACGACACGTGAGCCCAATGATCACTTTGTACCGGTATTTGGCACGGTAAGATGGCCATTGGTGGCCTCAGTCAGTACAAGAGCATTGAGTCCATGCCTAAGCTTCTGAGGATTTGCCACACGACTAAAATGAGCATCTAGCTCCTGATGTTTCTTTCATATGGCGCCATATTCATTTGTGAGACTGTGCTGGCGAACCCACAACTTCAAACCTTACACGTCTGCTGACAGGCCAGAACAACCTGTCTCAGTTCAGTGGGGTATCCATGAAAACTTGCTCACTCTTAAAATCAATTGCAAGGAATACAATAACATTCTATACAAGGTTCAGAATTCCAATGTGGTCCAGTTGTGTATAAAATGAGGCTTTTGAAACAAAGAAAAAACACGTCCTCTTACCTATACTTTTGGCTAGGCTGAGGTAGCCGTACGCATTGTAGATATACACCTGAGATGAATGGACAGAACAAACGATTCAAGGCGTGATGGTCTACTGGCAGCCTGTTTGCGCTGTTATCGATAGATAAATACATTTACCATAAACGACAACACTGGTTGGAAATACGTGCGGCGCAGAAGACAAACTAATCGCAGTAACAAATCCTTGAATATTTCAGGACCTTGAAACAGCATGGAGAGTTCATTTGATGAAAACGAAAGGAAAACGAAAATTAAAAGACAATGCCTTTCTGACAACAGCATCAACACTCTTTGTGTGAATTTTACACTCGCACCATGCAACCCCCATAGAAAAAGTCTTCAAAATTTTAGAAATGAAGTAGACTTGGTTGGCCTACGGTATGTCCGTATGCTAACACTCATGGCCGAGGGTTTGTCTACCAGAAAGGCTTGACGACAGCAAACCTTGACGGTTAACAGAACAAGAGGAGGGCCTCTGCCGTTGCGACAGAGTTTTTGACTGAGAAAAGAGTGACCTCAACAGACTTTTCAGGGAGAGTACAAAGAGAGCCGACCTTAAGAGCCTGCTCACCAGAGGCGCAGACACGACTAGGGCCACAAACGACACCGTGGCACTGGCTCCGCTCAGGTCCGACAGGAGCCCTATGACGATGCCCCCCAGCACCCCGCCCACGTCAAAGAGGGTGGAGAAGTATGCAGACTGCTCGTCCGACAGTTTCGCTACAAAAATCATTATCAGAAAGACAAAGCGAAATGTTCGCCAGTATGCAAGGCACATGGCGAGAGGATGACGTAGCTTTGGATTTTAATCAAAGACAAGCTGCAATGAAGTTAACATTTGAATATTGCAATCTCTGGCAATTGAAGATTTGACATTTTCTGATAGACTGCCATCAACAAACAAGAGTGGAGGCCGACAGTGTGATACATTTGGACAAGAGTTAGGCCCAAATGTTCATGTACATGTCCATGGGTGGAACACAATCAAATAAATGAAAGAAATGAAAACCAAATCTAATACTACAACCTTGAGGCCAACCCTTCAGAGTAATCAACCCTTATGCAGAATGGACGAGAGGACGATCAAAACCTGCGCATGTACTCACTGGTGCGGCTGATGTAGTACGGAAGCCAAAAGAGGAATGTGTAGCTGACTAGCTTGCAGAAGAACAGAGAAAGGGAGAATTCGATGACACCCTGCCAAACAAGGAGAGACGAAACAACTTGAAAACTCAGCAAGGGCCGTTTTCTGAATCCCAAGTCAGAAATTTGTCGGGCATGATCGAATTTTGCAGTCAGTCAAACTACACCGACTAATTATACTGTACAGTACGTGGATGTCAACATCCTCTGTTTTCAAAAAACGTCCACCCCGATCTTTCTGAAACTCTGCGTGCATGTGAAGACATTAACCCTAACACTCCTCAGTCCTCCAACAGGTGAAAGGTTGAGGAGTGTTAGGGTTATCTGTGAGTTCCACTAGGATTCAATTCAATCACTTCAATTTCCTGAGACCATGTCGGCCTGCTTCCTTTAAGCACACACCAGTGGAAAAGGTTAACATAAAACAGATGTGTCTCAGAAAAATCACCATTTCTCAAGAACAGCACGTCTGAAATTAATGTCAAAAATGACCGCGACAAACCAATGATAATGAACAAAATGCCTCCGGGAGTGGTTATTAGGAGTCTTGACAACAATGTTACATTTCTCTCGGCTTTTCCTACAATTGTGGTCAAAAGGTCCCATAAACCTGTACTGAAAGTACTAATTATACAATTATTACGACTTCATTCCTGGTGACCAGATTATCTCCTCTAATACTTCAGGTAAGACATATTTGCTGGGTGTCACCTAGTACAAGCAAAACACTTGGCAACAACTGTGTCGAGAACCGAAGTGAATACGTCACATACACACACAATCATGAGTGTAAAAGGCATTAACGCGAGAACCAGCGCGCGAACCAACACGGGCGCGTACTTCATTCGTTTGCACTGCACTTCCAGGTTCAAAATGACATCAACTTCTGTGCTGCATATCGTTCTCACTGACCACTGTCTGATGTGGGAGGGATGGGGGAACATTATCATATTGACTCACCGGAATCATGAGGGCTCTCCATGTGGTGATGGCAGGCTGCTCAGATAGGACTTTCCTCTCACCAAAGTGCCCATTCTCGTCGTCTGAAAAGTTAACACCGACTGACTTTGTCTCCTGTGACCAAACACATGCAGGGAAAAATCAATCAACAAACGAGCAGATAGACCAGGTTCGAGAAACTAAATTAGCCAGCATGATGGACTGCATGTATATTCACTCCTGATACTGAGGATATCACATGATTTTTACATTGCAAGAAGACTGAGTACGCGTAATCATAGAAACTAACATTACTACAACAAGTTTACCTCTTCTTGATTTTTAGGTGGATCGCAGCCAACATCAGTTGGATCTGGAACACAAGGAAGAAACCTGGTTAATAGGGTACTGCATCTCTTTTACAATAAAAGTGTATCAACTCCGCTGCAGGGAGGGTTACAAAATTAAAATCATAATACGGCTGTCAAACATTCCACCCAACATGTACTCCGGTGATCTGGTGTGTAACACAACGCTGGCATTTCTGAGGGCCCAACAGTTTGCTCCTAGCCAGAGCTGTTTATAGAGAGAGTTGAGACATGAGTGTCTCAATGGTTGGAACCAAAATGGTGGATTATGGACAATTAGCACACAGTACATGTACCTGCCTGTTTACAGCACACATAATGGACAGCCATTTGGACACATAATGGACAGCCATTTGGACACATAATGGACAGCCATTTGGGTTCCAAAGTCTGCAGTTGGCGCAACTCTCCCTATATACAGCTCTGCTTGGAGCACACGCTTTTCCCAAATAAGTCTGTGGTTCAGTGAGGCTCCGCATGGCATGCACAACACTTGTCTACTCATGCTTTCGCTGTGACTAACTTTCCAGTGGCCGTGTACAGCATGCATGTATTTTCAAGATGTATTTTTGCGTTGGGGAGATGTTAATTTATATAACGGGTTTTGCCCTTACCCAACGTATATATTAATAAACATTGTATGCTCAGTGCTTGTCCGAGAGCTTGCGAAAAAAGTCACAAGCTTACTCAGGTGGGACTCGAACCCACGACCTCCTGCTTACTAGTGCAGGCGTCTTAACCACTCGACCACCGAGCTCGCCGGGGTCAGCTGGCCGGTCCGAGTCAGGTGAAGCAGCGGGTACTGCAAACTTTTTTCAAGATGTATTTTGCATTGGGGAGATGTTAATTTATATAACGGGTTTTGCCCTTACCCAACGAATATATATATATAAAAAAACACATCTTGAAAATACATTCATAAATACCTTAGTCTCCCTATTCAACAACTTGACCTTGAATAAACTTTTGATCATGCCCGATAAGAAATGATAATGCCCACTGCGTAAATCACGCGCCGGCACCTGGATACAAGTCGGTTTAATCGATTCTGATTGGTCAAGAGTCTGTGTGCATGTGGCTCGCCAAGCTCATGCCAATTAAACAATTTGCACAAGGAATATTCCATAAAATGGACGGGGGTGTTCGAAAAAATGAAAGCAAAAATCTAAAAGAAATTGCTAGAAATCCATCACACATGTATAATGACATCTTTTGACTCTGATGAATAAAAAAGTATTTACGAATGGGAATAAATATGTGGAGACTGAACGCTGATAATGCCCTTGACTGCGGCTCAGGCATTAATCAGTCATGTCCATTCTCTTGAGCTGGTCTTAAAAGCACACTTAAGACCGGCCAAACACATATTTATTCACTTATTCACTGTCAAAAAGCACTTCTCTGAGCTCTTAGCCCGTGTCCAAAACGGGCTTCCAGAGCTACGGCTAGGTCTACTGTCTACACGTCTCCACACATTTCCAATGGAGTGAAGACCTAGACCTAGCTCTAGGCAACAGATTCAGATCCAGCCTTACATTCAATGAGGAACAAGAAGACTATCACTCCCATGGACGCGATGATGCCTCCAGGGACGATGAACGACCACGCCCAATAGTAGTCGACAAACGCCCCTGCGATGACTGCACCTAGGATGTTGCCCAGGCTGGTGTGGGTGTTCCACACGCCCATGATAAGGCCACGCCTACAAGATACATGTAAGACAATTCCATGGGTTTAGTACAGCCATACGCGTACAATATGGCCATCAAAAATTATCAGGACCCAAATTAAATTGGGAAAAAACAGAACGTGGATGGTGCTTTTCAGAAGTCATGCACAGGTACATGCATGAGCACCAGGCATCAGAACTTCCATTTGGGACAGTTTGGTTGTATACAAGTAAAACATGGTTTGAGGTTGGACAGCTGATGTCAGTTTCCCTCGGTACTGGGAGTTGACAAACTAGGTCTAGTTCCTGAGGCCAAACCGCGGGGAACTAGTGTGTCAACTCCCAATACCGTGGGCAGCTAACATCGACTGTCCAACCCAAATAAACCATGTTATACCACGTACATATTTTATTTAATAACCTCTGAAAGTAAAAACATCATCGTTAATCTATTCCCACAAACTTTTATTTTGTTACCAAGACAAACATTTCATCTTTTTTGACTTAAAATTATTTTACACACAAGAATATCTGCAGATGAAACCAAGAGTAGACAGTACATCCACGCAACAGTTCCTGGATTTTCTGCTACTGCGCAGTTGTTTTTAACTGTCACCAGGGTAAGCTGGAAGACAGTTAAAAACTTATGTGTATTTATGCATGAACGATCGCGTGTGCGCTTGGCAAACAGCAAAAAAGTGCGGCTGGCACGTGACCATGAATGCACCAATGAGAGTTTGGCGATCCGTCATGAATATGTATGAGGTACACTGATACAGGTCGAACATGTACACGGACCTATACACTACTGTGTGACCATACGATTCTCTGAGATTGGTTACCGATGCAATACGGGCAATTCACAGTAGTGCACCTCCCAGAGTTTGCAATGTGCAAACAGATTTCATGCATTGTGATTGGCCAACGCGTTCAAACTCTTGGAGGCGCACTATTGTGAGTCACCCGTATTGGCAACCAAAATATGATTGGCAAACCAATACTTCTTTCCAAAAAAAATATCCGTGGTGTACCCACAAATACACCCTTCGTTAAACATCTATGTAATTAAAGCATTTCTGGGCACTGCAGAGCCAATAACGTTTTGGTACTCTGTTGTTTGTTGACAAGCAACAAAACGGACCAAGAGGACTGTGTCCGCCAGGGTGCCTTAAGACTGGGCAAATTTATGATACTCTGTGCCGGCTGGACTATAACTGAACCATACAATATGAAAATGACCGCATTACAAACATTGCTTATCTGCTTCGCATGGAACGCAACAAGGCTCCTCTAGGTGGGAGCTCTCCTCGCGTGTGCACCTGCTTGTGCGTGCTTTTTTTGCAGGATACACTGAGCACTGGCGGCAAATCTATGCCGGAGAGTGCAGTCTCCAAGTGTGCACGGGGTACCCAGATGAAATAATTACCGCAAACCAACATGTACGTGTATACATGTCAATCTTCTCTTTTGGTGGCATGGCGCTTCATGTCCAGGCAGACAGTGAATCCCCAAACATGAAATGGGTCCCAAAGATGTGCATGGGGAGGTAACGGTGAACAATCGGTACATGTACGGTACATATCCGCCCCGAGCTGAAGTGCACCCCCAATCGGCAAAAAGAAAGTCAGGTGGTTACAAGCGGGTTCTTGCACGTGGTCTGCGTGCACGCAAAGATCATACACGCCGCAATAAATTAGTTACGCGTACTCAGCGTGCTCCAAGTCAAACGCGCATATACTTGCACGCCTACATAGTGAGTACCCAAAACCAAAAAACACGCCCTCTTTTGTTCCGCTCGGAGTGGATACATGTACATGCAGTCGTAGACATTATAGACCAAAAGACCCGGTGCTTCTATCTTCATGTATAGTCAGAGCGGGATACGGCACGCACAATGTAAATTCACCTACATTCAACACACGAAGCCAATAATCTGCGCAACAGACGAGCACGTGTTGCTCTCTGGTTTATCATTACTGTGTGTCCATCCTTTCCTAGTGTCACTTGTTTCGATGTGGCCCCTTGTCAGAATCGGACCCTTCTACGCGCTGTCACCCCATGACTGACATTCGTTGAGTGCAGCGTTGTTGCACCTGTGCTCTGCCCATCCCCCAAAAAACAAAACAAATGCCCAAAAATCTGACGGTTATTTTTGACTCACTTTCCTTTTCCGTACCAGTTGGCTACCACGGCAACCACTGCTGGCCAACCTGTTGCTTGGAAGAAACCCCCGACAATCTACGTGTAAGATTGAAAACGAAAAAAGAAGCATCATGTTAGGAGGGCCTGGTGGAAAAATGGCACTAAAAGCTCCTTGACTCAAACTATTGCTGTCAACACGAAATAAGGTGTTTGGGTGAAATCTAAAAATATTGGCCGCTACAAAATAAATAAAACAGTCTAGATCATAGGCTGTTTCGATGAATATATAGATGTATCTTTCATACCTAGAGAGCCACCCAAACAGTGTTTCCAAAAATTATATTGCTGTCGTAGGGACTTTTTAGAACTCAGCCAACAAGATTGTCTTCACTGCTCCGACAAACAGAAGGAAAGACACACAGGGAATTGTACATATAAAAAAAGGACTGTTTTAAGCTACTCGCATCCTCCACACACACAGCAAGGGCGTTTTGGCGGATGCAACGCACAGTGATGGTGAAGGGGGGCACTGCCAAGCCGACATTTCACCTTAAAACAGCCAGGCTGAGTTGGATTACATGCATCTCCCCACAGCTGGGGAGGGGGAAAAGTTCACTGAAAAACCATCTGAAGGCTTAGTTTTCTGATAACAGACAAAATAAAATGTGAAGGGGGGGTACAATCCCTCCTGGTTCTTTCACGGTTTAAAACTCAAAAAAATACGAGGATTCCATCAACTCTTTGATTTGGGCTGCAAGACCAAATGAGCCCAAGTCATTCACCAAGAACCAAAATTAGGGGACATCATGGCTGCCCAACTTATTGGTCAAACAATCACTGCGTCAGTTCACCGTTACTCGACTGCAACACTGGTCACACGTTGAGAACTCTTTTCAGGAAGCCTGGAGGTCTCCAGCATCTTAATACCTACCATCATTGTGATGAAGAAAGCATAGTTGTGAATCTGAAAGAACTGGGCCAGGCCCACCACGGCTGTGAAGAAACCGCTCAGGAACATGCCGCCGAACAGAAAGTAGCGTAGACTCATCCGCTCAGCAATGTGACCGCTGCGATGTGAACAAACACATTTTAAAAAGTCGGTCAAACCACTTTTAAGGATCTTTTGGGAAATGTGATGTACCACGATAAAAATGGTGTGGTCGACAATTTAAAGAAAGTTGAACAAATGAAATGACGACACATTTCACAAAAGTTACAAACTATGTAAGTCCCCAACTTGCATGACAAGGTTCTGAACTAATTACATGTAGAGGGCAAAAGCTGTGCCAAACAAATCTGAGATAAATACTCATCTAACTAATTAAGTTGGGTTAAGGCACTTACTGTATGCTTATTAAACCTAATTTTATATGAGAAATGAACAGCTTTGCTTTTGGGAGAAATGAAACGCTAGTTAGGCTGAGAGAAACATCAAGATTTCTGCCTCGTTCCGATGAGGAAAAGAGCTTTCATTCTTGTTTGTGTTTTGTTAAATGGTGGGCAAAGCCATAAATCTAAAGACTCGTTAATTATTGATGTACAAGTAACACTTAATCAGCCCTGATAAAAACCACAGTCAGCCTCACCAAAGACATTTAACAAAATTTGAATATTGCGCAAATGTGCAACAGAACAGTATGCCGCATGGTGTGAAGTTATGCCACGTTCTGTAAAATCTGCTGCGAGGACTATCGTGGAGGTTCCACGCTCTTCATTGCCTTTTCCTGCACCAACTCCTTTCATGCAAGCATTTTAAATGTTGGAATGCTACACATGTATACATGTAAATCAAGACACATTAATGATTACAAGACACTGGTTCCATGTACTAGTATGCTCAGGATGTCATCATTTTGACACAACATGTACATGTACACATGTATCTCACATGTCTCATGTTGAAGAACATGAACTAAGAATCAAGTGCACTTTACATACCGGTAGATCATTGGCCACAGGCAGAGATTAGCATAGACTTATCCGATAAGACACCCTACGTGTAACTGCGGTGGCGCCGCACTCACACGCACATTCTTCAGCTTGACGCGGCGCGTGCACATGTATTTGGCAAATCACGACACCCTATTGGTCGAAGAGGCATGTAAAGCGCGAGTGTATGTACCACCTGTCCACTGGCCTTGTGCCACCGCAGTAATGGCTTCTAATTCTGCTGGTCGAATTAGAGTATAGAGGCAAGTAATGGTAGTTCAAAGCTTTTTTCCAAATTTCAGAGACACAGAGATGTACATGTATGCAAGCATCATCGCACAAACTGGTTCTCATCTTATTCAATTACAGTGCCGTGCCAGATGTTGCAGATTTATGTAAATTTTCCAAATTTATGTACATGTACCGGTATGAATCCTGCCGGTACATGAATATTTCAAACCTTGAGTTAATCTCCGCTCAAATCAAATCAAGGTCAGATAAATCACCATTTGAAAATGACACAAAGTACCAGTCAATGGGAGACTTTTGGGTGCTGGTGGCAGGAGACACACCGGTCCTTCACAGTATAGTGCATGCTCAGGGCTGTACACGCCAGCTCAGAACAACGCACGCATGCTCAGGACTGGTAAAAAAGGGCCGGTATGTTTGCCGCCACCAAGGGTCTCAAAGTCTCCCACTGGCAGGGAAATAAAGACTTGTCCATCCGATAATACGTTTTTCCCTCATAATGAATGAAATGTGTAAATCCAAGATCCCGACACCTATAGTCTTCGTGCACTGCGTTCTTCATTTTCTGTTAACTGCCTGCGTGTATATATTTGGTATACAATCAGCCAAATGGTACAGGGGTATGCTGCAAGCATCGCTTGGACTATTTTTATGACTGAGCACTCAGCACATACATGTAGTGAAGGCACCTGCATAAAACAGTGGCGGCCAAGCGCACAGATGTTCATCCTTAAAGTAACATTAAAAAAAGAGACAATAAAATAAGGGGAGGGGGGAGAGACGGGGGAGGCACACCATCTAACACTGCATTTCATTAGCTACACGTATCTTCAGTCAGTCATAAATCAGTCTCTGTGTTTGATGTTTCCTTCATTCTTGCTACATGTGCACTCTATGTAAATTAGGGCTGTGCTGAATATCCGAATAACTGAATATTCGATCGAGTATTTGAATATTATTCTCTGAATTTGAATATTTGAATGCAGAATTCATGAAAAGGAAGGGAACGTTTTCTTTTGTTTTAAATGAGAAAAATTGCACTATGGAGGCTCGTTTCAAGCAGATTTAAATGAAGTGACAGAAATCTTTCAACGCTTCATATTTAAAGTAAATTATTCATTAAACAATTTAAAAAGAATAGAAATTTTTAATTGCGCAAGAAGTATTGTTCATCTCTTAAATCTTGCTAAATCGTGGCTGGAGATACTCCTAGATGTGAGAAGTATTATATTGATTGCAATGTACAGATGTGTGTGTTATTGCAGCTGATTTTATATATGGTTTGTTCATCAACAATCTGGCAGTCGGTACGACCAAATATTGAGATATATATTCGATCAAATTGAAGGTCAAATATTCAAATTGTGAATTATTCGAATTGACTCAACCCCAGTGTAAATGCACAAGCAGAAGTCATTCAAATTACCAGCACAGATGTTGTTTTGGCTTTTTTTCCAAAGCAACTTCTGAGATTTAAAACATTTTTGGACAAACCATAATTTGACCAAACAGAGGTGGACTAAACATCAATAGATATTTGGAAAGAAGAAATGTACTTTTTTCCAAAGCAACTTCTGAGATTTAAAACATTTTTGGACAAACTACAATTTGGACAAACTACAATTTGACCAAACAGAGGTGGACTAAGCATCAATAGATATTTGGAAAGAAGAAATGTACAGGTTGTAATTTTAGCCCTTTTCAACCTGGAACAAAAAAGCTGCACAAGTACAGTGTACGTGTAATTTATGTATGGTTGATTGTAATGTGCTCAAATGCCCATGAATGTGACTTCAGAACGACTTGCAATTTGGCAGAAATGTGTCACGTGCTCACTAAGGTGCTCTGTCGGTAGACCCACAAACTTGTTGGACGAGAAGGGGGAAAAACGTAACATTTGTGCGAGTCATTCACCTGAAAAACATTCCTACTGCATAGGCAAATAGATACCCGGTGTCTAGCCATCCTAGCAGGACCTCAGCATCAGAGGTGTCTACAAAACATGAACGGAAGAAACGGCATTATCAGAACAGGAAGAAGTAGAACATTTCCAACAAAAAAGAAAAAGAAACACAGAAAAACTACCATGCAGAACACAGTGTTTCCTTACATGTAAATCCATTTGAAAATCCAGGCAATTTTGCCAGGAACCTCTTTAAATCCTCTAAATATTCCTGAAATAATACTTGCATTCGCCCAACTGGCACATTCTTTATTGTATTTGAAAGCACTTCTTTAAAAGACCTTTTTCTTGTGCTCTTGTAAAAACACTGTAATGTTAAACTCAGGATTTTCCGGATTTTAAAAGACACTTTTTTTTAAAGATCCTGAAATCAGAAAAACGCTGGACAAATTTCACCTCTGGTTCACTCAATGTGCTCAATCAAGAGAAAACGTCTTTTTTTTATTTTTCACAAAACCCTAGGAAAACCCTTTATCAGGGCAAAAAAGATGGGACTTATCTAGTTCTCGTTACATTGCTTTGTTTAGAGTCTGCAAATCTGTAATCCTACAAACCCTGGCAAAGCAATTGCTGGCATGGAAGATTTACATGTATGTTACCAGTATGCCCTAAGACAGAATGCGTACATCCCGAGGAAATCAAAAATGAAACCTAGGCAAAGAGAAAGCTAGCCATGGAGGCATTTCCTGTTTTTCTGTCTCATCAATTGTAACTGTTGACAGCATGTACACACGTAAGGAATGTTTACTTTTGGGTCATTCCATGAGGTTGGGGCACAATCTGTGACGGTGTCAATTGTTACATGGGTTCCGTAAAAATGAACAGCTACTTCCCTGCATGCGGATTCCAAATTGACATTGTGATACATCTTGTAAGGCTGAATACAGAGGTGTGTGTTATATTTACAGAGTAAATGACCTACTCTACTGGTCATGACAGTAGGATTCTAGCCATGGTGGACCACCCGGTACTGCAAATTTCCGCCCGGCACTTAGGGTTGAAATTGGCTGTGCCACCCAGCACGGATTTTCCAAAAAATGAACTGAAATATTACTTAAAATTTAAATGTACCAATTTGATCGTATTCAAGCATCAGAAAGCATTGAGAACTGCGCTCACTATGCTTTGTAATCCAAAAATTTACGCGGCACTAAAATGGTCCTAGCTAGAACACTGCATGACAGGTGTTAAAAGTTACCCACATAACACGGACACAGTCACAAATTGCACCCAACCTCACGGAATGACCCTTTTACACAAAATTACAGGTATTTGATTCTCTGGGGCATTTTGGCTGTGTTTTGTTTGTATTTTTTGGAAGTAACTTACCAAAAGGTTTCCAGTCACACCAGTTGGGGTTTCCGGCGTCAGAAATATTGAAAACGGGGAACTGAAGGTCATTGATGGGTATGGAGCAGTTACGGTGCCACACACCCTAAAAATGAAACAGGAACTTATTAATTTCATTATGATGCAAATTATGCAAATAAATTTGTCGGTTTGTTGCTAGACTTGACTCAAGTCACAATCTCTGTGACGTCTTCTTTTCTGCTTTGGCTAAACACAGAATTGAGACCGCCATTTTGCTTCGTACCCTCTTGTGTCATATTACAATGATTCAGTTCAGAAATCACAACTTGACGAATCTGCCAACCATTTGTACACAGTGAATGGGTTCATGAAATCTATCAAAAGTGGTAGCAGCCAATCACATTGCTGGGCTTGTTTTTACGTCATTCATACCTGCATTATAATGAACGAGTCTACAAGTCTGACTGCTTTGATTGGTGGAAATTCCATACATTATGCAAGATCATGTCGTTCATATGCAATTATGAATAACTACACACATGTATATCACCGCAGCGGGTCCGATAGGTCCAGTCAGTATGGTAAGTCGGACTTACTGACTGGTGACATACATATATGACACACATTGTCCTGTACAATAAAGGCTATCAAATGAGGACGCCTTATAAGGGTTACGCAAGATGCCGGGCCGAGCGCGACGGCTGTGTAGTGCGTACTGGCGCGGCTGAAGGGATGGCTGACTAGGAAAGAGCAACCTATGTCTGACGTGATTCAAGTCTAGTTTGTCATAAACACCACGCTGTACTGTGCAAAGACTGGCTACATGTACTTGTAATGCCTTGTCAACCTGTTTTTCCCTGCCCTCTGTTTGCTCTATGGTCCATGTCGATCCCAACACACTGCCCCCAGGAACCTCTGGTACATACCAAAATATTTTTTATATTTTAAAAATTTCTTTGATTTCTTTTTGGTTTCGTTTTCTATCCTTCTGTGTGTGTACAGCATGAGACAGTTTGCACGTGCTCAAATAAATTTGCATTTAAATTATGGACATCTGTTGAGCTAATGAAGATCCACGGTTGACAAGCTCGCATGTGAAACAGAATGGTAATCTCCCCCAAAAAGGTCAATGCAATGCAACCAGTCCAGCCACCGGCACGCTCACAGTGCAGCTGCGTGTATACGGCCAGGAATTTCCTGACAATAATTTACAAAACTTAACTTTATCAGGGCACATACAATTAAAAGCAAAGTAAGCTCCTAATCTGTTCACACTACGGTACACAGATCAGCATCTACGGCAGTCTGCCGGTAATGCATTTAATTTCATTTTTGAGTAACAGCAGGCTTTCACTCAGACACCTGTCAACATGTACACTTGTACCAGTAGGTCGGGGTGAAAGTGGCAAAAAGGATATTTTTTTCTGAAAAAAAAGTTGAGCAATTTGTTTTATCCATTAAAGGTTCCTGACTCCTTCATTCCCCAAAGCAAGATGGTACATGTACCGTAGATGCATATTGTACATGTACATGTTCATGCTGCACTGTACAAGGTATATAGAATAATGCAGTATTTATCGCCAGACAAGTGCTGTGAAAGAGTGGACTTTTTATTTTATTATTTTTTTATTTTTCTTGGGGGTTGGAGGGGATGGTACATGTACATGTACATGTACATGTATCTGATTCTGGTATGTCATATTATTAGTGTGAAATGTGTTAAATGGAACGCATTGTTTGGTTTAGTCCGGGAAAACAGCATTCGGGTACAGCAGCATGATGGTGCAGGCAGATAATGCAAAGTGGATAATGTACAGTACATGTATTCTTTTATGGCGGCATACCTGTACATGTAGGCGGAAAGATGAATTTACGGTGCAATGAAACCAGTCAGCCATTTATGCAACAGTGCAGTGGCAATATGGTCGAGCTATTACCATAAAATAAAAACCCTCCTTTTGCTCTAATAGTCACAGACAGTCAAAAAAAAAACCTTCCACTTGATCTGACCCAGCATACAGACACACAGTGGTAATTGGGACTGATTTTGACTGACAGAGATAGGACAACTTTGTCAAGAATGAAGTTGCATATCTTTATAAACGTAGGAGGGTTAATGACAAAAGATTTGTGACTAAATCTCATCTTATGATAACCATTTCTTACAGCGCATGTGCAGGTACCGATATGCTGTAAAGGTTTCCCTTCGGCCATGTTGGATGTGATTGTAACTGTCTTGTTAAAACCTAAGGTGTTGCAAATAGGTTTTAACATATGGCACCATTCTCAAGCAATGGTGCTCAGTGAAGCACGGCGGAATTCAATCGCTGTATCATTTGAAAACATTTCTCTCCCACTTTACACAATAATATGATTTACACATGTACATACATGTACATACATGTACATGTAGTCCTACAACACACAACCCGGTCAAATCAACCCTTTATTTCAGAATTTGTTTTTCCTGGGGCACCCTACATGTACATGTATTCTGTCCACAGATGCTGTAGTTAAAAATGGAGCAACATGTACCGGTACATGTATAAGGTATAAATACCAGGGCACATGCATATTCACCGTGCAATACATGTATAGAGCATGTACATGTATTGGTCCTCAAGTCATGTACTGGTCCCTAAGTACCGGTACATGTACAATCGTGTATGTTTAGGCAATGAAAGTCCAACAGACATGACAGAAGTCAGTTGCCTGTGTTCACCTAAACAGTAATTACAACGTAACCTGGCTTCCACATGTACCAGGTATAAATGTGACAAACAATGACCGAAGAGCTTGCCCAACTCTGACTGGAGCCATTATTAATGAGCCATTCATTACATGTACATAGTCAGCAGGTCAGGGGAGTGAGTGACCACTTAAAATTAGAGCTGAAAAACAGCTGGCCAGATGCCGAAGCGTAAAAAGTTCCCATACTTTTGTGCACACCGGGCGTACAAAAAAGCTGCAATTCGGGGTCGACATCCAAACAAAAAAAGGTGAAATCAAAAAAGGCTGAATGCTCACACCCCTGATAGTACATGGGTGAATGAAGGCCTGACCTTCAGGGTGCTGCTCTGCCATCAGAGCACTGCAGGGCCTTACAAAGCTACAATGTACATGTACATGTACATACATATACGCACTGTGGAGGCATCCTGATCATGCCCATGGATAGCAGCTGAGCACTACCAGCTGAAATAAATTACATGTACATGTTGTTTTCAGCATTGCTCATGGTGGAATACTACATGTACACGCCTAGTTTGTTATGAATTAAAGAGATCCTCCACTTTCATTTTTAGGGCCTTAAAGTACCTGTATATTTGCACATATGCAAGTACATATACAATATACACCGGTCCTTGTCATACATTCGGGGTCCAAAAGAGTGACACCTTCGTATCCCTGTTACACCCGACCTGTGTGATTTGACATGGAAATATCACTGACAATGATTTCAAACTATTTCTATCTGTTTGGCAGGAAACGTGCATTAATCCACCACTCTTGGGAATTAAAAAGTGTGTTCTGAGCTTACAAAATCATACGTCAGATGTGACAGGGACACACACCAAAACTTGGACGGTCCCAGCATGGCCGACATGCACGAACATGGTACATTACATGTATCGGTACCGGAACATGAAGACAGCTTTCTATGAATTGTTGAGTTGATCAGAACGGAACGTGGACAAAGTCTGTGTTTAATTTTATATTCTCCATTAACGTTTGTCATGTACAACGCTGAAAACGAAGAATTGTTTAGTGTAAAAAGGCCAACACCAACAAACGTGAGAAAGAGTCATCGGCAAATTGAAATTATTTTCCTCTCTATCCGGATAAACTCACAAGTACTGCGCTAGTGTACAGCATGTACACATAGTGTGCAATCAGTCAAGTCAGAAGAACGCTGTACCCCCCTGGTACAAGTAACTACATGTATTGGGCATGATCGACCCATCTGGACATCCGTCTGATCACTCTGCACTAATGGTCAATCCCGTACGAAATCGTCTAATTACGTCTTGTTTTCAAACAATTTTCCACAACCACAAACTACAAAGAGACAATTGGCCAATGGCCAAATTATTGGCAAATCGTGGGCAAATCGACAGAGATCACATCAAGATCAAGTGACAGCACAGATAGATTGCGGCCAATGTAACCACAGGACAACTACGCACACACACGTACACGTATATAACTACATGTATGTATGTCGGGTGAAATATCTGGGGCACAATGTACATGTACATGTAGTGCACACATTTATTCATTTCGCCAATTTTTTAGTAAAACTGAATCGTAGTTAAAAACACTAGCAAAGGGATCGGGGTGAGGACATTAGGCTCCGCCCACTTACCTTGGCAATGCTGATTGGCCTTCTAGACAAATGGTAGGTCATGTAGGTGAAGAAAGTGATTATTAACACCAAGATCTTGTGGCTGCAGATTTACAAAGAAAAAAGGAAAGTATCGTAAGAATAACAAAATGAATGCACATACATCTACCGCAACATCACAATTACATTTGTAAAGAGCGGACAAAAAAGTGAATGATTGCCTACACACGTGCACATCATTAGGGCTGAGTTATATCAAGTAAATTTTTTCACAATTTGAATATTTGACCTTCAATTTGATCGAATATCCGAATATTCGGTAGTACCCATTGGCAGATTGTTGATGAACAAACCATATACAAAATCAGTTGTAATAATGCACACAATTGTACATTATGATCAATATAACATGTTGCACCTCTGGGAGTAGAGATCTCCAGCCACGATTTGTAAAGCAAGATTTTAGAGACGAGCGATAGTTCTTGCCCTGTTGAAAATTTCCATTCCTTTAAGTTGGTTAGTGAATAATTTACTTTTTCTATCATAACATGAATGAATCTGCATTGAAACAAGCCTCCATAGTGCAATTTTTCTCATTTAAAACAAAAGAAGATTTCCCCTTCCTTTTCATGAATTTTGCATTTGAATATTCGAATTCGGAAAATAATATTTGAATATTTGATCGAATATTTGGTAATTCGAATATTCGGCACAACCCTATACCCATGTACATGTAAATGTACCCTACATAAAAACAATGTGTCAATCTGGGTATATTTATGATACGCTCTACTGCACTGTCCATGAGGCCAGGACACATGTACACCGTTGACAGCCATTTTTTTAACACTTTTGTTTGTGTGTCGACAATTTCCTTCCTTACAGCATAAAATTACCCTGGAAAAAATAATGGATTCCAGACTGTTCGTGTAACTTCACAGATGTTTTGCAATGATTGTGTATAATGTCCATGTCACCCACGTCCCTTCAGCGTAATGTCCATGATGCTCGTTTGTAATTCAACTACTTCATTAAAACCCTAACACTCCTCAGTCCTCCAACAGGTGAAGGATTGAGGAGGGTTAGGGTTAAGTGATTACCATTTATCAGTTTATTTCAATGCATAGTGCCGGTATACATCATGTGAGGTACTGCATCAAACAAACAAATGGGTACTTCTAAGTTTCGGTAGCTAAAACAATTTCAAAACCAGGATTGGTCCTCAAATGTCTGTACATGTATGTAATGCCCATGATGGTGGAATTACCCAGTTATTACAGGAATGTGAACCAAACTTAAAGTTGCCTTGGAACCAATCACAGCTTAGGGAATGACCTTGAGCAGGCCACATCAGCAGAAGACGGACAAACCGTGGACAAGAAAGAGACCTGCGTAGGGATGGCACCAGGAACAGGGGAAGGCAGCACATTAAGTCAGGGAAAAGAATTCCCTAAATTTACACGGATGCCACTTGACACCCTGTGCACGAACCCAACATGCAAGACTCGGGTCTAAGAATTCTTAAGTGTTTTCTAAGTAAATATCTCAATATGTTCACTGCTAACATGCCTAAATTTGACTTTCGAGGGCACTTTATTGCTTTCAGGTGGCTAATTAATACATACATGTACATGTACTTGTAGGCCACTGCAGGGAATGTTAGTGGTGTCCGTCAATGGAATTCTTTTCCAAGTTGGAGATGGGAAACCCACAAGTACTGGGGTCAATTCAAGTTTGGCACCAGTATAAGTAGGCCTACCGTACAACACAGCCAGGCAGAGAGAAATGTGGTGCAGCCGTGCTTTCGGCCAGCAGTGGACCGACGATATATACATGTACATGGGTAATTCCCGAAATTAGGGGTCCGTTTTTGGGTTCACTGTCACATCTGACATATGATTTTGTAAACTTGCTCAGAACACATTTTGCAATTTCCAAGAGTAATGAATTAATGCAAATTACCTGCCAAACAAATACTAATAGTTTGAAATCAATTCCGGTGATATTTCCATGTTAAATAACAAAGGTCAGATGAAACTGGGACACACTTTGGGACCCCAATTTCCGAAATTATGGCACCAACCTACCGGTACATGTACATGATGTAGACACGGTGTTTTTTGGAAGCCTCTGAAAAGGCGTAAAAAAAATCCAGAGGATATAGAGGACACTTTGGACTGGTTGCTGCCTCTTTCTACTGAACTCATCCTCAGCTTTGGACAGGAAACCAAACCAGTCTGTACCTGCATGTAATAGATCTCTGACTTCATTTCCCTTTTTAAAAATCCTCTGCAGCCAAAAATCTCCACTACGAAAGAAACCAGAAAAGAAAAACTTACAGAAAAATAAAGAAAAGAGAGATCATCCAAAAAAAAAGACAGGATGGGAGTGGAATGATGAGTCACTGCAGGGGTTGAACCCAGGTCCACCTGCTGGCTTGACAACTTGAGAGTTCAATAAGCCAACAGAGAAATTGACGGCCGGATGGAATTTACAAGCATACAGGTTGATCTACATGTACTTGTGATTCCGAAATTGCAAGCGTGTAAAAAAACACTCCAGGCGTGCAATGTTTCTAGGCGTGTGATTTTGAAAAATGAATCAAAACCTTGAGTCAATCAAGAAATACGTGTAGTAAAATAGAAAGATAAAATTGGGTCAACATTACATATAAACAACAAAACCAACTAAAAAATGGTGCAACAGTTTCAGATCACACCGCTTACTTCAAGCAAACTCGAAGAGATATGTCCAATACATGTAAAAAGATTCAAAGTTTTACATGTATGACGGTCACAAAATCGTGCCCTTTCCATAAGAGCAGCCTACTCTGAGCCACAAAATCACTCCAATTCTCCATTCAATTTTTCAAATAAATCTTTCACTTTTCCTGAGGTTTCCCTTTGCCAGATCTCCTTCCTGTGAGTTATTTCCGTTCATAATGCTAAAAACGTTTAATGGGAAACATCAGGTCTGCACGCTAAAATCTGCTGCGATCCACACCGGCATGATCTCTCCATGGCTTTCATGCAGTAATTTGTGCATCATGATTGACTGGTCTGGTCCAAGTCGCAACTTCAAAGGAATTCGTTGTTTCACTACGCATAGGGTGCGGGAGCCTGCAAGCATGTCGACTTCTGGAGATCGTTTTGTGCAGATGCGAGTAAAAGCCCAAATTTTTTTTTCCAAAAATGCCGTTGTTGTGATCAGAACAACTTACAGGACAGACACCTCCACAAAAAACTTGGGATAATCAGGGAATTCGTTGGGAAAATTTGACTGAAAAGTGGTGTGATCTAGTGGCACTGCATTTGACGTGTAGAAGCATGTAAAGCCATGTACAGTGTACATGTACATGTACAGTCTAGTGCATGTAGCATTACGCATGCAGCAACGGTTGCTCAACTGTTTCGCAGGGAGAATAAAACATGATTAGTTATTACTAACTGTTAGGTACATGTAGGCCTACTGTTTGATTCTTTTCGTTTATATAGTATAATTATAAAGTAAACTCCTGCGGAGGAGTGCTGTATGGATGGTTTCAGAAATGCAATTATTTGCACTTCTCAGGAAGCTTTTAGGCGTGTGATGGTACTAAGTGTGTATGGGGTTGCATGGCAGCTGTTGTACATAGCCACTACGTCCTAGAAATTCAGATGGTGCGAACAGAAAAATATAAAAATTTCCACTTCAGATGGGGAAAAAAAATTGAAACGTACATGTACATGTACAGTATCAGGGGTACAGTTGAACACAGACAAAGGTACATGTACATGTGTAAGAAGAGTACATGTATTAATTACATGTACATGTACAGTACAAGGTCACATCTTTAACAAAGACAATTTTACATGTAGATCCCAAGTCTTTGCTTTCCCATTACTGCTAATACAAGGTAACTACATGTACATGTATATGAGTACAATGTACATGTACATGTATGTACTACAGTACAAAAAGGTAATTTTGAAAGTCCCAAAGGTACATTGTAAATTTTAAAGTCCTAAGGATTCTGTTTCAACAGTGTTCCATTGAACATGTATCTATTTAAATACATTATACATGTGCATGTAATGGACATGTACATACTGTAGTACAAGATGAGGTAATTAAACACATTAAAAATACATACATCCTCAAAACAAATCAATTTCATTTTATTGGAGGGATTACATGTATCTACATGTAGTTTTATTTTCTAATACTGTAACTTACAGGACTATTTTTTTTCCTGAACCAAATCAGGCACTGGTATACGGGTAGGGCCTACAGGTACATGTATACATGTAGTATATGTATGAAGCATGTTCACGCACGTACCCCTACACCTGTACAGTGTATCTGTACATGTACCCAGTGTGCGCCTCTGGGTTGTGAAGGTAACTGCTGCAGAAATATCATTGCTGCAAGTCAATCCATGTTTGAGAGCATTTTATGTAGTTTCACTCTTACTGAAGTTACTCATTTCTACACAAACGTTTATACACACATACATGTACAGTATCTGCCGCAGGCCTCAGGCTCATAGTAGGGCATTTTTACAGCTCATGTGATCTTGCTAATCAGATAACACGTGATAATACATGTAACTGTCAGAGTACAATTTCCTGCCTTGTACACATAAACAGTTTCTCTTCCTGGTTTTGGGGAAATAAATTCAGGAGGTGCTTGCTTTTTTATCACTTGACGAAGTTGACGTTCTTGACTCGTTTAACGCTGCTGTGGCTTCAGAAGTAAATGATCGCCAAAAAGCAGGGCATCATCAGGCCATTTAAAGTCAGTGTTTATTTTGGGGGGTTCACATCACTCTGACTGGACCAAAATTGGACAAGAGGAGAATGTTCATTGTATATTTTATGAATTTGACATCTTCCCATCCAAAGTGAACTGAGGGTTGAGACGTCCAACAAATGGTACATTGTAGAACACGTACGGTAAAAGAGTCAGATACGACAAACAGGACAGATACCAACTGTCAGCTGCTTAATCTGTTAATTGACGTCAGATAGAGTTTTGAAAGGGTATCGAATGAACCTCATGGCAGACTGGAAGTAAGTTCATGGGAGACGGCATCATCCGAAGCCACAATGGCTATAGCGCACTACAAGTAGGGGCATGCACCACACACGTCAGTCTACTCCACATATGTATCTTAAGGCAAACTTGAATTTTCAATTCTGATTGGTTGATTCATGGCAACCAACATTGTGACATTTTTGCTGAGTCCATGTTAAACTAATGTCTGCATCACTCTACATGTAACTCAATGCACTGCACTATTTTTACACCAAAAGCAAACGCACTTCTGCATGACTGTAAATTCAAAAGTGGCAAATTTAACAACTTCTATTCTTTGTGTTTATAAGCCCTGTTGTTATTGAAATAAACTAAAACATAAACAATTCCAATGCTCACGAGAGGAAATCGCAAAATTGTGGTACACCGGTGTTACTTCTTTTGCGGTGCGCGGGTATGGTACCCTTTTGTCTTCTACAGGTATTTTACGTAAAATGCACAAAGGGCCCCTTACCATCTTTACTGCGCGTCAAGTTTGCTTGAAGATAAATTCGTTATCACCACCGCGCTCACGGGAACACGGATTAATGCAGTGCGTCTGTGCTCCGCACACCACGAGGCTAAAGGTGGAGTGGTATATGGGACACAGATGCACAACGTGCACATCATTCCCGCCTCGTGGTATATCTGGGACATACACGCGCTACATTATCCCATGTTCCACTCCCGCTCGTATGATAAACTAATACATTTACATTTTTTTGTACACACGAAACGTTTTGCTGTTTGTGCCTGTTGATCCGGTGAGAAACTTTGTCCGGACAATACATTTTGAAGAAAAAGAACACAGATAAAGAAGTATAAAACTTAAAAGCAAAAATGGTGCGGGCGTGAAAATCAGGGCGAACCTAAAAATCAATTTCACTTTGCTTTTAAACTTTGAATTCGTGAATAAGTCAAAATGGGTTACACATTTAATACAAAAAAAAGGGAAAAAAATTCAAAGGGGGTGCCAGGCAGGGAAAAGAAAGGGGTAGTAGAAAATTCATCCTTGCTTTCTTTTTTGAACCGGACCCACGGTAACTGAGCCATGTCTCCCCACGTCTATACTTACAGTAATGTCCGGTACCGCCCACGAAAGCAGGCATTCAGCAGAGGGGTCATCAATGGGGTCCCCGCCATGGTCAGTATAGATAGCCTGGTGTTGGCTGCAGCCTGGTGGGCCAATGACTAGGAGAATACTTCACTGCTGCTGGATCTAAGCGCTTCTGTGCACACTTAAAAGTTCTAGGTATGATTTACTGTACCAACCAAACCTGAAAAGAAAGTTGAGAACAATACAATAATAGTACAAGGTCACGAGATAAATAGTACTAAGAACTCTACGTATACATGCGCAATGTTTAGCACTTTGTACTTAGGTTAAGTGATTTCAAACACTTCAATTTTTTTTCCTCTTCTATTTTTTATGACAGATAGAGGTATCAGAGTTCAGTTAGTGATGACCTGGTTAAAAGCCAAACCGTGTACTGTACACGAGCTACATGTAGTTTGACACCATAAAATAGTCACATGAAGAGAATACTTTCAGAAATTTTTCTGAAGCATTTCTGGAGCACTTTAAAGTTGTCTTGGCTATGGCAGAAACGATGGCTTTCTTTTCCTCACACTTTTGAGAAAGGAACGTGGATACTGTTGCCTCGAGTCTCCTTTGCTGCTTACAGCTTTGTGTAGTGCATCTATGGATGACAAACCCAAGAGCTCTGTTACACCCAAACTAAAGCGTCTCTCCTAACTACAGTTGGGACAGTCCCAACTGTAGTGCTGCAGTTAGGCTGGCCCAACTTTGTTGACCAATTCCTTAAAAAATTCTCAACCTTCACCTAGTTTATGCATCTCACTCTTGATACAATTCATCTAAAATACGGCACATCGTCTGTGACATGACAACATGACATGTAAACAATATCCATTTGACTTAAGCTCCACTGCAGAGTACCCCACCATTCCACACCCCACACGATCAAACCTCATAGCCAGGTACATGTACAGGTCAAAGTGTCACAC